CTTTTTGTTGGTTGCATGATTCTGCAGTAGTTGTCTTTCAAATCTTCAGCGCGGTGCAAAAGTGCCGCCTCAAATGCGTCATGTGCTGTTCTGCGCGTATGTATTGCATCGCATGTGTGTTCCATTTATGTATGTTATGTATAACTTCGAGTTGCTGGTCACAATAATACCGAGAAATTATCTCGAGACCTGTACGGTACTTCTTTTTTGCAAATAATTGTTTGTACTTCCACCCTGTAACGGCCCACTTCTGGGCTAACAGTATAAATAAATGAAATGAAATACCATAATTATCCCTCTTAACTTTACCGCCGAAATCTCCGACGCTGACGCCACGGATATAAAAGTTTTTTTTTTCTTTGGCGCTTTGGCCGCAATGGCTTTACTAAATGCCCTGAAACTTAGTACGTTAAGTCTCTGGCTTTATACTTCGTTTTTTTTTTTACCGATTAGGAACTACTCAGGCCTCAGTAAGTAGACGCCTTAGAAATCTATGACGTAACGGCAACTGGTGCGGAATTTTCAAGATGGCGTTGTCAACCGACCACATTTTTCCCCTGCGCATTTTCTCTCTTACCAAGCGTTTTCTCGCAGCAAACAAGGTGTTGCCCCGCCGCGGTGGTCTAGTGGCTAAGGTGCTCGGCTGCTGACCCACAGGTCGCGGGATCGAATCCCGGCTGCGGCGGCTGCATTTATGATAGAGGGGGAAATGTTGTAGGCCCGTGTGCTCAGATTTGGGTGCACGTCAAAGAACACCAGGTGGTCGAAATTTCCGGAGCCCTCTGCTATGGCATCTTTCATAATCATATGGTGGTTTTGGGACGTTAAACCCCACATATCTATCAATCAGCAAACACGGTCTTTTTGATATCGTGAAATAGCACTGTACTAATACTAGAACAATTGCGCATTTTTCTTTATTTAGTATCCATATGAGACTACAGCAAACAGTAAACCGACTTTTATATTATTAGTAAATTACTTTTTAATAGCTTACTTGGCACGAGAAGACGCTTGGTAAGCCAGAAAATGCGTAAAAGGAAAATGCGGGGAGGCGACGCCATCGTGAACATCCCGCACCAGCCACCATGACGTCACAAAATTCGACGGCGTCCACTTAGGCCTAAGTCGTTCCTAATCGGCAAAAATGAAGTACATTGTCTTCTGATGAAGCCGGAGACATAGCATACTAAGTTTCAGCAAGTTTTGTCGAGCTAATGTGGTCAAAGTGCGAAAGAACACATTGGAATATGTGACGTCACAGCCCTGAATTCCGGCGCGAAGTTTAAAACTGAAACTTTTGACACTGCTTGAAATCGACGGCAATACAAAGTTCTCAGAGTAGAAAAAAAAATGAGGGGCGAAGCTCCTTACGCCGTGCGTCGTATGTCTTGTGTTGTCGTAGTCGTTGTAGTTGCCAGTTGCACTGCGTTTCAATAAAAAAAAAAAAAAACGATGCGACAGCCTATTCACGGAGTGAACAATGATGAACGGGGCGAAGCGTCCGTCCGCTTTGCCCCACTCGTCATCATTCACCTCGTGGATATGCTGTGATTTTTTTCCCCTTTAGCATTCCTTTTTTACCAGCCAAGGTTCAAGACCACACATCCCAAATTTGAACAGACAGCAGTGCAGTCGCTGTCATCTGCGCCTTTAGTTTGGCGGCAACAAACAACATGCTCAATTATTGCGGTGTTGTTGATGTTTACTCAGAGGCTATAACTTATGAAGCACGCGCGTAGTGGGCGGCGATTCTACCACTCATCATGGGGTGCCATTACGAGCTCTCTTCCGCACTCTCATCACGGCCTCCTTGTTCGTCATTTATGACACCGTGGGCGTCACGGCAAAGCAATGCACAATGCTTTTGCTTCTGCGCTCAACAAAGGTGAAGCCTAACTGCAAAATAAGGTGCATTGAGCACGACTGCCAATGCAGTTACAATGGCTGTCCCGAGGGGGGTGCAAGTGGAGGCGCTACCCCTCCCTGGAATTTGAGATAATACTTTTCTATGCAGTAGCGATAATTAGGCTACACAGCTCGGTTGGCACACTCAGGAGACTACCTTCAGGATTGCCAGCCGAGTGCGCACGTTACTCACTACCAGAGTGCTCACTACTGACTACTCTGCCGGTCATGTCTTAAAGGGACACTAAAGGCAAATATGAAGTCTATGTTTATTGCTGATATAGCGGTACAAAAACCTGATAGTAGTACTTTTGTGCCTGGGAAGTGCTTATTTTGAAATAAAATCATGTTTTAGTAGCCCACACCGCGTTAGTGCACTTCAAACTCCCCGCCAGCCATAGCAGCAACAACGACCATTGAACAATCTTATGCCATGGCCTCCGAGATGGCAGGCGTGCTTGGTTCAACTGGGTCCCACTCCAGTTTAACCAGGCGAAAGCTGAACTTTTGAACCACTCGCACCATTCTCCATAGTAAAGTCCAGCGTTTTTTTCTTCCGTGAATCAAACAGAAACAAACAAGTAGCATTTTATTACGTCTACTGATGCATGGACACATTTAGCCATGTGTCGTTGGGTAGAGGAAGTGCATTAATGTGCCATGCATGTAAGTGTTGCTTTGCAAGCGTCTGAAGATCACGTTTTCCCCTTTAGTTAGTTTCGGATGGGGTGGAGGGTACACACGTCACTCAAGTTCGTAGTGTTGAAGTAGCGACGAGTAGGTGTTTTCTACTACCTCCATCTCTGCAGCCACGTATCGGGTATCCTTTGGTCCCAGGGCAGCCCGGCTGATGTGCTCCCGGGCGGGAGCGTGGGCCGCTTCATTTCCTTGTAGACCCTCATGTCCAGGAACCTAGATTATGCAGATATATGGAAGTGGAGAACTTTGCTGTTGCAGGATGTTAATTGCATCAGCTGAGACGCGGCCTTTCGCATAATTCCGGCAAGCGGCTTGCGAGTCAGTGAAGATCACCGCGGCGTCTTTATATGTGGTGGTGGCGAGAGCGGGACCAAGCACCAAGAATGAACGACGACCACGTAATAGAAACGTGGGAGGCCAAGCTCGTCCGGGAAGACTCGTAAGATCAGCGACAACTTGTCGCCAGGGCCAAGAAAGCAGTCGAAGCCAGACGGTTCCTGGACTAGGGAACCGTCCCACTTTAGGGAGATACCGAACTTTGCTCGGAACACTGTTTCTAAATAAACGTTTATTTCTCTCTCTCCTTATGCATGGAAGGTTGATTAATTTTAGGCAGTAACTATGACGTCATCTGGATCATTTTGTGAATGTCCTACTCGTGGCGCATGTGTTCTTGTGCATTTCTTGGTAAGTAGGGCACTGCTGTTGATAATATTGTAGTGTTAGACATGATACATTGAGCTTTCACTCTGACATAAATTGTTATTTGACTTTAGTGTCCCGTTCAGTATGGATGAAGATGCAGTGCCAACAAATATGATACCCCACATCTATGACTAATTTTAACATTCAATATCTATATGTTAATTCACACATAGTCTTATCTATGTGTCAATTCACACGTAGTCTATGTGATGTCCTTATAGCATTTTGATTATCTCAAGGCCTTATTTGTGTGGAATCCTTTGTGACATGCTTATTCTTGTCCTTAAGAGTTACACCAATGAGTCCCTCTCACATATATTTGATGAATAGTTTGGGCTAATTATACACGAAAATCATCTAATGTATAGCACCAAAAATGTGATGTCCACAGGCCTAATGTTAAGCAAAAGTTTTAATGACTTGCAAAACTGGTGAGGCGAAATTGTCTTGAAGGCACATGGAGATACTAAACATAAATTTTGAAGAAAACACGTTCTTGGTGTTCACCTTCTTTTGTTGCTGACCATATCCTGTCCCCGTGAGGAGGTCATTTTCATGTCCATCATGTCCATGAGTATCTACCACCTTGGCTGGTCATCGATCCACTGCTTCTCAAGCCTTCTGTTGAAATCTGCATCAGTGTCGTGTTGCGATTTCGTCTTGCATTTTCTTCTTGTGCTTAGTGTTTCTTTCTCTTGTCACCATGCGGAGTCCATTGTCAGTTTCTTATCATCAGTGCTGCTCTAATGCATCATCATTAGTGGTCTACCATCTCAGCCTTGCTTCTTGAATTTTCGTAACAACATTCAAAGTTTCATCTGCTCCTCGATCCGATATCACTCTTTCAACAAAAAGAGGAGACTGCCTTGTGTTCCGACAGACCGCTCAAGTTGAGTGAAGCAGCATGCTATGTCTATCTCATCAGTGAAAAGGCTAGAGTTGGCATTATATTGAGAACATGCTGCATATCAACTGTGCCAACTCTTTCAGCGCTTGATGACCACCTAAATTCCATGAAGGATGTTGTCTTGAACGAAATTTGCGTTTGTGATCAGGAACATTGTTAACGGTGTTGTTGCCCTCACATAGGTACTAAGCACTTCAGCGGCACACCCACCATAACCACAGTGACAGGCAGCTAAGTCACATTGGATGGTATTTAACCCGAATTTGGCACTAGAAATACGGCCCCAACTTTCTGCAGCACAAGGACATGTAGCCTCAGCCCGCAGCAGCACATGGCTATGAAACCTTACTATTTATGAAGTGAACTTCTTTATAACAGTAGCCCGAGACTCAGCTGCAACCAATGCATTATGTTGAACGTTCAATCATGGGAATTTTATCATGCTTGTAGTACTACTCTGAAAAAACTTTTTTTTCGCTGCTGCTGAAACGGTCCATCTCGGCACACTTTGATGTTATCAATGATCTGCAATGTCGAACTATTGCACGCCTGCAACACATCTAAGATTGTCGCTGCTGTTGCAATCTGTTTTAGCATGCCTTTTAGGGATAACATAGTTACGTAAATAAACGTATTTAAAAGCTGCTTTGCGCTGTTTCCATTCTCCGAGCGTGCACTTCATACTAGACCGGTTACTCATTCACTAGCTTTCTAGCCTGATTCAAACATTTTTTCGACACCTTCATAAATATTAGATTCAGCAGAAAGAGCAAAGGCTCACCTCTAGTGCATTTTCAGCAGCGGTCACGTCGAGCAGGAGCGGCTGAATGGCTGCCAAGTCATGTTCCCTGGCTTCGAGGGTCGTCCTTGCACGAGCTAGAGCCTGTGAGTATGCCTCCCAGTCAGCCAGGGCTTTGGCCATCCTCTCCTTCCGAGCCTGAATGTCATCCATGGCCTCCTGCCATCGCTTGCTCAGTGTCTTGGCCTGATTGCCGGGCAGGTCCCTCGTGGCGGGTCCGGACTTTCGCTCCAGGACCCGGGCTGCCTCCGAGAGCTGTGCCAGCAACGGCTGACTGCGCTGTGCCTCCTCCTGAAGGCGTCCCAACGACTGCAACGCCTTCCTCAAGGCACGTATGGATGCGGGCTTGTCTTCTGAGGGCTCAAGAGTGGCTAGGAGCGCTTCGAGCTGCTCGCGGAGCTTGCCGAAGCTGGCCCAAGAGGCCAGGTCGTTCTGAGCCGTGTCGAGAGCGGCCCGAGCATTGGCACTAAGTGCGGTCAGCCGCTGCTGCAGGGTAGCAAGTTCCTGTTCAGGCAGCTGAGATGCTTCAGGGTCCATGGTCGGACGTATCTGAGTTAGTAGTGCTTGCAGACTGCGGAGGCACTCGCTGTAGCCAGCTGTTTCGGAGCAGACATCCTGCAAAAATGGAAATGAAGACTTAGGCTTGGTACGTGTCCTGTGGACGAATACTCCACAGGACATGTACAACCCCTTGTTCCCTGTTACTACTTCATATGTGAGAGTGAAATAATTATTTGCTTAAAGCATCAGGTTCATCTCATATAACCCACTCATAACTAAAACCGATCAGCGACACATCTTTTTAACACACCCTCTTTCCCAAACTAATATAGTAACAGTTAATCAAATACCTCAATAACTAGTTCCCAGCAAAACTCTGGTCCACTGCAACAGTGGGTTCCGTAATCATACCACATTTACAATCATGCCCCGCTTTTAGCGCAGCTTTTGTTGTAATCGTACCGTGGTTTTGGCATGCAAGACTTCATAAATCAATTTCTTCAGATGGCTCACAGACAGACCCTTTGCCATAGTGACTGCACCAATGACAACTTCTAAAGTGTGCTCATGGGGTATTGATACTTGTATATCTTGACATTACATAACAACTAAGAAAATAAAGAAATAAAAGCAAGGGACACTTGGGTAAGAAAGCAAGAGTCTTGTGCTGACCCTGAGCTCTTTGCAGCGGGCATCAAGGCCGTCTAGGTCAACTCCGTCTCTAGCGGCGGCCACGATGCGCTCGGAGCGGTCGAGCCAATCCACCAGGGCGTCCCGCTGTGCCCAGTAGTCTCGGCGCAGGGCCTGGGCGCAGCCCAGGTAGTGCCCACGCTCCTGCAACTGCTGGGGCAGCGTGGATCGCAGCAGGGCCAGCTCACTAAGCTCCTCCTGGGCTCGACTGGCCAGCAGCTCGCTGGGCAGTTCCTTGAACAGCTGCTCTTCCAGCTTGCGTGCCTCTTCCAGATGCTCCTCTGACTGGCGCTGCAGTTCCTGTTTGTCGAAATAAAAAGAATGAAAGCACAAAAGACTTATAAGAGAGAGGTGAAGTTTATTTCGTAATGGCTTTTAATCGGTGCTGTCATCATTTGAGTTGACGCTTGACATATCGGACATTACTGTAAAAACTGGCAGCATCTCCGCAGCCTGGTCTAGGTGATGTGCACAGAGACCAGGCTGAAGAGGTGTGCCTTGTATTTACAATAATGTCCGCAAGATCCTGAATGTCTAAGAACAAAACAGGGATGACAAACATGACAAATTCAGGTAGCTCACTGAATATTATGGCAGGTGGTACGCCTACACCCTTGTGCACTGCGCCTTCTTTATTTCAATTTATAACTGCATTCCTTACACTTATTAAATAAGGATCACTTGATCGGTTGATTGATCGATTGGGTCAGATTAGCAGAGCTGTCAGTAGTCACACCATCAAGCACTCAATATCAGTCGGCTGAATGTAAAGCCCACTCTCAGAAAGCTCATTAGGCCTCGAAACTGACCGATGAAATGCTTCATAAGAGAAGACAAATAAGGATAATTTTTCACCTTGTGACTTTCCAGCTCGGCGTCTATGCTCTCGGGCTGCATGGTCAACGCGGGCCGGCCACGAGCCTGCGCTTCATCTACGCGCAGATCCTGCAGGGTCTTCTCCAGGGCCTGCAGCTGGCGTTCCTGTTCTGCCAGCAGTCCCTGTTCCTGCGTTTTCAGGTTCTGGATTGACTTGCGCAAGGAGGCCAGTTGGCCCTTCAAGTTGCCCAAGTCGCCCAGGATGGCATTGTGGTCGGCAGAGGACCCTTCCTCAGCCAGCGCCTCTCCCTTGTCCTGGGCCGAGGTCAGCTGACCTTCGGTGTCAGCAACTTGGGCTGTGAAAGCAAGTAAAGAACGTGCATTGCTGTTGTGAGTCAAGAAAAGAGAACAAATTTTGACTCTGATATACCGTAATTACTCGAATCTAACGCGCACCTTTTTTCCGGTTGAGCGAGTTCATAAATCGCATGCGCATTAGAATTGAGTACGAACAAAAAAATTACGGTCAATCTATTGCCATCGGCAAATCCAAAATGGCCGCCCCCTACATGCGTCGGCATGGCGCGTCGGCCATTTCTGTTTATGTGTTTCCCCTGTGCGGCACTTAGTACGTGTGCTGAGAAGTTCGTCATCTAGTAGTGCATTAGCATTGAGGGCGTGGAAGGGCCGACTCCAAAAACTCGAGTGCACCACGATGCCGCTTTTAAAAGAAAAGTCATCGCGTGTGCAGAAACGAACGGAAATCGGGCCGCATTGCGGTCGTTCGGAGTTCCCGAAACGTGCGTGCGGGACCGGCGGAAACAAAAGCAGAAGATTGTCGACAGCAAAGCTTCATGCAAAGGCTTCAGTGGACCACAGCAGGGTTGGTTTCCACAAATTAAAGAGCTGCTCGGTGAGTTTGTGCTTGAGCAGCGAGCGGCACAGCGGCCCGTGACGACAGAACTGCTCCAAGTGCGGGCTATGCAATTAGTCTTAGAAAAAGGTCTAATGCAGAGCCAGTTTAAAGCGAGCAGGTGCTGGCTAACTAACTTTATGAAGAGGAAAGGCTTTTCCCTCCGAAGGGGAACATGCATATGCGAAAAGTTTTGCGGAGGAGTACTATGAAAAGCTTCACAGTTTTCAGAGGTTCGTCCTAAACTTGCGGCGCAACAACGGCTACCTGCTTGGGCAAATCGGGAATGCCGATCAGACGCCTCTTTGCTTCGACATGCCTGGCACCACAACCATCAAGAAGAAGGGGGCGAAGCAAGTTCGCGTGCTGACATCGGTCCACGGTAAAACTACAGTGACAGCAATGCTCTGTTACACGTCAGATGGGCACAAGCTTCGCCCGTACCTCATATTTAAATGGAAGACGCTCCCGAAAGGAGTCGTTTTTTCGAGTGGTGTGATCGTGCGGGCCAGCGAGAAAAATTGGTGCGCGTCGCAATCGATGTCTTACGTTTTTTTTTTTTTTTTCGCGGTAGAAATCGGGTGCGCGTTACAATCGAGGGCGCGGTAGAATCGAGTAAATACGGTATTGCGCGAGAGTATACAGATAGGCTAGTTGGTATAGATTCAATGTATAAAACTTGAAAGCACAAGGAAAGGAGACACAGAAGGACAGGACACAAAGAAGCACAGTCTGGAACTTCAATTTATTCACTGAAGAAATATATACCACAAAAGAGCTGTCAGGCATTTGCAAAACGCACAGCACAGTCACAGCAAACGCTGAGAGAGCGGCCTTCAAAGGCCCTTTTAAACACTCTATGGGTAACTGCTACTAGCACACTACGCGATTAATAATAATTTTTATGTACTAGGGAGGCCTTCACTATGCCATCCTTTGTCATCGTTCGGAGAAGTGTGGAACCCGCTACACACTTCCAAAAAATTTTGTGCCACTTTTTGATGCTGTGGCTGACGATAACATTGAAAAATTATGCCTGAAGGTTTTGCAGTGGACACCAGCAGCAGCGGCGGACAACTACGGCGCATGAAACTTTTGTTGTGATCTCATAACAACTTTTGCTGTAAAACCTGAGAAAAGAAGAACCCAAGGGGAGAGGGAAACCAAGTGTTGTATAGAAACAAGATTCTATATTCTTAACATAATACGAACTATATCGCTTTTATATTGCAGAGAAGAACGGTATTGATAAAGAACACTGATGTTTGTGGGAATTCACCCTTTGTATCACTTCTACACTGCGAGGTCTCGTTTCTGGACAACACTCGACATTGCAGTTGACCCTTCCCTATCGTATTTCCCTCTTCTCTAACGGTTTTGTGGTACATACTTCTGCTGGGAATAAATCGAAGCCTCAGTCAGTGCCAATCTGCATCTCGATCTTTCGTGTCTCTTCTGTTTACGCTTCCAAGTTTATTATAATGCTCCGATATAATTACATTTGGTGCGACAACACTCCAATCATTTATAGATAACTCACACCCGAGAACGTGCTAATTACAGTACTATAGTTAGATGGCATTACTGCTGAATAATACCAGCTGATCTCCTATGCTACTAATTTTGGGACGTTAAACCCCACATATCAATCAATCAACCTATGCTACTAATTTACAACAGTGCGGGCGTCTTCTAGAGTACCGCGGAACTTTATTCCATTGAGTATCTGGGAAGAAGCGCGTTGCACCAACGATACAATTTCTCTGCCTGCCATAGTGGCAACGGATTTTGAATTCATTTCACTGAAGCTGATGTGAGACGTGTACCTAAAGATTTTTGCAGATCTTCACGGGGCCACTTTCTGAGATGAAAACTGACGTACAACTGAGCGCCTGGTCAAAGCCGTCTTCCACCCTTTAGAAATTAACGGTGGCTTCTCAGTGGCACCGGGAATAAGATCCGGGACTTTCCACTTAGGACGTGGATACTCTACTATTCGACCATCGCTATATTTGTTGTCACTTGTCTTTTGCTTTTGCTTATTTTCCGGCAAACTCTTCTCATAGTAAATATACCATATACATGGTTACAGCCTAAAAAAAAATGCAAAGCTTTGCCCACAGAACCATGGCAAGCCTGCACTTCCAAGAGTGATTGACAGCCATTCTAGCTGCTTTCAGCTTGCACCGGTAGCATTTTCTTCAAGGTTAATAGAAATACTATGCGTACCAACAGTTAAAGGTTTGTCCCTAAAACATGGCTGGCCGTGCAGCGACGTCGAAATTTCCTCCGAAGATTATCATATTGTTCAAGTTTCCGACCTAAATTTCGCGACACAAGTGTGGTCTGTAGAGAAAAGTCAACTGTGTGAAACACTTGAGGAGTGCTTGACTTCACCAAAATAAGTAAGCACGGTTGAACAGAGCATTTACGCAAGTTCTCTGTAGGAGGGACAGCGGTGAGTGGAGCGGGCATTTCTTTTCTTGGTTTGTAACTTGTAACTGACTATAGAGGCCCCACTAACTACCAAAGTTATTTTCTCTGCAGAGTACATTTAAACGACTTTAACACAGTGCCGTCCGACACGTACCCAGCAGGTTGTCGTACTGGGGCAGCTTCTCGGCGGCGGGCTTCTTGGCCTTCTCGAGGACAGCCACGGTGTCGGTGAGCCGGGCAATGGCTTGCGCCACTTGTTCGCGCAGCTGGTGGTACTGCTGCCGCAGCGACAGAGCCTGCTTGGCGCGGCCCAGTTGGCCCTGGGTCTTTTGCAAGGTGACTTCGCAGCGCTCCAGCAGCCGCCCGACGGCTTCAGACAGGGGGCCGGATCCCTGCATGCGCTCCAGGCGGCTTTGCAGGTCCTTCAGCTCAGTCTGCACCTTCTGCAAGAGTGCATGGCAATGGCAATTAGGTTGGAGTGCACAGCTTCGTTATTCATGAGCACTTGTTATCCTTAATTTAAGTTGTTTAGGTAGTATTACTACAGTGAAGTTAATAAAATGAGGTCACTTACAGTTGAACTTGAATGTAAGATATAAGGATATAATGAATCATTGGTTATAATGAAGCATAATAAGACAAAATTGGCCCCGTATCTGCATGTCACACTGCAAATGTCGTCGAAAGACGATAGTCTTGCGTTTGGAGAGAGTGAACAAAACATTTATTTGGTGTTCTGCGCAAGAAAATTGGCGAATTATATTCTGGAGGCGGTGCGTCAGAGTGCCTCGAGCACGCAGCTGAGGCGAACGAGCGCATCTAGACACATCGCACACGAGACATGAGCGCTATCTGGCAGTTATCTTGGAAAACGAAGCACGCGGCGTACGCACCTGTCTTGGAGGCGAGAAGGTGTAGAACGCAAAGCGACGGGTAGGTGCCGTCACCGTGTTGTCTTAGCAAAGCGTTGGAAACACTTGCTTTTTTGAGCATCGCGTTAATTGGCAGCTCAGCTTGATAAACGCTATGGTCCTTAGAATTACTTATGTGAGCCTTCTCTAGTATAAAGACACACATACAAAATATTGACGTGTTGTTATAGTGCCTCAGATATGTGCAATAATTGCTTTCGAATTGACAATTGCACAAGTATGAATGCTAAAACTTGAGCAATATTGGTGGGCGCTGCGGATGGGGTCCACTGTTTGGGGTATCGTTTGGCGTCGTTTGAGGTACCATTAAAGGGGGACAAACAGACAAACGTAGAGACAGACAGACAGACATACAAAATTTTTGCGTCGAAGGTCCCCAAGAAAGGCTATCGTTTTTAATAGATTCGTCATTCACATCCCTGGCATAGTCAGGGGAGGAAGAAACTGGGGAAAGGTTGCGATAAACTAAACAACATGTGCTATGTCTTTCATAGGTCCTTTTTTAGTATTGTGCTCTACTGTAGTTTACAAAATGCAAAAGTTTATTCAGCTCTCTTATCTTTAAGAAGACACAGGACGTCACTTCGTACCTGTAGTGCAGAGAGCAGGACCTCTGCGTCTTGGACAGCCGGACCCAAAGGACCACCGAGTGCCTCGAGACGTCGGCACAGGCCATCCAGCTCCTCGCTGCACTGGCTCAGTGTGGCCCGCTGCTGTTGGAGCTCAGCAAGGGCATCCTCCAAGGAAGTGATGCGGTCAGAAAGCAGTTTGTCCAGTCTGTGCAAGCATTTGAAGAATAATATTAAGCCACTTAGGCCAAACACAGACAAATGCCACAGCTTTATTGCGAAGACTTGGCAGTGCAAACATTGCAAGATCTGTGAGATCACTAATAGAGAGTTTTCAAAATAGCGAATGGAAGTGGCTTAGTGGATACAAGACAAATTTTAGAATGGTAACATGATGCGCGTACAAAATAAGCATCAACTTCAGCTATTTTGTGCACAGGGTGGAGATTGTGTGTTATTAATGGGTAAAGCATTTATAAAGATCCACAATTACATTAACTGTGCCACAGTTTGTGCATTGACCCGGCGATGTTGAACTAAAGCCAGCTTTGTAAAATAACAGAAAAATACAAGCACACAGTGTATATGCTGCATATAAAACCAGCGTAATCTCACTGCTTTTGTGCAGATGTGATAAACCAACCGGGGCATGTGCTTGTACCTGTCCTTGGTCTCTGTCAGGACGCGTATCTCTCGGTTGGCGCCAGCAGCAGGACCAAGCTTGGAAGCCAGCTTCTGCATCTTGGTCAGGTCGGCAGAGAGACGGGCACCGCTTTCCTGCAGGCGACGGTGCGTGTCGAGCTGCTCTCGGATCACATCCTCGCTCGTGGTGAGGAGCAGGTCGGCCGCCAGCGAGGCCTCTGTCTCACTCAGCACCGACTTGACGGCCGACAGGGCCTTCTGATACTCATCGTACAGCTGCACCAGCTCCTTCAGCTGCTTCAGGCGGTCAGCCAGGCTCTGCTGGAGCTCCTTCACCTTGTCCACCGGTTCTGCGAGAGAGGATCGAGGACACAATTTTTACAACGCTCGGTGGCATCTGTCGCCGATTCGTAAGAGTGACAAAGATTTGGAACTTTGAATTGCCTACAGGTGATGCTCAAGTGAGAGAGGCACTTGATTGCACGATGCCCAAGGTGGAATACAAGACACGAGTATTAAGAGCAGGGACACATTTCTCGCGTCCCACATATATCAGTTTGCTACCTTGGATAATTTGGCCACTAAGTACGATTCCATCAAAAAGAAACTAGATGATTGTGGGACCACACAGGCATGTATGACAAACTAGGGACAGAGGACATACGCAAAGACATGACCAACAGGGAATTTATCTGCATCCCCTTTCACGTTTTGTCCTCCCATTTCTCTAACTTATCAATTAGTATATGCATTCACCTTGAGTGCATCAAATTATGTCCACCAAACTTTTTTTACCCTGGACAAGCTTCTGCAAGGCTGCGCAGTCCTCGGGCTCACATCCTGGCTCGAGGTCCTTTGCGAGTTTCACGAGTCCAGCCAACCTGGTCTCTTCAAAGTTCTTCACTTCTTTTTGCATAGCCTGTAGATAGCGAAACAGCGTACATCGTCAGTTCTGCGAGCTGTGGATCAGCAGCCGCAGCATAACAACGACAATGGCACAGGAAAGGCATAATACAGCTTCGCCATAAAATAAGGCCCATTCTTTTGCATAACCTTTGCTCACCTGAACCGAGCTGAGAAGGTTCCTGGCATCATCGGCATCCTGCGCGGGAGCCCCAACCCTTCGCAGGTCCTGTTCTTTTTCACGAAGCCACTGCCGCACGATCTCGAGCTCGTCGTCGAGGCGACACGTTTTGTTGAGCAGCTCAGTCAGGCTGCCAGTGTGCGACGCCAGAAGGTTCAGCAGGTCGGCAAAGCGCGTCTTCAGGTCCTGCATCATCTGCTCAAGCTGCTGAGCATCCAAGCTGTCCAGCTCGTGTGAAAATGACTCAATACGCTTCTCGAAGTCCTGAACAACGGCTCGCTTGTTCTCCACCTGCCGCTGTTCGGCCTGGAAGATGAAAAAAAAAAAAAAAGTGTTCTAGAAAGTTCTGCACTCTGAACAATCTGAACTGAGAGGTGCGACAGAAAGTTCGAGTTTCATTAAAGAAACAATCCAGTTACAATAATTTCGAGTGCAACAGTCAGTTTGCTTGGACTTTCAGAGTGAAAAGGCATCAATCATTGTGCTTCATGTTTTCGATTCTCAGGATTTTCCCTCCTGAAGAAGTCACCTTGACACGTCAAGACAGAGGCCAGTACAAGTAAATCTAATTGAGAATGGATGAAAACATGATATAATAAGTTAAACTTCAATATAACAAACTTCAATATAACAACATTTTTGGAACTTACCATCAATAGAACACCATGCATATTGAACCTGAATGTTACGAAGCGAGTTTATCCTGATTTCATTATGACAAAACTTTAGTGCTGCCCCGACAAAGACAAAGCGAATAAACTGAAAGCTCAGCAGGGACTAGTGGTCATACGATTGAGTTGAATGCAGTCTTTGTGATCGCTTACTGCATGTTATCATAGTGCGTTCGACCTGCATATTTTTCAAATTTACACGAGACTTTTGGCTGTTGTGATGAAGACTCCTTTGCCGGCACAGCATCAAGTCGCATCCACCACATTGCAGGTTCAAGAATTTCATTTTTTTTTTTTTGGCGGTACGAAAATTTGTTTTCTATGCTGCCGCATTATTAAAACATTGCCACGGCAGATCCCACGCAAAAGTATTGAAGCCTTTAGCAACTATACTTTAAGAGGTTGAATTTCAATGTAATAAACTTTCGACTCAATGAAGTGAACTGTCGATTTTACAGACTTCGTTATGTGGAGATTTGAAAGTATTGCAACGGTTCACAAACCGACCTTGATTCCCTGCAGTGCTGCCTCGACGCTGGCACTCTGGTAGCCAGGGTTTGGCAACTGCTCCAGGGACGCTTGTTTCTCCAGGAGCCACTTCTCTGTGGTGGCCGCTTCGGAGTACAGAGCATCCAGTCCACTCTGGATCAAGTCTAGGCTCTTGGTTCTGCGCAAGATCCGCTTGCGCAACTCGTCGCACTTCCCTTCGAGGCACCTGCGAGGCAAACACAGCTACGTTCAACTTCTTCCCTGAGTTCTCCTTCCTTTTGAGAATCCTCAACCTATAGCCGATTAGCAGTCGCTAAAGAAACTTAAGACACTGTTCGGTTAGCTACAAGTACAAATTTGCCACAGTAATAAGAGTTTACATGTAATTAGATATGTTAAGAATGGATTTACTGTCGATCTTAGAGCCAACGTTCTCATTGGCAGAGCGTCGAAGGAAAAAAAGGGATGAATACTGCAAAGTATTACCTGTGAGAGGGCCACTAGCACAAAGATAATGAACTGTAAATGTTATGCAAAAGCGTGATTACATTGTTTGCAATTCTACAAATTAACAGAAATAACTGAAAGTTGAGAACATCTGTAAACAATGTTACAGGTACTGCCAGGCAAGTTAACAAAAATATGATGCGTCTTTACGGCCTGAACGCTCGATGGCTTATGTTATCCAGTTACTCTGTATCAGAATGGCAGCCTACTTGAGCTGGTCGTCGCACTTGGCCTTGTCGTCTGGCTCGAGGCACTTGGTGAGGACGGCAATCTTGCCTCGGAGGTCGGCCACATCACCGCCGATGCTGTTCACCTCGTCCAGCAAGACCTGCGGCGAAGGGCATGCCAAATTTATTTTTCCTTCACACACCGTTCCTGTTAGCTTGGGTATCTTACATCAATGAGTGTTAACAAAACCGTTAAAACAAATTTTCGTTTCGAGAAATAAGCCGAGACGAAAGCATGTCAAGACAGACAGGACAGCTCCTCGAAGACAAGAAAAGCATTGCACACTGTAATGTGTCAAATCAGCTCCAGAATACACCTTGAATTATGAGGAAATTGAGAACTTCGAAATATTTCGTTATGCAGATAAGCTCGTTGTCAAGACTGCCCACTGTAATGCTTGCAATATACCTGATTATTATAAACTCATCTTTATACAGATTTGTTATAGAGGAATTTAAGTGCTCATATGTGACTTTAATGGCTAGCTGCCTGTGCTCATCAAACATACAAAGTGAAATATCTTTATGATTCATACGTGCAAAGCAATCAAATAATTTTTAGACAGTTTTACATTCCTTAAATCAGCCCCTCATAAAAAAAAGAACAAAACTGTGTGCCTGGTACCATAAAAAAAAAACAAATATTCTTGAATGCTTCTACAACTTCTTTGTGCTTCGTGCACAAATGCTAATCCACTATGCCAGTTTGTGCAAAGTCTATCCAAACTCTGTAATAATAATCTGATGACTTTTTTAACAGATCCACAAACATCAAAAAAGAATCTTGTCTCACGTTGAGTGTCTGCAAACGTTGCTTGGCGTCGCCCACTGTCGGGCGCTGCGTGCTGTCCAGCGACGACTCAACAGCGTTCAGTCTCACGTCCACCTGTCCGGCCAGGGTGTTGTACTCTTCCAGAGTCTCCAGCTGGGTAGCTCTGGTGCCCGCAACTTGGGAGACCTGCAAGTCGATAGCATTCGTGGCTCGCGTGGCTATGTTGAACCTATTCCCCGTTTCAAGCAAGCACAACTTGTTGTTGTCGAACTGTCCACAAACTGTTTCGGACGAGCGTAGCTCGTCCGCTTGACCGGAAAAAAAAAGAGGTTTTTATGGTTGCCGCAGTGAGTAAAATTGTTAGAATGTTGAAACCTTTTTCGGAACGTTTGAAGTTTTTAGCAGCATTCTTGTTCTCATTTTGTTTTCATGGTGATTTATCAATATTAGCCGGCCTTGTTTCCCGAGTACTTAACAATGAAATTCATTAATGGGATCTTACCCAAATCAAAGAAAGATTGGAAAGGTCATTCCAATTTTGAAGTCAAGTTAAGCTAACTTACCTTCGTATATGCTTCAATTCTTTTTCAACAGCAAAAACTTGCATTGTAGAAGTGAAATATTCAATACAAACCTTTAAAAAAATGCCAGTTTTAATTAGAAAGCAACTCAAAATATTAAAACCGTTAAAGAATTAGAACAAGGTGAACGCGTGAATAAAATGTGCATCAAATATAGTACAAAAGCCCCGCTTAAGACAAAATCGCCTACTTTATAGTCAGTATTTTGTTAAATCCACAATTTCTTTATATCTTTATATTAGTTGTAACTGAAATTCTGGTGATGAACATATTAAGCTTGCTTCGTCATATCCGTGTTTGTTAATACTGATGTACAAATTTCCTATAACTTTGCTCTGTGGTTGATGCAGTAAACTGCTCGGACACAAACCTGCGCTTCCAGTTGGTGGAGACGGTCTCGCAGGGCCGCCTCACTAGCTCCTGGCGTTCCCGACTTCAGCTCCAGGGCATCCACGGCTGTCAACTTCTCAGAAACCTCGTGCTTGATGTCCTGCATACACAAAGCACACCAGGCACGTCAGACACAAAGCCCATGCCAAGTCAACATTGAAAGTGCTTTTTTTTTTGTCCAAATCTTCATGCCAGCTGTGAAGTTGTTTGAGAACACTATTTGAAAGAAAATAACTTTTGTGATACGGTAGTTAAATGTTAATTGTGCTCATGGTCAATAAATTTAGAGAGTCTTGTAATGCTGTTGAAGTAATTATAGCAACATAATAAATAGCTTTTTCCACTTTAGTTTGGAAACCTTTCTATCCGACTTCAAGGTAGTGAAAAGCGCTGATAATCATGATGTTTGGAGTGCAATTCGATTCATGAGGCCACACAAGCAAATGACAGGCCGACAAATCACTTGGTCTTAGTATCCCTAAGGTGTGTCGAAATTTTTCGCTTTCCAAGAACGTCTCACTGACAAACTATGTTCTGACCAGCATGCATTATTGCATATAACATGCAAGCCTGCTGCGTGTTGTGTCGTGTGCTTAAACTGGCATGTCACAGATGCTATGTTTCCAAGGTCAACACAGCATTCTTCTCCAATTGCAGGATAACTACTCCATGGATTTAATGTACAAAATGGTGATAAAAGCTTAAATATTGTGTGCTCTGTAAAACCGTTTTTTTTTTTCGTGTCATTCAGTGTAAAATCGTTGTCAACAAAGACTTGCCTCAAGCTGCCTAAGTTGGGCCTGCAGGGCCAGGGTCTGTGGAGGAAACTTTGCGCTTCCCATCTGGGTGACGGTGGACTGCTTCTCAGTGATCCAGTCCTCGATAGCGGCCCTCTTGCGTCCGGCCTCCTCGAAGCCTCTGAGCTGAACCTCCAGTTGGGCGGCGATGGCCTCCAACTGGATTGCACAAGAGCACCACGAAGGAGTGAGCGAAGCCACAGGCTCAATTAAAGTTTATGAAGACACATGACGTAAATACGCTCAAACTTCATGATAACAATCACACCTGCCACAAAAATACTTTTTTATATCCGAAAAATCGTTATAGACAGATGTTTGTAGCAGTGTATCAATGACAGAGCTATTCTTCAGTTACTTCGTTATAACTGATAATTTGTTATGCTCGGGTTCGTTATATCAAAATTTGAGTGTACAAGCGAAAAATAACAGCATCACTGCTCGGAAGCAGTGTACTGCATTTTTACGCCTGCCTTAGGGTTGAAAGTTGTTTAAAACTGAAACAACTGAGCATGCGCACAGCCAAGAGATAACTGCTAGACCTTGCGAAAGTGTCGTGCTATAACATGCAATGATTCTGCTGAATTTTTAGAGCTGTACGGTGCCTCAATCACGTACAGACTGACAGCCTTCTTTTTTTTCTTTTTGAACATACAACAACAGTAACTTATTATGGCTGAGGTTGTGTGGGTCTTCCTCCAAAATGGAAGCACATAGCTTGTGATTGGTTGTTGTGGTTGATTCTAAAGCTTGACAGCTCTTAAATGTTCATAGTCCGGTACAATGACTCAAAAGAATGTGTCAGTCATGGACAAAATAACAACTAATTGTAATGAAGAGAGACAAACTGATCTAAGAGTTTACAGAGTGAAAATGCTTATTTAGTGAGATCAGTGAAGTGTAATAAAAGAGCGAGTACCTGTTCAATGTTGTCCTGAAGGCGTATTTTGATGCTATCTTCCTGTTCGGGAACACTGAAGACCGTAGCCACCTCTGGGCTAGATGGCCTGCTTACTGAAGACACCGCCTCAATGCAGCCCTGAATGGCCTCTTGGAACTGAGTCCTTGCTTCGGTCAGTTGAGTAAGCATGCCCTGTAAACGGTCGAAAATTATTACGTGAATGCGTAGCCCACATTCAGTTCTACTAGCTATCCATAGAGTAAGCTGCAGCAGTTTGGTTAGACTGTCATTGTCGTGGTCAATGCCTCCGACACTAGGTGAGAAGCTGAAGAGAAGCCGTCGAAAGTGGGTGCTGCTCGAACCAATGTTTAAACAAAAAAACTTGGTCATGGATGTTGACAAGTCACTTCCATGACACATTAACACAAACTACATTCTATAATTGACAAATTCTTGGCATTTCAATCCCTCATCTTTTTTTGACTGTTTTCCTACATCTTTTTATGGAGAACAGTCTTCTTTAGACCAGGGTCTATATTTGAATTAGTCCTTTCAATGCCGTGGCGGCTTTCAAACAGCCTCACAACAACAGATGACAAGCCACAATAAGTAAAACTTTGCGAAGCCAACCTCAGTGATGAAGAAAGTACCATGACTACGTATCCTATATGAAAACAAAACATTTGCTATGACTTTACTGTGCTCCTAGACCTTTGGTTACCATGATAAAACCAAGAAATCTGCTTCATAAGTGATATATTAACGTAAGTTGCCTATACTAAACAGGATATAACGATGCGACAATGAGTATTGGTAGCTTGCTTACTATAAAGTTCCATTAGCAAGCATCCTGTTGGCAAGAGCCCTATCAGAAAGTCTGTCAGCCAGTCTCGCCAACAAGAAGTTTGCTGGCATAAGACCACTTCAGCAAGTCTGTCGGAAAGTCTTAGAAACAAGAGGTTTGCTGACATCTCGTTGGCAAAAGGCTAGTCAAGAGAAATTTGCTTATTCAAACCTAATTTCTTCCTTTAAGATTCCATGTGATTCAATGACCATTAAAAGGATAACGAACCTTGCAAGTTTCCAGTTTGATCTTAGAGGCCTCGGCTGTTTTGGGAGTGTCCTCGGAGAGCGCGGAAATCTTGGGCTCCAGTTCCTCTAGCAGCTTGTCACAGACCTCGAGCATCGTCTCGTAGCTGATGAACTTCTGCAAAGCACTCTCGAGACGTGCCTGCGAGCAGGAAGAATAAGCATCAACAGCTGTTGATTCATGCAGCAATGTGTACAAAAGTACTACAGGTTCCACAGCATGAATTTTTCAAGGGCCTGGTGAACAGTGACATGAAATTTGCAGTTTGAGCACAAAGAGAAACTACAATACCTGCAGACAGCGCAGGTCGCGTACTGCGAAAAAAGAACAATGAGTTGTCAATCTGAGGTTGCAACAGCGTGTGAGAAATTCGAAGGCAAGATTCTACTGACTCTTCTCCTATTGCAGTCAAAAGTATGGATCAGCCCAGTGCTTGTTTAATACTTAGCATTAGACATGAATAAAACGAATCGAATTCCACGATTAACCTTGGACACATTACACAGCATTGCGATGCACTCGCCTTCACGAGATATTGAAAAAAAAGAAAGCATGCAAGCCACTCGACCACACGTAGCTCATGTTCAAACCTAGTCAAGTTGTTGGTGGGCTGAACATTTCGTCAACCTGACAAGCTGTTCAGCACACCAACGCATGACTCTGCACATACATTGTACTTGGCGTTCTGAGTGTTGTGCATACGAATTATAACTACGTTTTTGGTGTTCTTCGAGAGCTCTTCACAAAATGCAGAATGCACGGAAATTCCACCATACTCACCAGGACTTGGTTAGCGCCAGTGAGCAGCGCATCGTAGCTCTCCTGGATGTTGTCGAGCTGAGACTGCACCTGCTGCTCGAGCTGGGGTGCATCCTTCTTGTACCGGTTGACCAGTCCCCGACCCTTGGCTTTGACGTCGTCAAGGGTGGACTGGTACTGCTTGACCTCAGCCAGAATGCCCTAAGTGTCATCGAAAGCAAACCAAGTCACATTGGTGACTGTGTGCGAAAGTCTGATGATTTGACCAGGCAAGACAAGGATGAAAAGAGACAACTGCTGTACAAGCAAGGAAGCTAGTTTGATCAACTTCGTAGTAAGAAGTTAGCTGACAGCTGACGAGCTCATGTAAAGGACAACTGCAATACAAAGAGTGGATGAAGTTAGTGAATGACGTGGCTTGCAAACTGAAAGTGTTGTATAGAGACCCAAAAGTTCATAGTATGACGACTGCACAAAAGACTGTACTTGTCCGTTGATTTTTCTCATAGCAGCAGTACAGGCAGGCTTTTTTTAATCTTCTATACTGCTCATTTCTTTCTCTACTTCGTCTTCACTCCCGATAAAGAGGATCCAACTGGATGGCTACTCCGGTTAACCTCTCAGACTGTCATCTTTTATTTTCTCTATATCTCCTGCAGTATCTGTCTGCTATTTCTCGGAACGTCAGTGCCTACTATTACTCCTAGTACTATTACTGCTGCTAGTACTACTACATCAGTTGTACAGTGATGCCCAATGTGAGCTGCCGCATAGTGGCCACAGTTGAAGGGGCCTCAAGCCAGCACTGTAATACTGCCAAATGAGAAATTAGTTTGCGAATACCAATACTCTAAATAGTGTTTACGGCGCTGCCTGTTGTCTATGTCAAAACCACTTTCAGTGTTGACGCTGCGTTGACCGCGGACAGCATGTTGCTACTCATGTTGCTACTCATATTGGGCATGTATATACGTTGCACATTTCTATTGTGCTTTTTCTGAGGGTGCTAGGCAAACAGTGAAAGTAATTTAAGGGGTTTTTGCATTGAATGTCACTTCACTACAATAGTGCTCACCCACAGAAGTGAAACTAGCTGATCCTTACTTACAAGGCTTATCTGCAAGACTTACTTGCAAAGCTTACTTGCAAGGTCTAAATTGATAAGATCTACATTACAAGCTCCAAATTGCCAGGCTGTCTACAAGGCTCTGCGAATCAAGTTACTTGAGACGAGGTTATTTATAGTGCATGCTTATAAAGCTTGTTTGACTGCCTAACACAGAGGAAGAAATATTTAAAAGGTGAAACTCCCGTTAAAACGAGCGTCCGCTGGCGTCCAAATAACGTCACGTAATATACAAAAATAACATGCTCCAACGGAGCATCTTGTGGCACAAAGCTTCAACCATGAAGAAAAGAAAAGGCAACACTACTGTCCAAGTAGGCCAAACGTGCTTCGCGTCTTTGCTCTGTGACGCGAGCAACGTGCCCAACTGGTTTGCTTGGAAACTGAAACAATGGCAGTTACCTTTTCTGCCGGAAGATGCCATCGGCACGAATCGGCTCTCCAGCTATGTGACATTATTTGGTCGCCTCAAGGAGCGCAGTTGCACATTCTGAGTGTTTCTTCCTCCGTGCTCCGTAAGTTTTGAATGAAGCCGAGAGAGTCTGACCACATGTCTTACTTTACCTTGTACTTGTCTAGTTGTTCCTGTGTCTGCTGCTTGTTGAGCACTTGAAGTGAATGCTGGGCCATTACTGGGAAGGACATTTGCAGAAGCCACTTCTCGGCTTCCTGCAGTGCCTTGTGGTAGCTCTGGGCGTCGTGCAGCTCTGATTCCAGCGAGTCCAGTGTAGCCTGAAAGCAAAGATCATTCACGTTTGTATGTTTCATTGGTTTATTGAGTGTCTGGTTTATGAATTCCTTCATTTGGTTCTGAAAATTTTTTCGAACAGCTCTAGGCATTATTAATAGTGCACTTTGCTAAATAATGAACAGAAAAAACGGTAAAGAAAACTTGAAGAAAGAGACAATTGGGCAACGAAAACTTAAATACTAGTACACAAGAACACATGCTGATGCTTTTCATCATGCACTTACAAGGATGAAATTAAGTTAAATTCTGGAGTTTTACATGCTGAAATCACGATATGGACAATGAGGTGCCTTGTAGAGGGTGACAACACAGGAATTAAGTTGAACATGTTTCTTTAATGCACGCCCCAAATCCAAGAAAATGGGCTTAGCAGATGCGTCTTAGCAGCTAAGTGACTATAGATTGTTCAGCAATGAAACGTAAGCAGTGGAACACCTACTGTAGACTGACATAAAATGAAACTCTCTTAAACAAAATTACTGCATAAATGGAACAGCTGCCTCTAATAGTTGGTTTCGAACTTGAATTATGTACTTCTGGTTGTGTTTAGTAAACAAAACTCGTGTTAAATGAAACACATTTTCCTGGAAAGTGTGTTTCATTTAGCAGCAGTCTGCTGTACTTCCAAACCAAAGCCCTCAGTTTTAAGCCAAAAGGCTAAAAAGAAAAAAAAAACATACCTGACACTTCTTTTGTAGCGAGTCCAGTTGGTCTGCCATCTCTCGTAGGACAGGAAGCACTTCCCCGCCATCCGTCTTTTCAGCCAATTCGGACGCTTCTAGTCGAAGCTCCTTCAGCTTCTGCTTGTGGTCTTCCAGGTTTCGGCCAGTGTGCTGTTGGTGGACAGAGATTGAGGCAAAATTTTGTTAACCACAGTCATCTTGGTTAACTATCCCGCCGACTGACTACTAACTAAAGTGCAACGACAAGCATGCACTACGCTGTGAGACATCTAATTTTCCTAAGCACTCCGTAGAGCGAGCGTAGGTCACAACCTTACCTTTCCCACACCTCGCGGCACTAATGAGCTGAGTGATTAGTTAACATGCAACTAGGTTAACTAAGTCTGAGGCCCATGCACGAGAAAAATAATGACTAAGAAGGATTCGGGTAGTGTAGTGACTAAGTTTATTGCTTACAGTGTCCTTACAGGTAGTGTTTTTCGATGAGCGATGATAAATGGTGAGACCTTATCAAAAGACACAGGGAGGTGAGAACAGTGAGATAAATGCAATACAAGCAGACAAAAAGAGATAAAAAAAGTGTGAAATAAATATACACAGTATGCAAAACAAGATTTAAAATGGCGAATGTCAACTACCCTATAAACAGAATGTACATTTCAAAAAATCCAAAAGTAGTTTCTGGTTTACAATTGGAGGAGGTAGGGCGTAGTGGAAAATAATAGATGACAGTGATGCAGCTATCTACAGATAAGTACAGAAATTGTATAGAAGTAAAAAAGCTAAAATAAGTATAATCATCATGCCAGCATAAAGAGTGAATGAAGGACTCGGGTTAACTGCATTAGGTACTGAGCCTACGAGTTAGAGGTCTAAAATTATTTCGTGTGGTACAATGCAAACCTGCACACCTAAACAAGATTTTTTTTGGGTTGCCTAGTTACTGAGGTTTATTTTAAGAGTACAATTGACAATGACAATAAAATAAAACTTGAGAAAAAACATTCCTAGTGCTTAAAAATCTGGTTTTATGAAATCTCCAACAAGTGCAAGAAAAACAGTCCTGGTCCTTCAAAATACCATTGTGCAAAATCTGCAATAATTCAACGGTTGCATCATTCCTAGCTTCTTTTTTTAACAATGGTGACTATATTATATGGTAAGTTGCAAACTTTAGAAAATAGGTACTTCCCAATTTCTCGAAAATTGTCTACACACACAATCTATGTCAGCTATCGATATGCAGTTGTATAGGCACTTGTTTTGAAAACTATAGCGAAACACACACAAAAAAAATTGTGCAAAGTGGATCTGTGAACATGAAATAAAAGCTGTCCATAGCACACACAAAGACATACTACACTAGTAGGTTTATAGCTTTGAAATTATATCCGTGTAACATGTCATGGCATACTAATGCAACTCTGCAACTGCAACAATCTGCTAGTGCTACTGCCAGCAATTGCAACTGTATGCAACTGCAACTGTATGCAACAGCGAGTGCCTGCAACTGCAATTGAATACAACTGTCTTCTACCACGAATGCAAACAAAAACATCCTAAACTATGCCTAAAATGAATGTACACTGATTAGGCAATTGTTTCTTAAGTTCACTAAACCTACAGTCTATGTAACTAAGCATTAAAAATCGAATGAACCTGAGGCTAGGCACTTAATGCTCGCCTAGCCTCAGTCGGGGGCCGCGTCATGGCCACTTGCACTCTGTTTGGGGGAAGTCCCAGGTGTAGATGACAATGCAGATAAGCGCGTATATGAACAAGTGTATAAACACCTTGTACTGCTCGACAAGGCAGCGGATTTGGACAAGGTCTCCGCCCGACACGGGTCGCTCCTTCAGCGACTCTTCCACTTCGTCAAGCGAAACCTTCAGCGCGTCGGCTCCCTGCATGAGCTCTTGCCAGCGGGACTGGAGGGACGCCATCCGGCCGGTCGCTTCGCTCGTCAGTTGCTCGAGTGTGGCTAGTTGTTCACGCAGACTATCCACCTGGAAGAGACAGTGCAGGTGGTGTGGGATTTTGCGATTTAATTCTCTTAGCAGTGCGTTCTCAAATAGGTATCTGTAAGTCTTTAAAAAGAAAAATCAAGAACACTTTCGAAAGGAGGCTTTTTTACTGCCACAAGAAATGCTTTGTTGCTACCACAGCGAATTATGAGCACTGCTTACACAACAGTTTGAAAAATCCTGAGGTTTTACATGCCGAAATGATAAAAGTTATGAGGCAGGTCCACAGGAAGACAGTAGGTTGAGTTTGAACATGTGAGGCTCATAAGCATCGACCTAAATTTATGTGCACAAATTTTTTTAAAGTTTTGAATCCATAATCATTAATTACTTGCAGTCTTTCTTAAAATTCCAGTACACTGTCACACGATCTGCTCATAATTACTGCGAAAAGGCCTTCTGTCCGTTTTCCTTGATCTATTCATAAATGCTCTGTTTTGAAACTTGTCACTTGTATATACAACAATGCATAATCCAACAAAACACGGAAACAGAAAGACTACATAAGCGGAGGCTTACCTGAGAGCGAATAGGGGCCTGGCTGACATCAGAGAGGCCGCCTTGTGTCTTACTAGCTGCCTCGGTGACCACATCAAACAGGTGCTTTCCCTCGGAAAGACTCTGATGAAGTTCCTGGAATGAGACATGAAAGCACAAGCGTTGCAATGAACACATGAACCCACTCTCACAAAATAATTGAAGCATTTTAAAGATGCGATGCTATAAAGCTTGAATGATCTTAACAAGAGTTTCAATGAGCCACCTTTGTTTTGTTTGTTTTATAGTTTAATCACTGCTTACGTGCAGTCTTAGTGTGTCATGTTCTGATGTGCAAGCCATCACATTACCTATGCACATTGCTAAGTTCGGTATGTTCCTGAACCTGTGCTTTTTGGCGATGTTTGAGTGCCTCTGACTCGACACTTGCAACTCTTTCATAACCATTTACCGAGCTTTGCACAGGCTTCCTGCATCACCTGCTTACCTGCACTATGTATATGCACAAGAAATCACTTCAGTTGACGATTGTATCAGTCCCGATTCGCAAATGGCAGTTACAAATATGTTTATCGAGATTGCTGCTGCCTATTTAGCCCTTCGAGGGGTGCAAATTTGCCCAATTAAGCTCTAACTCTTTATTCCTTCAGATAAAATTTACACTCTTTCACAGTATGTGGTTAATCAAGTTTTTCCTTATTCATCCACTATCAAGCAAAAACCATTGAGTAATTCAGTAAACGCTGCAGGCTACTGGCCTAATGGGTGTGTAAGATTAGCTTACTGCAAGGAGTGTATTACAAAGAATGTAACGCTATCCAGGAACAGTAGAACTCGGGATCACTAAGACTGCCCCACCTTGAGTTCTGCGAGGTGCTTTTGCACAGTGGCCAAGTCCTTGCCAGGTTCTTTGGCAGCATTGAGCTTTTTCTGTGCAGCTTCAAGCCACTGGATGAACTTTTGTTTGGCCTTGTCGAACTCCTCCTGGCTTCCGAGAGTTCTCTGCAGCTTGGTCACATTCTCCTAAACAACAGAATAAAATATTCAGGAAGGTCAACTCATAAGTAATGAGAAGAACATATAATAAACGTAATTATTCTCTTTTAGGGTATTACATTGAAGAACGGTTCAGCTAAAGGATGTTTCGTGGGTAAAACCACCAGTGAATGCACGAACATCGAAGATTTTTTAGGACACCAGAACACCCATATCCTCATTCCTAAGGTCAGTGACAGCCTTTGTGGTTGCTGTGATCATACAATCAGCCCAACAGCAGCATACCTAGTCAGAAAGTACAGTGGACACCCAATATGCAGGCAAACAGATGAAGCTATCAATACAAGTCGCAGTTTTCGGAATCTGGAAATCGCACTAACCTGAAGAGACGCCACAAGAGACGTGTAGAGCGTGGACAACTTGACAGCCTGGTCTCGAACTGGTGTCTGAGCACTGAGAAGGAGAAGGCGTTCGCACTCCTCGTTCATCTCCTCCATGTCGGGCTTGTGGAAAGAGGCTTCTTCCAGAAGGGCCTGCGTCGGCGGTTGGTATGAGGGTCTTCATCTAAGAAACTACGCAGCAGGACACAACACAAAGAGATAAAGAAAAGAAAAACGAGGGCAGCGCTATTTGTCTCTTCAGTGCTCGTTTGTTTTTCTTTCTTCGTTTCCCGTCCTGCTGTGCAGTTTGTTAAGAGGACTCCATGTAAAACTAAAATGTGTAACAGATAAAAGAAAATACAGTAGACTCTCAGTAAACGAAACCTTAAGAGATCGAAAAAATATATTCTATTTAGCAGGAGTTCCTTTTACTGAGAGGGGAACATGGGCGCAGAATACAAGCCCAAAACCAAGCATTGCAGAGGCAATACTTCCGCTTAAGCAGTAGTTCCTTTAACAGATTTCCGTTTACTGAGAGTGTACTGTATCATCATTCTATCTTGATTTACTGTACCAGCTACTCACAGCCTGCTGCAAAAGCTAACGTTATTAAGCAAAGTGAGGCAACGAAATCCCTCTCACTTACCTTCAGCTGCTTCAGGTGGTCGGCATCAACAGCGGTAGATGCCAGGGCGGGCCTGGCGTTTCCTTCGAACTGCGACAGCCACTGAGACATCGTGCCGTAGAGCTCTCCGAAGCGCTCCCAGCACTGCAGGCACTCGTCGAGGGCATCCTGGGCATCCTCGACACCATGCTCGAGCTGCTCTAAGTCCTGGCGCAGCTCTTGCAGGTTCTCCTGGAGCCTCTCTCGGCCCGACTGATTCAGGCACGGGGATACCTCCTCCGTGCACTGAGCAACGTCCTTGACGAGGGCAACTCCGGTTGGCAGGCTTTCGCGGAGTTTCGAAAGCTGGGTTGCCTTCTCGCGGACGACGGCCTGGCTGCCTGTTGCATCCGAGCACTTTTGCAGCTTCAGCTTGGCCTCCTTCAGCCACTGGACGGCCTGGGCGTGGACGGACCGCTGCCTCTCCAGCGCTTCCACTTCCTTCTCCAGGCGTGCGGCCAGCTCTTCGGCCTCCTTCTGAAGTTCGGAGAAGTCCGCGATCATCTTCTTCCGTTCCGGTGTGTCCAGCTGCTTTGTCTCCTTGAGCCGTTTCTCCAGGCTGGCCGCTGTGCCAGACTTGGAGGCAGCGTCGGCTGCAATGGACTTGATCTTGTCGAGACGCGTCTTCTTCTCCACTGCACCAGAGGCTTGTTCCGCGCCGGACTTCGCCTCAGCGAGCTGTGTGCGAGCTTCGGCAAGCCATGCCTCAAACTGCTGAAGCTCCTGGGCGAGCTCTCCCAGGGCCGACAGCTGCTCAGAGAGCGCAGAGCGTGCCGCAGAGACCTCCTGCAGCAGCCGCTCAAACTCGACAGATGTGTTGTCGGCACTCTCACGGATCGTCTTGATGCCTTCGGCGGACGTTGTTTCAATGACTTTGTCCGTAAGCTCCATCATGTAAGACACCTAAAAAAAGTGCACAGAAATATTAAACTGAATTTAGAGATGTCGCATGAAGTAGCGTCTGCTCTCATACATCGTGCGCATTTTTGCATCTCAGCCAAGCATATTACACTTGCGCTATCTGCTCGGATAGGACAAACTTCATAGTACAAATAAAGGATGTCAGTCAATGTATTTTGCACCACAAGCTCCGATAAGCTGATGAGAAACATGATATCAGCTAAAACAGTTAGTGCTGCCTGCTATGGTAATGTAATGTTAAACAAGATGAGAAAGAACGATGTCTGTATAAATGTTTTACACCAACCTGCTGCAATATGGTAAGCTTAAATAAAAAAAAAACTGTCTATAAACAAACCAAATTTACGCCACAAAATTTTAAGACACTCAATTTTCTATTGCAACGAAAATATTCCCATCATAAATTGATTTATAAGTTTTAAAGCAATTCATTTAAATTAAGTTATAAATAAATAAATATTTATTCTAAGTTCAGTGATGTGTTTTCATATAAATATAATAAAAATTTTAGTCTAGAAATATTTTGCAAGTAGGTTTTCGATCGTATTTGTTTCCAGCAATGAAAAATTATACTTCTCATGAGGCTTGTCGAAAATGGTGCGCTGAACAACTCGTCAAGTGTGGTAGCGCATTCAGTTAAGCTATCATGTACGCACAGCAAAATTCAGTTAAATGAACACACGTTTAGCAGGAGGTTCAATTCACCGACAGGTCAACGTATCTTGCTCAATTGTAGCCCCTAGCCCAAACAACTAGCGAATAAATTCCGGAGCGATTGGCGTGGTTACAAATCCAGTGCTCAATGCAGCTCCACTGTTATGAAACCTGAGGAAGTATGGAGCACAAGCACCAAGTGATACTCATTTGTAGTGTTTCAACTGCTCCATTTGCCAAACCCTTGGTGACGTCAATGTTTGAGGCACGAGTAGAATCTTGTTAGGAAGATTCGCGAACACAGAGTGCACCATGCATGCCACTTTTTGCTATGCTTTATCGACTTCCTGCTTGCTGTGGCACTTGAGATACACTTCGTCCGAGGTTGTTTATCGTATCGGTATCTTCATGAACGAGCAAGTTCGCCGGCTGATGAAGAGCGTCAAGTAATGGGACATCACACAAGGCTGAAAACTCAACTTCGGCGCGAGCGCAGTCGATGACGGCATTATGGCGGGATAGGAAGTCCCACCCGAGGATGACGTCATGCGAACAGACAGCGAGAACAATAAATTTCACGATGTAAAGATTGCCTTCGATGGACACTCTTGCAGTGCAGGCTGCGAGAGGCGTTACTTGCTGTGCTCTTGCGGTGTGGAGCGACAGTCCCGAAAGCGGCGTCGTGACTTTGCGCAATAAACGGCAGAGATTAGCGGCAATAACAGAAACAGCCGCGCCGGTGTCCACAAGGGCGAAAGTACAATAACCTTCAACAGTTACTGCGAACACGTTAGCAGGGAAGGGGCGAGGGCTTAAACAGTTAGAAAACGGCGCAGTTCTTGCCTCTTGAACTGCGGTGCTTAGTTTTCCTGTTCGGAAGGTCCGGGCCGGCGACGCATGGGGGAGGGCGATCGCCGACAAAGAGATGGTGCGCGCTGTGGCTGGAAGTCAAGGTGGTCAGTAGGGGCATAGCGAGGTGACGAGACCGGCCCGTATTGGTCGAAGGGTTGGCTGCCGGGTTGCGACGACCGGGCATAGTTGCCGAACGTCTGAGGTCGACGGCGACAGTAGCGGGCAACGTGTCCGGGAGTGAAGCAGGTGCAGCAAATCGGTCAGTTATCGGGAGTCCTCCATGGATTGGCGACTGGTGGTGCCGACCAAGATGTAGTATAAGCAGCCGGGTGTGCGCGCTGTGAGCGCGTGGTGTAGGGCGGTTGCGGAAGCCTACGCACAGCGTCTGCATATGTGAGCGGGGCGGCTACGGGCTGCATCTCTTGCGAACAGGCGACAGGAGGAGCCACAGGCTGCGCTGCATACGTTAGGGGCGCGGCCACAGGCTGAATCGCTGGCGGATAGGCGACAGGGGCACCTACCGGCTGATACACTTCCATGAGGTTGTTTCTTCCTCCACTGTAGCGACGAAGACGCCAGACACGATATTGTGGGAGGAGCAAACGTGCTCGGCGCGGCAATGGTGCCCTCTCACAGGCATTAGCAGCATGCTTCCGGAGTTCTTAGCAAGTTTAAGTCAATTGTTGCAATGACTTCTTGGTTATTTCTGTTATTTAGACCTTTTTTTGTTTATTTTAACTCAGTTTTGAGCTTTGCTAGCCCTGTTTAAGGCCTGTATAAACCACTTTGTTTTGAGATTGATCTCGCCACAAGACGCACGGACGACAAGCTGGGCCCGTAAAGTGCTACATACTTAACGCAAGTCATATACACAAGCATGTACAAAAGCATCTCAAAGGGGTATCACGGTACCACCTAATGCGATACGATGGACTCAAACAAAACAAACAGGAGCGTATGAGAAAGGCAAGAGCAGACCTTGTTCCGACCCTGCTGCAACGTCGCCCAGAGCAGGTCGAGGCTCCTGAGGCGCGACTCTGCGTCGTCCAGGGTCGCCGAGGGCTTCTGCAGCTCGCGCAGTCGTTCCTGGGTGCTGTCGAGCAGCTCGGACAGCTCGCTGTACATGCACTGTTGCTGCTGGTGCTCCTGGTAGTGTTGCTCGAGCGCGTGCAGCACCTCCTTTGCCAGCGACAGCAGGCTTGTGTAGCGTGCAGACAGCTGCGTGAACTGGTTGCATATGCTCGAGTCCGAGTAGGTCTCCAAGAGCAGCTGCGCCTTCAAGTTGAGCGTGTCAAACTCGGACTGCCACTCGAACACGGTCTGCAGCAGGACCTGAGTGGACAAGACAGCCAGCAACGCTCTGATTAATGATAGCCAATTAAGGGGGGACGCAGGTCCTGGTGACAGAAAAAAAAGAAACGCCCAGAAAATCGATTTTTCAATTTTGTGATTTTCGTTCTCTTCACATCATTGCGCGCCTACCAGCAAAAAAAATCAGCTCGGAATGACACACCGTTTAGCCTAAATAGACCGTATTTATGCGTCGCAGCACTTGATTTTGCTCACGAAAACGACCCTGTTTTGCCTTGCTCGTCTTGCGCTAACCACTCATCGGAACGCGGCCGTCTAACCCTCATTTGAAAGAGCATCTTTTTGGCTTGCTTTCCCACCAAAAACGAACCTCCAATGCTGCTGCCAACGTGCACTACCAGGCAAAAACAAGTGAAAGAACCGCGTCGTATCATTGGCCCATAGCAATCACGTAAGCGAACGGTGCCTTATGATTGAAGAGCGCGGACTGACAACACTGGAGATCATGCGTGCTGGGTCGCTATTACGCTCGTTCACCACGATTCCTGAAAGTTTTGCGATTGGAATCGAGATGCCAAACCATACTGTATATACGATGTAAAATATTAATATTGTTTTTGTTAATTCTGCTTTATGGTTATGCCATTCAAAATTATTTCCCGACTCGAGCCAAGCTGTGTTTGCACAGATTTGGCAAAAAAGAAATGAAACATTGGATTGATTGATTGATATATGGGGTTTAACGTCCCAAAACCACTATATGATTATGAGAGACGCCGTAGTGGAGGGCTCCGGAAATTTAGACCACCTGGGGTTCTTTAACGTGCACCCAAATCTGAGCACACGGGCCTACAACATTTCCGCCTCCATCGGAAATGCAGCCGCCGCAGCCGGGATTCGAACCTGCGTCCTGCGGGTCAGCAGCCGAGTACCTTAGCCACTAGACCACCGCGGCGGGGCAATGAAACATTGGAGACCCCTGCTGACGAAATAATTGGTAAGCTTGTGGGTGACTTACCTGGAACTCTTCGAGCTTGACCCGCTTGGACTCGAGGTCAGGCTGCAGTTGCTGGAACGAGCGAACCTGCGGCTCGTGCTGGTTCAGCCAGTCCTGGCAACGGCGGAACTGCTCCTCGTACTCGTCCCACTTGACCAGGCCCACGTCCAGTGCAGATTTGACCTACAGTGGACCAATGAGGATGTTTCAAAAGCATTAGCAATCTTTTAGAGCATTGAGGAGGCTGAATAGAATGCTGATAGTTACGAAAACCATCATTGACTAAAAGAGGAAAATTCGTTCCTACATATATGGGGCAAGTTTGAAAGCTGCTCTTAATGCTTTACGAAAGAAAGCTTTTACATGCAGAGAAAAAGTGCTCACGCAATTAAATGCAATTTCAGTATAACGCCCACTATGAGCAACTGCTTGTGATAACCACGTCACATCACCGTAATTTTGAAGGTAATGGTCGCACTGATGTGAATTTTCGGGTCAAAACTATGCCAATATGACATACTATGGACACTGGAGATGAAAGTCTGATCATTACATAGCGCTAAATTTTTATGTTTTTCTCCATAAGAAATGGCTTCAAAGCAGTTGCATTTGTCTTTGCAATGCACATGTACTGCAAACGAACAATTGGAACAGATTGAGAAAACAAAAGCTGTTTTTATTGATTGGATAGTATCAATCCTGCCAAAGCATAAAAGCAAGCTTTGTCGGCCTAACAAACACGTTAAGTAGACATGAAATACTTTAGACAGAAAGTGAAACCCTCTTATGAATATATTTATATATCTACGTGCATATGTAAGTATGCGTGCTGAATCATGCCATGCTTCGTGGGCAACAGGTTTAGCTTTATGGTAGAATACTTGTCTCGAAGACATTACTCAGACATAGATACAGTAGACTTCTTTTAAATGAAACCTGAAGGGACCAGAGAATTTCGCTTCCTTTAAGGGGAGTTTCGTTTATTGAGAGATAAACAGGGATATAATATTCAAGTACGAAACCAAATATATTACCGGCAGTTGTTCCATTTAAGCAGCAATTTCATTCAATAGGAGTCTACTGTATACATTTTTTCCCAGCACGCAAATGCTATCAGGCATGTAGCCATGAACTGAAGAGAACGAGGCCATGTAGCATCCGCAGACATTAATTGCGAGAGAAGTCAATTCACCTGTGCCATGCGTTCTTCGAATTCTGCCACAGCCTTGACCAGCTGTCCGGCCTCTTGATCGACGTGCTGCTGTTCCACTTCATCCTCCATGAAGCCACGTGCCGTCTCTGCCAGGGCAAGCATCAGCTGGAGCCGCTTCTGTCCTTCCTCCTGTTCGGCCTCCAGCACCTGTCATGTTTGCAAGTGATGTGACTCAACTTCAGTATATGAAAAACTTCAACCATCGTAAAAAGTTTACTTTCTAAATAGCGCATGACCACAGAAATGTACGCCTTGTATTAAATCCAACTTCAAAAAACCAGGCCTTTTTTAAAAGTTTTCTAACAGCTTTAATTGAGAGGCTTGTGAAAATATCATTTTTTTTTATGTGAAGCAAGGTAAAAGCGAATGATAATGAGTAACACAGAACTTCGAAGCAAATTCAAATAGTTGCCAAACTTAAGTAGTAGTAGGGTGCGAGTTATTAGTGGTAAAATGTGTTACTTTTCAAAAGTTAGCAATACTTAATTAGCTATACAATAAACCTGTATCACACTCTTTTAAACTTTAAAAAAAAATTAATTGGAGTGCAGGTACTATGCCCATTCAGCCCTGAAACGTAGTAGCAATGCAAATTTTTCTGAAATAGGTGGCTTCATGGCATAGCAGCCACAGGCTGCAGCAAAACGACCCTTTGAGGTGGTCTACACAAGGTAAGATGCATTTATCCGTTCATTTCATTACTTCAAAACTTTGAAAGTTCGAAGCTCGATTGAAAGTGAAGTAAAATATCATAATACTCCTTCGAGTATTCAATGCGCTCGGACATTCGCACAGGCCAAATGAAAAACAAAAAAACAGCAAAATTGTAGAACACGTTTTCAGTTATTCTCACGACCTCCTGTGTTATCTCGTGTCATTTGTGTACGAATTTCCAGTAATGTACCAGTAAAAAACTCATACGAGTAGGCATGACAAGTAACACCACCCCGCAGATTGCATTCATTCATGGCGACGGCAAATATGGAAAATGTTGCAATAATATATACAGTCGAACCCCTTTGCAAGAGACACTAATGCAAGAGATAAATGGGTATAAGAGACACCAGGGTGGCTACATTGAGATAAGAGGTTGATAAAAAAATCCATACATGGTACCTTACTTATGAGAGACACCTCATATAAAGGACAGGAATTGCCGTCCAGTGCCTTTTATAAAGGAGTTCAACCGTGGTCACAGCCTAGCAAAAGCAAGCAGGATTACCTTCAGTGTGCCATGCTTGCTTCTCAGCTCGTTGCGGTCACCCGACGGCTCGGCGCACTTGTTCAGCTTTTCCTGTGCCTGTTCCAGCCAGGAGGTGAGATTAGCGCAAGCGTCCATGAACTCTTGCAGATGGCCCATGACAGACTTCTGCTGCCGCAGAAATTCCTGCAAAATCGCAGAAGCAGAATTTTCATTTAACGGCACTTCAAGAACAAGCCAGTGATCAGTAGACATGTCATCTGAATCGGTAAATACGATCACGACTGCAGCATTGAGGCTCAATACCAAGAATCGTGAGAATAAAAAGACGAATTAGGACAATCGCTACATTAGTCGACAACATGACAAAAGAACTACAGCCAAGGAATGGGAAGAGTCAACACAATCATTCATAGAAGGGAGCATTGTGGGCTGTGAGTGTTCACTCTGTCCAACTGCACACGGCCTTGATGCAACTGCACATGCCCGACGTTAAACGTGAAGACCTGAAGGTACTTTATGGTGACCGAAATGTTAAATACACAAGTGTTCTCATTATTTATGCATCTACTCATTTGTGTTCTGTTATCATCGAAATGTAGACATAGAGGCTGGGATTCAAACCTATGGCCTTCGTGACTAGCAGAGTGACGCTATAAACACAACTACACCATAACATGTTACCCTTATCATTCGCTATGCATCAGCAGTCAAAAACTGATAAACATGGCAAAAAGGCTTAGCTCAAATGTTTGTAAGCTGCAGAAAATAGAAACTAGCATTGTGTTTGCAGACATATATTGATTATCACCTGACAAGCAATGAACAGATGACGTTGCTAGCTTGCAACGAAATGCGATGCGCTCTTACCTTGACAGAGCCAGCAAGGTTGCTGTACTTTCCGGAGATCTCGGGCTTGGGGGCTGCCGAAGTCTGCTGGAGTTCCTGTGCCTTGATGGCAAGAGACTCGACCATGGGCTCGAATGACTCGACGTCCTTTACCAGGCTCTGAAGTGACAAGAGCAGGTACAGGTGTGAGCATGTTAATTAGCAGTAGCGAAATGTCGGGGATTCAAAGGTTGTGGAGACCCCTATGTCCTCTTAGTTATATTGAATGCTAAAGCACAGCATGTTTGTTTGATAGGACTATACTGATGTCTGTGCCATCCAAACGTCCGTATTGTGTGACATTATGACATGATGTCCGTGCTTTTTTACATGATGACATTGTCACTAAGCCCTCAGTTACCTCACAGCACCATCGCATATCCACGTAACATCGCACAAAGTGGGATTATGCAACACCACTTAAATACCATTGTGTGATATATAATGATGTCATAATGACATCATCACGTAGTCCCAATATAGTTTTCTTACCATCAGTAGTAACACTGCTTTCTGAAAGGATACCAGATTTTTTACCTTATAGGGCATATATAATGCTATTGCATTAAATATCTGTGGCATATATATACAAGTGACAACTGATTCAGGTGCATTGAGCAATGTAAGAAGTCTATGCGATGCTGCTGTGTAGCCCACAGAGCCAATCTGAGATTTTGGACGAGGGAAGTTAATAGAACAAACCGAGATTGGTGCATTGTGAAAGCTTCAAAAGTTGGAAGAACAGGTTTGGAATCTAAATCTTTCCTATTCTGAGCAACTTTAGTACAAAACATACAATCATAAATATAGTACTTTTTTTAGTACATCCCACAAAACACATTAAGCAACAATATGAATGACACTGAAATTGGCTGAAAACAGACCGGGTGAGAATCTAGGCGAATCTTACGTTTGCCCTCCTCAACCTGGCCTTGCGTTGTGTGACGGACTCCTTGACTGAGGTGCTCTGGCGTTTCTTCTTGACTTCCTCCAGCTGGTTGTCGTGGTCCGCGATCCACTGCAGGAGGCGCTGCTCCGACGAACTGTAGTCGGTCCATTGGAGGAGGGCCGTCTCTAGGGAGACCTGGCCAGAACAAGGAGTATATCGCAATGATTACGACACGCATGTCAAAACTACTACGCTACAGTTAAAAAACAACAAAAAAGAGAGTCCCCTAAGCTCTGCTTAGTTTATTTGTCTTTTGATTTGGTTGTGTCCATGCTAAGATGCCAACTTACCTTGGCGTCGGAAAGTTTGAGAATGAGGCGGTCCCATTGCTTCTGGAGCTCCTGCATCTCCTGATTGAGTGGGGTCTTGCCAGATGTGTGCGTGCCTCGAAGCGTCTTCTCACCAGCCGTGAGGGCGGCGTGCACCAAGGCATGGCCTTCGTCTTGTTTCCTTACCATACCCTGCATGGAAAAAAAAAATTAATCGAAACGAGGATTCATTTGGAACGTTGTACGTAGCCCCACCCCGGAAAGTTAGCGAAACACGAAATTTCCGGCAAAAGCTAAACGAGGATTTATTTGGAACGTTGTAGGTAGCCCCACCCCGGAAAGTTAGCGGAACACAAAATTTCCGACAAAAGCTACATTCCCACTTTGTCTGAGAACATAGCCTTCAAATAAATCTTAAAGCCCGTAGTAGTGCCTGCAACATATACAGCTATGTTCTGCCCTAGAAGCATTGTGGACAAACCAAACCAGAAACTCACATTTTCAGTGTAACCAAGGTTCCGTAAACTTTTGTGAGCGGGTGTACATTTCAAGAAAACAATAGACCGTGCCAAATACTAGTAGGCCACTTTGTTGCAGTTTAGAAAAACTTTCTCAGAATTCACTGAAGTGAAAAGGTGACTTATTGGTGCTGTAAGAAAAACACTCTTTCTAGTCTTTTGCTGTGCAACGCACACCATGCCAGCTATTGTATAAATGATCTCGTGCTTAGCTTTTAACATGTCTATGTGTATGGAAAACACGTACAATTAGAGAGCAGTGATTTTTTAACACGACACAATCTTTTCTTTACATTTACGTCGTGCAGATGCCTTTCTCAATCTTAATTTTTTCCTGGTGCACTTTGCCTAATTAATTAGAAAATGAAATCGCACAAGCTTGTTCTATACTCTACTTAAAAATGTACATTTAACTTTCTCTGCCAGTCAGCTTTCAAAATTTGCAAATAATATAAAAATAGGCATGGGTGTCACTTTTCCCTTAATTTCACCATGTCTTCTCGTGTTACCGTTTTACCGTACTTCGCATTGTATGCAAGAGAGACGAAGTGCAAAATTAAAGGCGAATTGAAAATTGCAGTGCACTATACCTGCACTTTGGCAAGCTGCGCCTCCACCTCGCTCTTTCCGGTGGTTGGGCTGGAACACTCAGCCAAGGAAGTGGCCATGGTGTCCATCCACTCCCGCGCGGCTGTCACGGCCGTTCGGTACTGCTCGTGCTGGTTGTAAACGTCGCGTGCCCTGCCGAGGAGGTCCTACAGAACACAGAGAGGGCAGTGATTAGCAAGCGTTCAACGATGGACCAGTTGCTCGTTGGGCCATGAACAGATGACCACAGCACTACAACATTGGATGAGATGAGAAGGAGCTCAGGGACGTGGTGCTGGCACGAACACAAACAGAGAGCGCACCCAGTTTCACAGCAAACCGCTCCTCTGAACCTAACAAAACACAGCTGGAACCTGTGACTAGGCCCTTCTCGTGGGCCACTCACAATCAAAGCCAGATCAAGTCGAGGCTGATGCCCCTGACATAATTACAGCACAACAACATAGTGATCCCTGAAGCTAGCGCATGCTGAACTTCTTGAAAGCAAGCAAAAAGCAAAATGGGTATGGGTACTGAGAATTTATAGCCAAATGTGCTTGAAAAATTTCCCATTTGCTGCGCCAGATCTGCAGTGACTTTGGAGAGTCCCATAGTATATGAGGGAGAGAGGCAATGGAGCCACGTATGGGAAAGAGTACTCCGAGATACGAGCCTAGAAGTACAGCTACGGGCCATACAGCGAGATGAGGAGGTGGCGGACAGGCACGGCCTGATCGCCATTCCTCTGTGAATTTTTTTCACTTAAATAAAGTTGTTTCTTTCTCTCTATCTGCAGTGACTTTGACCTGCATTGACTCAAACGCAGTTCAAAGATTGTGTACTGTTGCGCCAGTGGGAGACTTTGTGGATAAAACTAAATGAGCCTTAAGGCTAGATGCATGACAAAGATAAGCATGGATTTCTGTCAGCTGCGTGGCATAAACATTGTCAAACACATGCTACTTCTACTACTTACAAACAGCTATTATGTAAGCTAAAGGTAAACAGTTCACAGAAGGAATGCAGTTCTATTATTATTAATAATTATTGGACTTTAATATTCTGAAACTATATTTAAATTATTAGGCATGCCACAGTAGAGGGCTCTGAAAATTTCAATCATCTAGGGTTTTTCAACTTGCCCCTAAATCAAAGCACATGGGCCTGTAGCATCTTGGCTACATGCAGACGTGATCGCCGCGACTGAGATAAAGTCCGAACGTTCAGGCCAGCAGTAAAGCATCATAATCACTGTGCCCTCACAGCCTATTTATTCAAGTCCATCTTCTGTTTTCCACATGAAGTTTGTAGAACCGTCCGCAAAACCGTTCTGTGATTGCTTGCTTGAAAAGGCCTGCCATGTTTCCACTAAGAAAACATGTGAGCAGCATTGAGGACAGCTTTTTTTCCCCCTTACCTTGGCCAAGTTGAGAGTGACTTGGTATCGCGAGCTGACCAGTGTGAGTTGGTTGCGGATGTAGGTGTCCAGATGCGAGGTCAGCAGGCCTTGAGCGAGTAAGGTCACCCTGTCCAGGGTCTCGTGACCTTTCTCAAGCTCTTCCACCAGACCCTGCGTGACACATCAACAACAGAAAGGTCAGCCGATAATGAATCAGGCTGGCGAGACATGCCACACGTGCGACATTCATTCATAAATGCGAGACTTGAGATGAAATAGCAAATCAGCTCTGCAGGAATCCTCAAGTTGGATTGTGCGACCTATAATATTTAATGGACAACTCAATCTATGACATCCCAGAGATCTTGTGCAAGAACTTTAGGCGATGGCATACGAAGAAACTTTTTTGATGGTGACGGGGGTTTCAGGTGGCAGCACTGCCTTGAGTCATGACTGGGCAGCGGGCACTGGGAGGGTGTATCGTTTCTTATGTCTCTTTAATGCTAGGTACAGCATGGTTGACGAAAATGTCAAGGATGGGGAAAAGGGAAAAAACCAGCACACCTCTTTCCCACACCCCCGATCTTAAGGCTGCCTCATTGGCCATCCTTTTTCATTTATTTTTTTTTCTGGCTTACCAAGCATCTCATTGCAGCAAGAGTAGTGCTTCCGTAATTTTCTTGGACAAGGGAATCCCTTTTTTCCGTCTAGTGTCTCTTCAAATTAGCATCAAGACACAAGGACACGAACCTGTGCCGTTTCAAAGGCCTTTTTCTTCTCTTCCAGTGTAGGCCACAGCAGCGTCCGCTGGTTCTTGATGTCGTCTTCCATCAACTGCAGCCACTCGCTCATGTGCTCGTACTCTTCGCGGAACTCTCGCAGCTGAGCGCATGTGGTGCCTATGCCACGCGAGTAAAAAAAAAAAATCAAATTATTTTCTAAACTCTAGCTCATCCCTAGGCTTTGTGTAGGAGTTTGCTATAACGAACACGAATACAACGAATCATCCCATATAGTGAAGTAAATGAAAAATGATTTCGCTTGTACAACAGTGCAATGATGCAAGCTTACAAAGAATGCTGAATGTGATGAAGTCCCGTTTCACTGGTGCATCTTTGTTATGATGAGGCGAGCTTAAACTAGTCTTTGTATATTGTAGTGACTAGATCTTTTTCAGCCACTACCATCAGAGTTCTGTTGTCACACAAGCAATGCTCCCAATAACGCAGCGCTTGCACGTTTTAGACATTCTTTTCCAGACAAACAAGCTCGCTAGATCCACCTCTTAGTCTGTAGAATTATGTTTGCAAGATGTTCACAGATTTGTGCAGCCACTGCGAATTCATTGTGATTATGTGACTATGCGCCCGTAATGAAACAGTGAGATGCGAGTGCAGTCGCTGGTTGAGATCACTTCAACTGCATCTGTTGTTATTGAAATAAGTCACCATGTTGTAGTATCTTGGCTTACAGTGCCCTAGTTTATCCACTAAGCTGTTAACAAGTTCACTTTCTCATCATGTCTGACTGACAGTACAGATTGCACACCTGTGTAACACTTTCACAAATAAATGAATAAGCATAAACAAGTCAAAGCTAGTGCTGACTAAAATTAATCTTTTAACTCCACTGTCATACCATCACGTCAGACAATGAAAGCTCTCACATACACATGAAATTTCAATGCACGGTTTAATAGAAGACAAATTCGTGTAGCCAGCCATGTACAAGACGATGAGGACGAAGCGAGATGCAAGACTGCTTATCTGTGTTCGCAGTGTTAGCAAGCATTACATTTTGACTGGCTACTCGCACGAAACTCGTGAATGTCAACTCACCCAGCTTTTCCTTTGTGGTTGAAATCTCATCGAAGAGGCTCGTGAGGTCGCCTTTGAGTGCAGAGACTTGGTTGTCCAAGAGAGCGATTCCAGGCTCTGATGTGGAAGCCTTTGTTGTCTCAGCAGCGGCAACTACTGCGTCAAGCTTCAAGTTTCCTTCCGCACGCTTCGCAAGGAGGTCCTATACAACAAATTAGAGGCATAATTTTTTTCATGCTCAAGTGAAAGAGCATACACTTACGAAATATATTTACTGCCCAAAGGTTAGCACACAAGAAAGAAGAGAGTGCCTACTGAGATAAATGGAATAAATAAGATAGAGCTGGCTTCGTGGAGCAAAAAGTGAGATGCTGAACTGAAACTGATGCTAGGCGTTTTTACCGGGCTTGTGCAAATAGCAAATTTAGATTTGAAGCGAATAGTGATTTTGATCGAATAATTGTGAATCAAATTTGAATGGTATGTATGACATATAAAAAAAAGGGGGGAATATTTATCATGACCTAACTAACCTGCACAATATTTCTTTTGAATTGAAATAGGGGCTCTATGCAAATGCCATTCTTTTTTTCATTCAAAGGAAGTCGAAACAAGTTTGAGTAGTAGTTTCGGTAGGATACGAGTGATAACCTGTAAGATACGTAACATTTTAAGATTTATTATACTTGGAGCATATAAGCTGTCATAACAAGCTTAATAATATGAAGAATTGATTTGAGGGTTACATGTTCCTTTAAAGGGGCCCTGCAACACTTTTTCATGTAGTCATGGAGCCAGTAAACATGCTTGTTGCCTCACAAATTTACCGTCGCAAAGTTTTTAGAATCAGTCTAGTACGAGCGGAGTTCCGAAAATTCGTCGCACGCTGCAATTGCATTCTCTCTTCTCGTCCCGACGAAATAGCTGGAAGCTACTAAGCAGGGAGGAATGGCACGGCGAAAGAAAATACGTCACACGCACCTCGTGACCTTGAGCACCTTTTTTTTTCCCCTTCGGATACGCGGCTTTCCAGTGCGATCGCACATGTACTCGTGGACAAGCGGCGGCCTCCCGTGGCGGCCCCGGTAACGACGAGCGCGCCATATTCAAATCAGCCAATGGCTGTGACCAGAGCTGTATAGTCCTTCTTGGCTGCGACAAGCGATTTTTTGAGCTTGTAGTGCCACTTGCCAAGAGAAGAAAGCAATTTTTAGCTTTGAAAATTTATTGTGAATTACAAGCCGCGTGCTGCGCTATAATATTTACCCCGCGTGTTCTCGGTAGCCTCGACTACCGATCGGCAGCGTTCTCTGACAATGCTCAGTGAGTGTTGCAGGGCCCCTTTGAATTTGAAGGGGGGCTTCGCGGCAAAGCGAATTTCCCCTGGATATGTGCTTTCGTTACTAGCACCCCTAAGTTGCAGTAAAACCACCTTTACAGGCGGCCACATGCGGATTAATATACACCTATTCGTTCATTGCGAATACTTCGAAAATATTCGATAATTTAAATTCGAATCAAAGCAAATTCGAATACTCAACTATTCGTTCGAATATTAGAAGCATTCAAATATTCACAGAAGCCTAGTTTTCACACAAGGCCTCAACCAATGTGGAAGTATGCTTAAATATGCTTAAATATGACTACACAAGACAGACAAGCCATTTGGAAAAAGTGAACGAAAAGAAAACTGGTCGGAACTTATGATTAAGAAATCCAGCACCAGAAATATACACACATATTCTTTTTAAAAAAAGGACTCGGCACAAAACTCGCGCTCTCCATTTCTCACATTTATGCTTCTACCCAATAAGATGACTGCATAAAAAATGAGAAGACCATTTGAGTTTCTTTTTTGTTCTTTGTGCTTCTTGCAATCATGACGACTGTATGTTCTTAATACAGGCAGTATGGCAACTGAGCTTTAACGATGTTATACAAACTGAGGAAAGATTTCTAGCATTTGAAGCCCATAGCACTCTCCAAAGAAAAATCAAGAAAGCCTGCCGGTCCACCAGTATTGCAAGGCAGTGACCGTAAAATGCCAAAGACCGCGAGCACACTTCCAATAACGTCCAATGGGCCTTCTCCGGGTAAGTATTCTATGCATGTGTGCTAGACTCGAAGAGGCACATGCCACGATTTTTGGTGACCAAAGCGTGATGACACGTACGGACCAAGCGACATCTGCCACCACAAACATGCAAATCTTTGTCCCACACAGAGGCGTGAACGCAGGCCTCTGTAATCACCTATCGGCGTGCGGCGGACAATTTCGGAGTCCGAGGTTCACAAGTTTTGATTTCAGCGATCTCTACTTGGGGTGCTGTTCAGACTAGGAAAAGGCCCATCGCTGCACCTAACAGAGCAGCTCTTTCTGTTCTGTCCTTCACTTTTCTTCCTTGATTGTATGCGTCTTTTTTTGCATTTCAGTAACCATGTACCAACCAGCCCAACAAAAAGTTTTATTAACCGGGCCGCTTTGGGCAATTAAATAAACCCTACATCTTTTCCTGGCATGCATTCACAATGAGCCAAACAACTGCCTCGCTAACTCGCATAAGCTAGCTTCACTTGCAGTTGAAATTCCTTCGACTTGCAGGAAAGTTCCGGCCACTTACCTCCAGGACTGAAATGCTTGACTCGAGGCTCAGTCGGTCGCTCAGCGAGCGGGTGAACGGAGGGACCTTTTCTCTCAGCTGACGCAGCCAGGACACCAAGTCGTCACAGGCATTCTTGAAGTCGAGGTGACCCCTGTACGCCTTCTCGGTGGTCTCGACAAGTTTCTGCACAGGATGGAAGGATGACGAAAAGGAGCGTTTAGGGACACTGCAGTGAGGTCCCAATTCACGTTACAAATGCCTATACACACGCAAAAGTCAATGAAACTAAGCAGAATACAGTATAACAAGACGCGGAAACGTAAAACATATGCAGAATAAAGAGAGGAAGAAAGGCAGCACTATAAGATTGAAAAGAAAAAAATCAGTCAATGAAATTGCAAAGTGAACTACATACTACTTAGACACACCTACAACAGCAATGGGCTTGTTCCCAACAACCACAAAAACAGATGAATGCCGGGGACTACCCGCAAATCTCCAAATTTATTGGAAGACTTATCATCTGAAGCACATTATATCTACTAATTTTTGTTGCCATGACAGCCTGTTTACAGAGAGAATCTTTATGGCTTGGTGTACTTCCACTGAGACTTGAAAGAAGCCACAAAAGCTACAATAGTTTAGGACAGTGTGTGGCCACGGAGACTCTGATAATTTAATAACACAAAAATTATCCTGTGCAGCACATCCAATGTTAGTGTAAAAGGCTGCAAGAAGCTTGGTGCAATAGAAATCAGTGCACAAAGAAAAGGTAATTTAGCAGTACTTTTAGGCGATTTCATCTTGAAGTAAAGCTGATATGGACAACGATGACTGTGACGGCGACAGACCACAAGGGTGAGAGGGCAGGGAGTGTGTTTAATGCAGCTAAGCGACGCTTGCGTCTCCGCGCATGTACTGCACAAGAAAGCAATTTCTGGCTTTTTCAAAAAGCGCTCACCTCTGCACGCTTGCAGGCGTCCTTGAACCGCTCGACGGCTTCGAAGGCAGGCTCCGAATGCTCGTTGCCCGGGTGACTCTTGGCCAGCTCGGTGGCCCGGGATTTCAAGTTGTCAACCTGTGCTTGCTCTTGAAGAAGGCGCTGCTCCAAGACCTGAACACAAAATCAATGATTGAACGGCACGAACGAAGAGATGGGGCAACTGATACAGTTACGAAAAAAGCAAAGAAAGAAGATCAGTACTTTTGAGTTCAAGCAATTCATACGGGCCTTAAATCAAGAGTGCAGACTTCCTTTGCCAAGTACGAATAATAAAGAGAGAACCCAACTGAACAGCGTGTTATCAGTGTTTTTGAACTTACTACTGCGTGCGAATTTGGTACGATTTATTTCAAAGCATACAATTTCAAGATTTCAGCAAGCTTCACCGCGCACAGCGCATCAATGCCAGGTTGAGCTTTCAGACATCCCTGCATAAAAGATGTGCTGTATATTTTGTTCCGTTTAGATTTCATTTTAGCCAGAAGAATAAACGTACCAAGAATTCATGCTGCACATCCAGCACAACAGCAACAACACCGAAAGAAAAACTAAGAAGCAGTTGAAAGCAATCTATCGAAACTGTGCTTAACAGACCATGAGGCTATGAAATGCGTAGAAAGAATGGACTGATTTTATGACTAACTAAAGAAAACTGGTAAGTTTGCAACAAGCTTCACATTCCTGATCAAGAAAACAAAAAAGTGAAAAAAAAGGTAACTTTGCCACCCGTGGGAGACAAACCAACAATATTCATATAGTAGCACAATGTTTCTCTGACACTTAGCTTAGCTGCTGAATGGTAGAGCATCATCAAGTTTGGCTTCCCTTGGCAGCAACAGTCTAGTTTCTCACTTTCTTTCTTTTTGATGAGCAGGAATACTTTATTTATGCTAAGTCCAACCACTCACCTTTTGCTAATCATGCAGTTATATGCCCTCCAGAAATGAATTGTCTGTTGGCTTCTTTCCAGTTTTATAAAATTTTAAAAACCTGCTCCCATAATTTTCTCTTATGCTTCTTTACGCTAAAAATTATGCAGGCTCCATGGTAATTATCACCAACTACTGCAATTAGCATTTACAAACCTTTGATCGTTCAGCATGCGCTTTCTTTTCGGCCAGGGTCTCTTGAAGCTTGCCCGCATCTTCCAAGGAGGCTTCTATGCCCTCAACGGCAGACAGCACCTGTGAGCGTGAAACAAAAAGGTAGCAAAGATTTGATTATATATAACTAGCATTATCTGGTCGGCATCACATGATTCTGATTACTGTGACTAAGTTTCTTATTCTAATTCTACAAGTTTCAAGCTCTGATGAATAGCCTTTAATGATAGCGATGACTCTAAAATTTTGATTTGGACCCTGCAAGTTGATGATTCAGATCACTGCAAATTTCCATTTATGATTCTGCGAGTATCAAATTCTGATAGATAGCCCTTAATAAGAGGAATTACTAGACAATTTTGATTATGACTCGGCAAGTTTATGATTCTGCTGACTGCATGCTTCTGATTATGACTATGCAAGTTTCTAATTCTGGTGCCTGCAATTGAAGTTCGAAGTTTGAAGTTTTGAATTTTTCATTTGCAGTTACGATAAGACATGAGACATGCATTGTCATGGTGCCCAAGCAAAAGGCGCGTTAATACACATCTGGCCAGACTCCTGGAACCCGAGTGCTACAGGCAACAGTGGATAACTGCCAGAAAGTAAACACCCGCACATGCCGGCCTAATTTACGTGTTTGGGCACAAATAAACACAAATGACGATTATGATTGCACTAGTAATTAACTGAATAAGTACAAATATAAAACTAAATATATATATGGGCAGATACACACTTCTAAAATAATTGGAGACAGATATTTTTGACAATACAATTGTGCTGGTTAATCATGAACTTGCAGAGCCCAAATCAAAATTTTGGAGTCACATCCCTATCATTAAAGTTTATGATTTCGATACTTCAAGTTTCTGATTTTGATAACAGCAGTTGGGCTACTTGTTCTGGTACTCCAAGACGGTGAATCTGAGTCTGCGAGTCTCTGATTCTGACCACTGCAAGTGGCCTGCAAGCGCACCCACCTGCTTGGTGAGCGTGCTCAGGCCTCCCCACAGTTGTCGGGCGTGGTCCAGGGTGGCTCTCAGAGCGGACAGTCGCTGCAGCAGGGCCAGCTTGGCCTCGGTGAGGCTCTGCAGGGTCCGGCTCAGGGGCCCGTGACCCACGGGTGCCGTCTCACCCAGCACCGTCTGGCACTGCTCGGTGGCGGCTTGCACCAGTGACACTAGCGCGTCCTTGCTGTGGGACACCTCCTGAGGGGAGGAAAAAAACATTGCAGATCTAGGCAAATTCTTGAGGCATGTATCAAAAGCCACGATGGCAGACTATGTATTCACACGTTTAGTGTTGGGCCAGTTGGTGATACAAACTTGATGTTTCCCAGCGTAATATAAAACAACAACAGAAGTACAGATACAATGTTGATCAGAGCCCCGTCTTTCTTTTTTTATGTCGTTTTTGTGCCCAGCCATGCGCTGGGGGACGTCGAATATCCAGCATTTGACACTGTGCTATCGGAGAGTGAATTAAAAATTCCTGTCAGAGGAGGGCAAGAAGTGCACATTCTAAGAAGTACACAAAATGATACAAGATTTCAAGCAGTCTTTTCTCATGCCCCAGCTCACACAGTGCATCCACACGGCAAACACTTTTTCACGACTGTGCTCAATCACAGCTGTACAAACTCGGTCGACGCTGGGCAAGATAATGCATCCCAGAGACTGCTTCACAAAATATAATTCTCAACCGAGTGCTGTGAGCACCAAAGCTTCACAGTCAATTTGAATCCACTAAGAAGATATAATTACGAAAAAAAAAAAAAAAAGCTGTGCCACAAAATGGCAAACACGCAAACAAAATTGGTGCTTTGTTATTTCTCCAGATCTACAGCTGTCACTTTTGATAACACGAACATAAGTTATCTTCACCAATTCTTTGTAATGTCTCACAGACTGAAAGCTCCACATTGTTTCACAGTAGGATGAAAAGCTATGTCTGAGAAAGATTTTTTAGTGTTTGAGTGACTTCACATCACTGCTACAGCTTCTTAGAGTACCGCTAGTGGAGTCTGTTGGCAGTCGTACGTCTTATTTGTTGGCTGCATCCTTGCTGCGTGATGCCATTTCCGACATATATATATCAGCAAGTGCCAGCTCATGAAGTGTATCAAGGCAGACGCACCTGAATGATGGCCAACTTGCTTTCCAGCTGACTCAGGGAGCCATCGGCCAGTTCGCACTGGTCGAGCTTCTCGTTGGCCTGCTTGATCTGTTGCTGGGCGTCAGCCACTTGCTTGTCCAGGGTCTGGTGGTTACTGACGTACTGGGTCCACTTTGTCACTGCCTCCTGCACAGCAAGCAAGTAATGAAAAGATAAGGTTATGCCATGTCAATGGCACAATAAAAACCAAAAAAATCTGTCCAGCCTTGGTGCTCCTTGTGGCTTTAAAACTAGTAGTTCAATGAAATAAGACATCTGCTTTCCCAGTTAAGCATCTGTCTCTCAGCCTGTGAAATACAGTAAAACCTCAACGTAACCAGAATAGATTGAAACAAGTTATCAATTTTAATGAAGTAATGCACAAATAATCTTGCATTTAATACAGTGAATTTGCCATCTTAGGTTTACGATTACTTTTTTTTATATAAAGAAGTTGTTTTTATGTGGGTAAGACTTTGTTCTCACAACGTCTGACTGCATGCTCTAAATCTGCTCTGTACATGTATAATTGATGCAGCAGTTTAACAAGTTGACACATGACTGTCTGATAAAGTCTGCAAAATAAAAGAGATGTTCGTCTCCTAAGTTGAGAAAACCGGTCTTAAACGAACTTTGAAGCAAAATGAAAAAAAAAAAAAACAAGTTAGAAAGCGAATCCAGACGTAGAAACAAAAACGGACAGTAATAACGCTGAAAGTCCTTTCACTGCGAGTCTCTTTTTCTTGCCGCGTCTGCAGTTTTTCATTCCTATTTTGCCTAAGCATTGGAAATGCATCGAGGTTCAGGATTCCAACTAGCCATGATAACTGCCTAAAGCCCTTAAGCAAACTTGCACAGCCCTTGCCAAACTTCAGTTTCTTGCATAAACATTTCTCACGAGTGCCAACAATTTAATAAGTTTATGCACCTCCAATTTGAGTTACAGCACAACTTTTGTAGGAACGGTATATGATGAATGGTCAACAGTATGTGCCACCTTTATCGAGACCAAGTATGGAACTGTGCCAGCAAAGCTCTATTCTCATTACGAGTAAAAAAGAACAGTAGAGAAGGATCAAAACGAAGAAAGTCACTGGGATACGACAGAAATCTCACCGTCAGGGCTACCAGAAGCTGCTGGTACCGCAGAGCCAGGTCAGCCAGGCGGCTGCTGCGACGCGTGCTGTGGCCTCCGTGAAGCTGCTGGGCTCTCTCAGTCAGGGAGTCCACCTCAAGTTCCTTCGCTCGCAACTCCCGCAACGTCTCCTGCGAAACGTCGTTCTCCAGGTCACGAACTGCCTTATACCACCCCTGGTTCTACCGGTTAGTCGACTGTTTAGCCTTTTACTGCTTCTCACAAGACATGTACACAGTTGCTCAGTGAAAGTGAGAAGTAGTCCAGGTGGTACCATAAATGAAAGCCACGGGTTATCTAGGTTTGAAGTGGCCAAATTTGAACTATAATTTTTTCATTTAGGAATCAATACCGAGCAACCAAAATCTGCAGTCGGTGCTGGTGTACCTGGTACAAAGCTGGTGCCCAGTACTCATTCTGAACTAGGTGTCGGGTAGCCAGTGCAGAGCCAGTATTGAATGCTGATTTGTGGGCCAGTGCAAAGATGAATGTAGGGACCAAGATGCCTTATGCAGGCAGTACTGGTCTTGGCTAATCACACAGCAAAACACCAGATCTAGCACTGTGCCCCACTAATTTACTTTGTATTTTTTTAGCCTCTATGCATCCAAAATTTACGCAAAGGCATACCTGCAGCTTTTCCAGGCGGCTTCTCTTGGCCTCGAGCGTGTCGCAGAGCAGCAGCCCCTGCAGCTCAGCATCTTTCTCCGACATCCACTGTTGAAGCTTCTCCACCTGGACGTGGTGTTCCTCCCAACGACTAAGCAGCTGTTCCAAGGACTCGCGTGCCCGAGTCACCATGTCACTCACCACCTGCATCGAAGATTAACGGAGTCACTTCTAGCACATGCATTTAGCAAATAGGAAAAGCAAAAGCTGTTTATAATTGTGTCACCAAGGATGCACAAAGTGATCGTGAGTGCTGACAAAAGAAGTTACACGGGTATCGTAGCCTCCTTAGCTGCACTGAATGTGAAAGCATTGCATATCTGGGTGTGACAACTCTATTGATGTTCGCACTATTTTGACATCCATGGCACGACATCATCAAATCACATCACACGATTAGCGGACAAGTCGTGTTACGAGACACGGAGTGCACTGGCCTGGAAAATGCCAAATGTGTAGCTTCGTGAGGCATGCAACGCCTTTGCATTAAAAAAAACTTTCTTTTCTATTGTGCAGTCCAGACAAGCAGCCTACTGGCACAGGCCATGTTGAATGTGGGTGTCAGAGAGAAAAGTCAAATAGCGCTTGATACTATTGATTGTGCCTGCACATGGCCCCATGCATTCATATTTTAGTCTACTGACCCAGTATTAGGCTGCACAGCTGTACCAAAAGCTGATTTAGAGACTTCGGTGCTGCCAAGATCCAAGTGTTCTCGCGTGATGCAAAATATGGATCATCTTAAGAAAACCTTCGTTACTTATACTAATCACAAATTACACTTGAACCTCATTATAACAAACTTGCATCTTACATGAAAATATGTTCGTTACATCTGAAAATTCGTTATAACGGTTTATTCTTAACACTAAATCTATTGCGAGACTATCTTTCATATACTTCGTTATAACCAACATTTTGTTATATCCAGATTCGTTACATCGAGGTTTGAGTAGTAGTGACAGAAGCAGTAAACACTTTTGCCTGAAACTTCATGTCAATGAGTGTGCAAATGCACCAAAAGTGAAATGTGAACAATCTATTTCCATTTTAGTGGAGACACACTGTTGGTATCTCTTTTGATCCAGGAACAAGATGCATCTTCGTTAAGCAATAGTGCGACAGTAAAACAAGAGGTACAATCATGAAACAAGGACAGGAAAAGAAAAAAAATACCACAGGACAAGTGCAGACATGCAGAATTCGCTTGTCCTGTGGTAATCTTTCCTTTGGTGTCCTTGTCCCTGCCGTCCTGTTTCATTATACCATTTAGTTATGAATTGTTTAGCCCCCATCAGGGTGTTACTAATGCGATAGGCAGGCAGCCACGTACCTGCCATTGCTGCTTCAACGCATCCAGTTCTGCCACCACTACATTGTGGCCTGCAGGCAGGGTGCTCTGAAGCACAACTGGCAACTGCTTCTCTGCCCGTTTCATCTCCTCGTCTTGCGTGCTGAAGCTGGCCTCGATCGCCTGCAAACAACAGAGTAGCAGATGCGCACAGATCACGTGTTGGTACACAAGTATCTTACACATTCGAAGATTCTCACAAACTCTAACATTTTTATAAAGTCCACACCTGCCACAGTGTATGGGCACTTTCATATCGCCACGCTGAATGAGGATGTAAAGATGCGATCACATAGATTTAAGAAAACAAGTAAAAAGTAGAGTTTCACGAATCATAATGACTAAATTTACAGCTGACAGCTGCACATCATGGCTAACGTACAAGATTGAGCGAGCTGGTATAACATGTCTTTAGGGCAGAACAGTGCAAAAGAAAGAGGAACAGGCCGAAGGACATGTTCAGACCATTTATTTACAATTTTAGTTTATTCACCGCATTGATGCACAGTATAACTTGTGCTGCCAACAATAAAAATAAAAGAAAGGACAAAAAAATCTCCACATCCTTGTCTTCTTGTTCCACAATTCCTGCAATATTGTACCCCAAAAGCTTACGTCACGGCCAAACGAAGCAGATGAAATATTCATCTCATTGTCAAGCATACCGTTCTGTAATTTCAGTTGACAAGTTGAACAAAGGAATGAACAAAAATGTTGCTGCGGCATTTTCCAACACACCCACGTGCCGACCAAGAACTTTTCTTTCCTTTTTAATGGAAAAAAAATACATCCAATAAATACTTCAAACCGTTACTTGTTGGTTGTCTGTACTCGAGAACACCTTTTCTTCGAAATGAAGCGAAAGCTACAGAAGTGGAGCCTTTTAGACATGTACCACTATGCAATGTAGTATGGTATGTCATGTGTTCCATACGGCTGTGGAAAGTCATTGCAGTGCACAATCAGCATTACATATCGACGCAGACGTGGCTTGGCGTTCGAAGTACTCGTAAGAGGCACAGCTTTCTCATGTATTCAAAAACGTGAAGTGACAACGAATAAATTAAAACAAATACGAATATATTAATGGTGTGAGCTGCGTCTTGTGTCAAAGAGCTTCATGCAAAAAATGAAGGCAGCATTTTTCCCAACTCACGTTGAAAGTAAGGACACAAATGTAGGACTACATTCATTAGTGGTAGGATGCATGTCGTTTGGCTCTGTAGCCTTCGCTACAGAGCCGAAATTGTTCGCAGGTATAGAGAAACCCAACACAGTCTAACATTGAGCCCAAGGAAAGCGGGAATCACCTTGAGCCTTTCCAAATTGCTGTACAAAGCCAGCTGGTCGAGGCCGAGGTTCGAAAGCGCCGCGGCTTGTTCCTGCGTGCTGCTCAGCCAGTCTCGGACATTGCCCAAGTGCTTGCTCAGTTGTTCGTGCTGCGTGACTGCGTCCTCCAAGAACTTCACCGCCTCCTACGAAATTGCAAAAGGATATACACGACGCCGAATTAAAATAAAAAGCAGTCCCAAGCATATGTCGTATCTAAAGGTCCCAATATGAATGAACTCAGAACTTCAATAAGAAAAAAAAAAAATTGAACTTACCAAATCACAAACACACTATTAAACGCCACTAAAAATGAAGGCGAAACTCTGGACCCAGACTGATGTGTGCATCTACTCAATATCAAACTACTCAAAATCGACACCTCGTTAAACATTACACCTGTTAAAGCTACAGCATGCACAGAGGTATTTGCTTTAGCAGGGTTAAATACAATGCTGAATTGATTACGTTCAACACAAGCAAGCAACAAAGTTCTTGTTGCCACCCTAAAGAAAATATGCATGCCCTCACATAAAAATGATGTCGAGGCCTACTTCGATGAAGACCTATAACTTGCTGGTAAGTTTTGCTCACATTTAAGTTGTATGTCATGCTTAACTGTGCATCATACACAAACTACTTTACTGACCTACTTTACTGCTTACTTTACTGCATACTTCATAAAACTGCTTTACATTTTTGGCATTTTCACATCCACTGCTAGTGACGGCCCCTGAGCTCTATATACCAAACTACATTAATAAATCAAATACACTCAAACCTTAATATAACGAACCTGGATATAATAAAATATCCGTTATAACAAAGTAAATGAAGAATAGTATTTCAATTACTATAGTGTTAAGAATATACCTTTATAATAAATTTTCGGATATAATGGACCTAATTTTGTCTAAGATGCAGCCTTGTTATTATGAGGTTTTAGTGTATACAGCAATAGATAGATAGGTCTACAAAAAACGTAACTTGTTAACCCATGTTTTTACCTGAAGCTTCTGTGTCTGCTCCTTGTGGCCTTTGACAACACCCTCTAACATCTCCTGGGACTCGTTGTCACGGTCGGCAATGGCTTCAGCCTTGATCTGGATGTCTTCAATGGCTTGCTCCCGTTCGTTAAGTTCTGCAAGAAGTCCCTGCAAACAAACAAGGCAAAGAATTTATTAGGGTTGCAGAGAATGCAAAACGCGACGCAAGAGCACCTGACAAGTTTGTTGCGTGGACGCAAAATGACAGAGAAAGCAGTTTGCCATTTAATGTACAAACGTAACTTTAGCGGCTTCGCACAGAATGCAGTTGAATATGATCAACGAGTGTGTTACCAATGAAGTGACCAACGGGGGCTATCATGTCATTGCGCCAAAATTAACCGAGTGAGGCCGACACAGATGTGATGAGAAGTCAAGAAACAAGAAATTTGGTTCCAGGCGATATTTAGACTTTTTCGGGGCAGTGAGTGCATCCCTTGGCAACGTTTTTATGTATGCCTAGCTCATTTTTCCACCCACCCCCACCCCCTCCGGTGTGAGAGGAGGACAGACAACATAATCTAAGCTTTGTAGCACATCAGTGAAATTCTCGAACATGGCATTAAGTACACTGCAAAATGCTGTGTACAAAATTTAAGCATAAATAAGTCAGTGATTCAGTTGGAATGGTCCTACCGTAGCAACTCGGTACATGTGGTAGAACGAGAGTGCCCACGTAGGCAAGAGGCACGATAATCCTGGATGAGACGCTATCAACACGTCCACTTGATCTATTTTACAATGAACAAGTTCTACTGACTAACATATGCACATGTTATCGCTAGCAGTAAGACGCACTTGGTTGTATTGAAACTGTTCGAACCTTCTCGTATGTTATCAAAAGTTCTAACCAGACTACTTGCACCATGCACATGATGGCATACACTCTTGAATGCACACGATCACCAGCAATAATGCTGTAATGTACCGCGAATAACGCACAAAACAGCTGACACATAAGATCCACCAATAAGATTTTTGACAACTGCAGAGTGTGCTCAGCACTATATATGTGGAATGCGAGTGTTTTTTGCTTTGTTGGATTCATGTTTGCCCAGTAAAGAGTCAAATTTCATTTTATGCTTTCCTTCACCGTCAGAACACTGCCACACAATTAAAATCACTAGCTACTGACAGACAACCCCACGAGAGCAAATAGCCTACTTATATAAGCATTTTCTCTTTATATGATGTATAAACAGTTAATGCATTAAATCTGCAAGTCTCTTTATATAATGCATAAACAGTTAATGCATTAAATCTGCAAGTGAGATCTTTGATGACCGCTCAGTGTACTCATTACTATCATTGAAATGTGACTGATGATTGCCTTGATGCGTACAAGTGTGTCCAGTAAAGCGTTAAGTTTTCATTTTATGAATTTATTTCACTTTCACTACCCTGAAACACTACTAACATCATTAACTATTAGTAGACGAGCGTACATGAGGAAAGAGCTTACTCTGCAGGTACGGAGGTGCGCCTTCTTTTCGTCTAGGGTAGTACAGAGTCGCGAGGCTCCCTCGGCCTTGGCGGCAAGGCCCTTCAGCCAGGTCTGCAGCCTCTGCAGGGCCTCATGGTATTCGGACCAAAGGAACTGGGACGACTGGAGCACCCGCTCCAGGTTCTGGGCCTTGTCGAATACGGCCTCGTAGGCCGACTGCAGCTGCTGCAGGAGCCCCTGGATGGCCTTCCAGCCCTCGGGGGAGCTGCCCACCTGAACCTGCTCAGCAAGCTGCACCGTTGCGTTCACCAGGTTCAGGGCCTCGCTCTTGCCCTGGAGCAGCTCCTGCGCATCGTGATGCAACGAGATGAGGCACGTGGTTAATTGCAATTGACTAAACAAATGATTGATAAGCTGACTAATCAGATGATACTGAAACTGATTGATTGATTGTGGGGATGGCATTGATTAATTGACAGGCTGATAATGTTACCGACTGTGTGCTAATTAGGTTGCTTACTAGTTGACTAATTAACTGATTGATCGAGTGACTTGTTTATTGATTGACAAACTGATTGAAAAATTGATTCACCATTTGAGATGACTATATTAACGAGCCTCTTGCGCACACTTTAATACAGTGGCACAAACCCTTTCCATAATTCACAAGTGCGTTTCCCTGCACTGCATATTTGCACTACAAGTGGTGGCACCCGTCCTGCTTCAAATGAGACGAGGTCCTAGTTGAACATGATGGGGCTCATCTATTATTTGCATGAATGTCGAGAAAGCTGAGACTACACTTTCCATGTCATAGCCCAAGTAAACTGCACTTGAACACACTCTTTGCAGAAAGTGACTCGCCTTCATTAGTCGGGCCAACTGCATAGCAGAAAAGCAAGCTTTACTATTATGAAAAGGGTCTATAATGTCAACATAGTTAATGATAATTCTTCCCTAAAAGTAAGCTGTCTTGAAGGGGCCCTGCAATAATTTTTGAGCATGGTCAGAAAATGCTGCCGATCGGTAGTGGAGGCTCCCGACAACATGCGAGCCAAATATTATAGCGCAGCACACGGCCTGTAATTCACAATAAATTCTGAAAGTCTGCTAAAAATTGCTTTCTCTTCTCTCGACAAATGACGAAGGACGCTCAAAAATAACTCATAAAATGCCCATCTATTAGCCATTGGCCGATAGATGAGCAAGGCGCCCTTGATCGTTACAGAGATGGCCGCGGGAGGCCACGACCTGTCTGCGCATTACGCGCGATCACAATAAAAAATCCGCGCATTCGAAGAAAAAAAAAGTGCTCAAGGTCATGAGGCGCGAGTGACGTATTTTCTTTGTCTCTGCCATCTCTCCCTGCTTAGCCTCCAGCGCTTTCGTCCGGACGAGAGAATGCAATAGCAACATGCGACAAATCTTTGTCACTCTACTCGCACTGGACGGATTCTTAAAATTTTTGAGGCACTGAATTCGTAAGGCAATAAGCTCTTCCAGTGAATTTATTTCATAGTTATTTGAAAAAATGCTTTAGGGCCCGTTTAAGTAGAGGCTCTCCTCAGCTAGCTATCATATTTAATATAGTATCGTACTGGTGTTGACTAGTATAGTATATTGTATAATACTAGGATAATATCTTTGATTAGCCCTGGCTAATGTCAAATAATGCTGCCTACTCACTGTTATAACATTAAAATTATCTTCATTCACTCTCCGTCTGAATATTGGCAGATAGCACCCTTTTCAGAAAATTTTCTTTGCATTTGAGACTGTACTAATAAGAGCACCAAAGATCCCCCACCTTCACTCTCGCCAACTTGTGGGAGAGCCTCTCCTTGTTGCCACTTGGGAGAGCCTGGATTTCAACAAATGTTTCCTGCGCCTGGGCGAGGGTCTTGGCACACTCAGCATGCTTCTTCTCGAGCTGGGAGTGATCCTGGACGTGCTGCTCACACTTTTTCACCAATTCCTGCACAGGCCCAACAAAATGTCGCGTCACGTCTTCATCCAAACGGGTCCCATTTAAAATAATTTGTGTTGCAAGAAACACCGACACAAAAGAGGACAGGAGACGACAGACCAGTGCCACATGTCACATGTCATATTGCCATATTCCATAGTCTGTTGCCACATGTCAAATAGTAAGCAATTTTATGTCATCTCCCGTCTTCTTTTGTGTCTGTGTTTTTCGCACCACCAGTTGTTCATAACGTGCAACCAAGAGTTTCAAATCTCCATAGTTCTGAAGGTCATATTTGCTTTGTTATCAAAACTAATATTGATTAGAATTACTTTTAATAATATTTGTGGTTTCACTTTCCAACATCATGATATGATTATAAGAGATGCTGTAGAGGAGGGCTTCAGGAATTTTCATGATTTGGTGTTCTTTAACGTGCGCTGACACCGCACAGTACCGGAGCTTTCAACATTTCACCTCCGTTGAAACGCAGCCACCGCAGCTGGGATCGATACTGCGACCTTTGGTTCAGCTGCTGAGCCCCATAACCACTCTTCTCGCACAACGAATAAAAAATTAGTTTTAATACAAGTAATGCTCTCAAGATAGAGTGAATAATAATAAGAAGAATTAATAATAGTTTACAGATGCCCTGATACAGCAGCTGTGATGTGCCCAATAGCGGAACACTTGTGTCCTTTCCTCCTCTTGGAGCGTGATGGTGTTTTCTGATACCAGTGGCAGTTTTCGCAACACAAATTTTACAGGTTGCATGACTCCCAAGGAAAAAACACGAGTCAATATGTTCCAAATGCCAGCAAGATTATACATGGTGTTGAAATTGCACAAACCTTTTGAGCTGTAGCAAAAACTATGTTTGCTTTCACGTGGTTCATTTAAAACATTTCAAATGGCAGATGCAAGTTGATCGACAGTTTTTTTCCAATAATGGACAGCTATTCGAGAATTTCTGGACTACCTTTTGAGTATTCAAACCTTTGACTTGAAAGAGGTACTCCGAAACTCGAGCTCTAGGAATAACTCTTCAAGTTGTTCACTTGTAACAGAATAAAACAGCGTTCAGATTGATGTCTAAAGCAGAGCCTGCTATAATGATGCTAGAGCCTTAGGAGGTTTTCCAAGTGTGTACCTTGCAGGTCTCCAAGAGAGACTGGAATCGGGCCGTGAGCTGGCTCACAGCCATGGAAAGTCGCATCTCTCCGCTGGACACCATCAGCTCCTGAGCCTTGTCCGAGAGGGAGTCGAAGTCTCGTTCTGTGGCGTGTAGTTCGCTCAGCAGGCTCTGTTGAAGAACAAGTCTTTGGTGTTAGTCCTCAAAGTTGCTCGCAGTGATCGCCACACTCAAAGCGTCGCGTGAGTGCACGAGGGTTAGAAAGAATAAGCAAGTGATGGCAATGAAATCATTTAATTGCTAAGCTTCCAAGCTCGCATGCACTTATCGTTTCCTTCATAACAGCAAACACCCCGTTATCTTTGAAGAATGCAAGATCATTCAGTGCATCAGCATTGTCCTAGGTTAATAGTCTTCACAAACAGTCAGAAATAGTCTTTCTCGTGAGTATTTCTGAGTGAAACAATTTTCATGAGAAGAGAAATTACTTTAAAGTTGAAGAGTGTTCTTGATTACAAATGTTCTATGCTCCAGAAACGAAATGCAGCAGAAGGATCAATACAGGGGGCCTTTGCCTTTTCTTTTCCCTTCCCTTGTTCTTTGCAATGTTACCAGTTAAAGAATAAATTCCAACCAACATGACCAATTTAAAGATCAAAATTAAATTACAAAGTTTAGGGAGATACTACATTGTCTGTGAGAGATGCTGCAATGACAGGAGGGTAGGCACTCCAGATTAATTAAGATTACTTGATGTGCATTAATGTGCACCTAAAGCATTTCTGCACGCCACTACCGTCAGAACGTTGTTATGGCAGCTGGGAACTCAACCTGTGTCAATGTGTTCAGTGGCAGACTGCCAAGACAACTGAGCAACTTCAGCATGTAATCAACACAATCTGAGGCACTGCAAAAAGACACAGGAGCAGTTGACGTCACCTGGAACTTGTCCAGCTGCTGCCTCTTCTCGTCGAGGGTGGCCTGCAGGGCAAACTGCTGCACTGTCTGCTCGGCGCCCTGCAGCCACCCTAGCAGTCGTTCGTAGTGCTCTTCGTAGGCGTCCCACAGGCGGAGCTGCGCCGACAGAGCATGGCGCGCCTGCTCCACCTCAGCACCCAGCCGGGCCACGCTGCCCTCCAGCGTGCCACTCTCCTGCTCCAGGGCGGCCCGCTCGCGTGGCGTCAGCAGCGTCACGAGCGTCGCCGTGCACTCGGCCAGCGCCTGGGCCTTGCACGTCCCTTCGGGCTGCTGCTTCTCAAGTTCCTGAGAGAAGCGAGGAAGATGGGAGAAAGCGTCTCGATTTAATGCAACTTGACTGATTGTCATCATCATCATCATTATCCTGACAACACCCACTGCAGGGCAAGAGGCCTCTCTCATGTTTCGCCAACCAACCCTATCCTGTGCATGCTGCGGCCAAAATAGCCCCGCAAACTTCCTACTTTAGAGTGTGCTAAGGCGAGCTTGTTGGTACGGATTCTTTAAAATACTACGCAGCACAAATACTACACAGCACATGCACACAAAGCACATGAGGCGAGAACAAAGAACCCACTAGTCCTTGTGCCTCCACCAAATGTGTTTGTCTTCTCTTGGAATCCAATCTGTTACTCTAAAAAAACCAGCGGTTATCTTTGTTTCACGCTACATGCCATGCTCAAGTCCTCTTCTCCTTCCTGGTTTCAACAAAGACATGCTTAATACCTATTTGCTCCCTGACCCAGTCTGTTTCCCTTTTGTCCCTTAAAGCAGTGCCTATCTTTTTGCTTTCCATGGCTTGCAGTGTTGACCCTAATTCAAGGTGAGCCCTGTTCACAAGACGCCACAATTCTGCCTCATAAATAAACACAAGATGCAGCAGTTTTATACCCTTCTCTTGAAAGATACCGGTAAATTAACATTCATGACTTGAGAATTCCGGCCAAATGCAACCTACTCACCAACTTAACTCTACTTAATCTAACCTAATTTTGACTTCAATGTAAGCCAACCTAGCATAACCGAACCTAATTCACCATAACCTAGCTCACCATAACAAAACCTACATCTTCTAACTAAAACCAACACGAGCAAACCTAACCCAACATGAGCTAAGTCTACGCGAATCAACATAATATATCATCACCTAACTTGTGCCGGTCCTGTGCTAACAAATAAAGCAGCTGAGGGCCAATCTATAGAATCAGTCAAACCACATTTCATTGAATACACACCTGACCCGAGAATATCCTCGTTACAGCTTGCAGCCTTAAAGGGGAACTCCGGCGTTCTTTTATGTTCACCGATTTCACTAAAACTTTGAACATGTGTTCGAGTTGGTACCATGGTGATGTGTGCCATATTATACAACCATAAGTCATTTAGCTTTTTCAGAAAACAAGTTTTAAAACTTGTAGCTGATTTTAGAACCACACTTGTAGAACACGGGCCACCCTGCGTCACGGCCTACTCTTTTTTCAAAAACCTCGCCTTTCCCAGCAGACGGATGCAGCGCACACTTTCTTCTATGAGGCGACGACAACGCAAGCTCAGTTCAATTTTGTCAGTTCCACCACCAACTTACTATTCGCCCATTAGAAGATCGAGGCACCGGAGCTATGTTTACACCCTGGCCAGCCTTGGCGGGATGTAACGGATCTCGTGACGTCATCCAGGATGGTATCTTGTGACGTCATTGAACACCCACCACGGACGACAGAGCCGCTCCCTGTTTAGGTTTCTGTTCTGACTCTTCGTTTTTTGCTTAATTAAAGTATTAATAAGTGCCTGGGAAAAATGAACCACCCTAGCTTTTTCAGGACTGTCCATACTAATAGAAAACAGCATTATCTCAGTATGGATGAAAATGCACGAGTTCCCCTTTAACAAGTAAACAGCCTGGCATTTGTGAATAAATTATACATGACTGGATAAAAGAAAACATAAAAGAAAAAATGCATGGATAATGACATTAATGGCTTAGCAAAGGGTCTAACTTTAGTTACAACTAAGTTAGGCATTTTATTCTCCTGCACCAAGAAAATACAAGCAAAAAACAGGAAATGCCAAACGAAAAAACAATTGCAACCACAATTGTTGCAATTTGCATAATTCGCATAATTGTTATTAACCACACACAACGCGTGGAATGAAGGTTGGTTTTACTTCATCTGTCCACCTTCTACCACCGCTTTTTCTCTTTTTTTTTACTGAGTCTATTTTTTTTACAATGAGGTATTTTAATGTACGACAGTTTCTAAATATAAGACTCTAGAGTTGCTAGTGTTTATAGCTTGATTCTATGAGTCCAATAGACTCGTCCTCCATGCATGGGGCGAGCTGAGAACAAGAACCCAACTCAGCGAGAGAGAGAGCGCCCGCACCTGAAGCTTGTCGAGGCGGGTCTTGAGGACAGGCCGGCTTCCGGTGATGTCTCGGCACAGGTCAAGTCGTTCGTGCATCTGTTCCAGCCAGGCGGCGAGCTGCTCCTTGCGCTCGCGCTGCTCCTGCGCCAGTGCCGACAGCTTCTCGAGGCCAGCCAGCAACGTCTGCATAGACGGAGCCACACGACGAGACAGTTTTATTGATGCAAAGAAAAACGTGCCGCACACTAAAAAAAAAAAGAACAAAGTACGGGCACCAGCAAACAAACTAAACACTCTTAACCGTCACTCGTCATTGTTTTTCTTCTTGTTTTAAAATCAAGCTACTACTGGACGTGCATAGTTAAGTGCAGCCTCAACGTTGTTTCTCCTTGTTTCGTTTGTAGTGAGCCTGATGCAAGAAGTGTCTGGTTTACGTCTCAAAACTGGGGCTTCACTGTCTAAAACGGGCCTCAATCGATACAAACAAAGGCCAGAAAGAGGAAGGAAAATAAAAAAAGAACTAGAAAGGAAGAAGGGGTCTGCTTGGTTGCCGAATATATTTATAGGATCGCACTTCCTTCGTTGCCCTTCCCCCCACGTCTCATATCACTATGCTCTAAACTCAGCCCTTGCGTGCACTTTGATAGCCTCTCACATGCTCTCTTGCGTGTATTACATTTGAGGCTTTTTATCTGATAAGCTGCAACTTCGTAACCATGCTATCCTTGCGCTGATCTCAACAGAGAGCATTCGAATAAACCAAGAATAAGTGCACAATAATTCCCAGTGAAGTTCAGAGAGAAGCCCTTAAAGCTTCAAATTAAGTATCAAAACTGAAGCAAAAAGACTTTGTGCCAGACAAAATGGCCGAGTCCGGGACTAGGCTTGTGAGTACACACATTCATATGGCACTGAGAAGACCCCTTTTTAACTTCGTTTCGAGTTTCCTCACGTACCTGTGTATGGTTGGTTGAGGACCACATCAGTGAAGATCTCAACCTTGGCACTGCCAGCGGTATAAACAACCCGGAACACAGCGGAAGTAAGCAGAAACCGTGCCAGCATAGTTGGCAGTGCAGCCATGCGAGACGTGCCGAATCGGCTTGTTATTTGTTGCCACTGAAGTTTTGTCTTCATTAACAGTTACTAGCCAAAATTATCAGCCCAAGCTAAGGGTAAAACAAGCAGGGGAGATTGCTTCACTTATATACACTGACGCTTTAGCACACTGATGTTTCAGCATAAAACGCAGATGTAGTAGCTAAGGACAGAATAATTTAGCGGCAATCTAGTGTTAAACATGAGACACATACAATTAGCATTAGGTTGTACCATTTTAGGTAACATTACAGATCATTTTGTAGTTTTTGCTAGATATTTGTTTAGGAAACTTCAAACTCCCTTCTCTCATTTGGTGTCACCTGCCCTATTACCTACTATCACTTCTGAGTCACATCCGATTCTTGTTATAACACTTTGGGAGCATCATGTGACTTCCACAGACCAAATTCAAATCTTCCATTACAATTTCTACTCTCAATTCAGAGCTGAACATTCCTTCCGTTACACAACCTCTTTTCAGTTCTGGTTCACAATTTCAGTCATAACTGCTTCTGGTTTACTAAAAGAGACACTAATATAACAGACAAATGGGTATAAAAGACACCGGTGTGCTTACAGTAAAATACAGGTTGATAAATAAATGCCTACGTGGTCCCTTGCTTATAAGACACAAGAATTCCTGCCTAAAGCATGTCTCTTATAAAAGGGTTTAATTGTGATAGGGTTACAGTTGACTCACTTTTAGTCTGAACTTGTCCTACTTCAGGTCTTGACTTCCTTTTACTTCCTGCTGTACACTTCCATGAATTTCCCGTCACTCACCTCCATTTACATTCACTTACTCAAATCTATTGTACAAATCACATGCATACGTCTACCTCCAGATTGGTGTAACTGCAATTTCATGCATAAAGCCTTTTCCCCTTCAACACTGCTGATGCTAATGCACTAGAAAAAGGCAGAACGAATTCCACAGTTCCGACACAACAATATCAATATGATGCCTATAAATCTTGAGTGAACGATTTACCATTTTGATGATAGAACTTGCATTTATCGGAGCAGTGAAAAAAGCAAGTCTTCCTGTCAAAACACGGGCTGCACGTTCAAGCTCTCTTTTTGTTCACAACACTTTGTAAAATGTGCTCATATTCTGGTTTGATTTTTTGTGCGGACACATGCCCCGACAAAGTAACCATTGACACATGAAACAAACGACTAGAGTGGGACATGTTTTAATAATGTCTCGTGATAGTTTTTAGGGTGCCAAATTTTTAAGTCCACTGTACCTAGTTCACTTCATACTTTGGGATAGGAAGCAGCTCTTTGACTAGCCTGTGTAACCCTGTTCCTCCGTACGAACGCGCTGCGCGTTGCAGGTGTTGGCACAGTGCCAAGTAGGTCACGCTCTCCCTCCGCCCCCAGTGTGCGCCGATGTCGCCCTCTCCTTCGCCTGCCACGTGCTCGCCACGACGCCATCAGCTGCCACCTCGTCCGTTTGCCCGCAACACCTGCCGCAACTGCCGCTCGCTACGCTGCAAACTCATTGGTTCAGGCACAGTAAGCCTGACGCGCGCCTAACATACGGGTTTGAAACATGTCTGTATGTGTCACCTACAAGACCTACACCAGCCATTGCTTCAAACGAACCTTCCAGCACTCATCACAGCACCCACATTAGTGCCTTTCAACCCGTGAAGCCACCCATGCGCAACGCTGCTGCTTCGCATCCTATCAGGGTTCCCTTTGGGGAGATGTTTTAGGAACTTGCTCCTTTTGCTCGCAGCATGTCAGCAGGCGGGGTGTGCACCAGTGTTGCCTGTACACATCTGCAGTAGCGCTTAAGGTCGCCTCTCCGGTGATTCCAACAATGCTCACTAGATGGCGTGCTGTCACCCAAGGCGTCGGTTTTTGATGGCTCGCGTGCTTGCCTCCTCAAAGCGGATTTAAAAGAAAGAGAAGTGAACAGAGAAGTGTGCCGTCGTAGTTGTCTCTCTCTCAGGAGGTCACCTCAACAAAGCCACACGGGGCATGGGTAGTGGGGAAGCGAAAGGAATGTGAAAGAGAAAGAAAAGGTGGAGGGTGTCAGTGGTGTTTGGTGTGGCCATGCACGAACGCGTGCCCCCTCTGAGCCAGGAGGACAGAAAAAAAAAAAAAAAAACTGTCAGGCAGGCCGGCAGGGCGAGGATCATCGCTTAGAAGGCACGGCAGCACATGGCAAGTTTTTACGATGAGTGTTACGCACGGGTACCGATATCCTCCCAAGCCAGCTCACCTGCCTGCTCTCAACCCGGTGGAAGAATGCCTGATAGCTCCACGTCTGCCATTTATGAGTGTTAGATGTTTGACTCTTGGCAGCGGCCAGTATGGCTTAAAGAGGCAGGTGGTTAATGTGCCAATCAACGTGGCCAACAATGTGCAGTGCCGGCCCGGAACGTGCCCAACAATGCTGCCTTCGACGTACACATCATGCGCCGGCTCGTTAACAAGCCTTCCTAGAGAAATTCTTTCGCCAAGAAACATCCCGTGCCCCTCCGAGCAAGCTCCTTTAGCCTCATTCACTTTGTGAATACGGTGCTGATATTTATATACAACACTCTCAAGGAAATAAAAAGAAAACTTGAAACAATGATGCAATGTAATATATTAGAATAATTGATGGAATTTTTCTTTTTTGTTGTTCGTCTGCAACTCATTTCTTTTCCCTCAGAAGCTCACTTTTAGATTTTTTTTTCACTTTATTGATCAGCTAACTTGTACAACTATCACTGACTAATCGTACCACATAAAACAAAAGGAAATAGTACAGAAAAAACAATGCCACAGGTACACACCTTCAGCTCTTCAGTGACTATGCCAAGGCGTGTTGACGTTGTCTCGAGGCTCTCCTTTGATGACGCATCGCCCCGTGACGTCTCTTCCAAGGAATCTAACTGCCTTCGCTGCAGCACTGCCTCCTGCTGCAGCAGCTGTACAGATTGTGACGGCGTGGGTCAGATGCATTCCACGTGTTTGTACAGCATTGCGGTCCAATTGAGAAAAAAAAAACACGCATTCAAAGATAACATTACGAATGACATAAGTCGACAAGGCTAGAAGAATTGGTACTCCAGCGCTAGAAGTTCACACACATGTCATTTCAAGACGCACTCCATGCTGTCGCATCCCCTGTTGTTTGTCTTTGCTGCATAACTATTGTGTATTTTGCTACTCAGCTTCCCTGCACAACGCAGAAGCAATTGTAGTAGCTGGAGCTTTAGTGAAGAAGCTACAAGACATGGCACTAGCCTTCCTGTGCTTGCATCACCCGATAACGTGCACAGCCTGGACGCAAGAGGTAATTGCCTCCTCCACTTTGGCTCGTGATATTCTGCATGTGCACAGGCTACCGTATAAACCGGAATATAGGTCGAGATTTTTTCAATAAAATAATAAGCTAAGGTCGCCCCTCATCTTATATAGCGGTGTCTAGCCGAAAGTGCGACGCTGTCTGGCAACATATGGCTTGCATGTGCTTGTGAAGCCAGACGCGGCCATATCCACATCCAAATCCAATCGCAGTCTGTTTTCTTTGTGTTGGTGATTTGCTTCCGATCTGTTTCGAGTTTTCGCTCCGCTTGACATTGCGCTGCATTTTTAGTGGCCTTTTTTTTTCATTCACTGAATATGTCTAGCGGTGCGAGGAGGCAGTACTCAGCTGCGTTTAAACTAGATGTTAAGTTCGCAGAAGCGAACGGGAATATGGCTGCTCAGCACCGCTTTGGTGTATCAGAAAAAAGCGTGCGCTATTGGAGGGCGCAGAAAGGGAAGCTGTAGATGTGCAATCCTCGAAAAATGTCGTTTCGTGGACGAAGTGCCGTTCATCCGCAGCTGGAGGATAAGCTAGTGGACTTTGTGCGGGAAGTTCGTGCGCGCTCGCTGCCAGTGACCGTAGATACTATTCGCAAGAAAGCCGTGGAACTCTCTCGGGTCGATTCATGCGTCGATTTATGCGACGCAAAGGATTTTATCTCCAGCGGCGCACATCCATCTGTCAAAAGTTGCCGGAGGAGTTCGAGGACAAGCTGATAAACTTTCAGCGCTTCGTAAACCGGCTTCGGGAGCAGAACGACTACATGATGGGGCAGATTCGCAACGCCGATGAGACCCCCGTGTGGTTTGACATGCCTTCGTCGACCACGATCATGCAGCACGGCGCCAAGGATGTGAAGCTGCTGTCCACTGGCAACGAGCACTCGCGCTTCACCGTCATGCTGGCATGCACGGCAGATGGTAGAAAGCTTCCGCCCTTCGTCATTTTCAAACGCAAGACAATGCGATGGTGCGACAGTTGGTGCGACAATGCGACAGTTGCGATGGTGGTAGAGGGGAGCTCCGACGATCTGGATGGGGTGCGCCCAATTCGCAAATAAATGCGGTTCGGCAGTTTTGGGTTGTTTTTCTTTTTTTCTTTTTCGGTAACCTGAACTTGGGGGGTCGACCTATATTCCCACTCGACCTATAGTCCGGTTTATACGGTATGTATTCACACATACTTTGCAAGACCATCGAGCAGAAAGATTTCTGTGTTACTTTGGAGCCTGCCATCACTGTGGGTTCGGTCACACTTTATTTAAGGAACTGAATCCACGAATGTTATAAGCCTTGGAGTCCAGCAAAAACAAACATTCAAATAGCATCTCTATGAACTAGCTAAATCCTTTTGCATTTCTTGAGTGTGTCTCACAGAACTAAACTTCGCATCATGTCTAGTTAGCATAATTGCATAGTACAAATGTTAATAAGCCCCTTTCGTATGTTTAACTTCCAATACATCACTTTCTTAGTAACAGAGCTATTCAACACAACAGAGCGTGGGTTTATAATGCATTCTTCCCAAAACCAAAAAATATTGTAACGCGATAGAAAGCACTGAATTTAGGTGCACAGCTATAAATGGGCTAGATTTAGCCTATCTTGGCATGGCCTACATTTAACCACAACCTATTGATTTAGGAGAGGAAACAGTGAACTGACAAACCCAGACCCGGTTAATAATTACCTTGAGTGAGTGTAGGCGTCCCTGTGCTTCCTGGAGTGATGGTAGCTTGTCTCGTGCTTCGGCAACAGTTCTCTCAGCATTGTCAAGCCACGTCTGGACCTAAGAAAAAAAAAACGTTCGCAATACGTCCCATCATAAGCAAAATAAGAGGGAATGTGGCATCCCTTGCATGGATGTAACTTAAACCCAGATATAACGTATTATCAGTCATAATGAAGTAAGCAAAAAGTAGCTTCGTCATAGATACAGCACTGCAACATAAGTTTATAACAAATTTTCGCATATAATGAAGTACTTTTGAGGCAAGTGTGACTTTTTTTATAATGAAGTCTGAGTGTAGTGTTATGCCAAACATTACTGTATGTTCCCAAAGATTCTTTACGAAAGAAGTAAGACCCTTCAGGCTCTCAGCTACCTTTACCATGAGGCTATAAAACAAAGTGCTTGTCCTCTTACTCTTACTGACATCTGTTAGTCACATTTCTTGGTTTGATACTGTTACTTACGGGCTTCTAAGCAACAGTACAGTAGTATGCACCAGCGAGCTTCCCTGTCTTATGAGACTGCATTCGTACCTGGCTCAGTGAATCAACAAAGCTGCTGCGAGCGTGGCTCTGCAATTGCAGCTGCTTCTGAAGATCCGCCATCTTGGACTCCAAGGACTCCCATCGCTCGTGCAGTTCACGCAGCTCGAGTCGCACCTGGCACCAGAAAGACGAACAAATGTTTGCACTCTTCTTGCATACGAAAGTTAAAAGGAACACTAAATAGCAAAACGATTTCTTACGTATAGTGAAGTGAAATTTCACAATCCTGAAAACATTAATCTTACCGGAACATCATGCTTGGTAAGCAAGAAAATGTGCAAAAAGAAAATGTCTGTCGAGTTGTCACTGTGAGATTCCCGCACCAAACACAGTGACGTAGTAAATTTTGAAGGCACCTACTGGTTTCAACATAATATCTACTCGATAAAAATTAAGTGCATTTTCTTCTGTGGGTACCCTAGACCTAGTTTCAGAAAATTTCATTGAGTGAATGCCATGAAAATTCGAAAGATACATTTTGAAATTTGCTACATCACATGCGAAAATTTGGGAGCAAAATTTAAAAATGAAACTTCAATTTTGATTTTCTCTGCTAATAACAAACTTATGAGAGTGAAACTTATGGCATTATAGTTCTCAGAGTGCAGCTTATCAATCTAAACCAAGTCAATATTTCTGTTCAGTGTCTCTTCAAATCACGCATCTCAATCAACCTGGAGGCTGAATCTTTGCAGAGACGTTATGGTGGAGTGGCTCTAAGATGAACCTTTGTAAGCCTGTCAGCATTATCAAGAGTTCATTTTTGCATCGGGGCCCTCACATATATGTACATACTAAGGAAGATCTTCAAACTTTTTAGTATAAGAAGGGATCCTGCTTATAAATGCTAATCTTAAAGTTAGTTCCCTCATATAAATTTGTTAATCCCTACAACCCAAAAAATGTTATTCTCTCCACTCTCTGAACAGCTGAAGTGAAGGATTACATTACTGCAGATTTCGCAAAGGCGTGAGAATGACTGATAATTGCAGTATCCTGACACAAATGTCCCCAATGTTTATGATCAAGCTGTTTATCTACGGTGAAGCATAATATTTGCGCACCATTTTGAAGATTGAGATCTACCATAAGGTGACTTTCAATATCCTGACTGTTCTAAACCGCACTGCTACTACAGCAAACCACAAAGATATTGACACACTGAACACAGCGTGCTATTTATGCCACATTATGCATATATGCCACCGGTGAACAACTGCACGAGAATACCAAGACCTAACATAAGTTGACAAGCTGCCCCCAACCTGATCTCTTCCTGTCGCAGCGGTGTCCTGGTACAGCTGCTCTCCGAGGCGAGACGCCAAGTTCAGCTGCTGCTGGCCATGAACCTTGCCCACAATCAGCGTCTGCAAACATAGTGAATGAAGTTTGCAAAGTTAACGCAATGATACATGAACACCAGCCAGCACACAAGAGCTACGAGCCGTTCGAAAGCTGAAACCGACCTCGAGGCGAGTCAGCTTCTCTTCGGGTGCTGCCTTGTCTGCCTGAATCTGGCTCAGCGTCTGCTGCGCCTCATCGAGCCACGCGTTGCAGCTGGCCACTGCCTTCTCGTACTCTCGCTGGTCTTTTTCCATGCCTTCCCAGCGAGCAGCCAAGTCCTAGACAAAAACAATGGTTTGGAAAAAAAAAGGATCGTATAATTTTGTAACGAGCACACACAACACATTTTTTCCGGGTGTGAATTCTCGTATCTTTACACTCAAAAGACAAGTATTGAGTGTGAAGTGACTGAAATATGAAAGTAGAAAACACTAGGCGGCAGAAAGAGGAGACTGTGACACAGAGGTGCCTTACTAACAACTAAGTCTCACCGAGCCTACTTCGCTGTCTCCGCTTCCTGCCTCTCAGTTTTTCCTATTTCCGTGTTTTAGTGGGGTTTTTTCGAAATGTGTCCATACACAAGTTGCCAAACAGGCAACTACCTTCAATGAAATTGAGAAATGGAGGAAATCACATGTAGTTGGGAAGTAACGGCATGATAGAAATAAAATAGTTTTGAGATGTTAAACCCCAACAATTTAATTAATTAATTAATTATACAAATAAAAACAAAACTAACATTGAACAAACGCCATAATAATTCAGTAATATTCCAGCTTCCACATGAAAGCCTTGTTCAATGGCACACTGAAAATTTTTTTTCACAGTGCCAGCTTGGTCGGCCTTTTGCTTTTATTTATATCATGGCAGCTCTTTAAAATCGCACCTTTATCGTCGCCACCAAGGACTGGTATCGGGCGTTGCACTGCGACATTTGTGCACGCACAAGCTCCACTCCAGACAGCTGAAGAAGGCAGTGGGCCTCGTCAATGAAGCTGTCCACACTCTTCTGTTTTTCGGCAATCTTGTTACGCAGCTCCTGCAAAGAAATAAACAACGTACATGGCGCTCCCTAACCCCGAACTTTTCAAAAAGTGCCAGTTCTCCTATGTTAGATCTGTTGTCGAGGCGCTCACCTTTCCACGTGCGGAGAGGGCCTGCTTGTCGGCGAGCGTCGCCGGCATCTGGGGGGCGCGCAGCTCGGCCTCGGTGTCCGACAGCCACTGGGTGAGGGAGGCCAGGTGCGATTCGTATGCCCCCCACTGCTGAAGCGTGTTCTCCAGGTTGCGGCGTGCCTCTTGCAGCGAGGTCAGCGTCTTGCCCAGGAGCTCCTGCAGCCCCTGCAGTTCGCGTGACAGCATCGCCTGGCCCTGCGGGGAGCTGCGGGCCGACACCACCTGGCTCTGCTCTCGGACCTCGGTCAGTAGCACCTCGCCCTCCTTGCTTTTCTCTGTCAGTTCCTGCAGGTTTTTGTGCCGCCACGGTTATGTTGCGTGCTGGCCGCAGATTGCACCACTTAGCCCATATTTTCTGCAGAGGAAAGTGTCACCTCTTTGCACTATGCAAGAGGTGCAAGATGCAATGGTTCCTTGCACAGTACAGATTACACTTGAACGAAAAAAAATATCAAAAATAGGGACACAGACAAGTGCCTACTTCCAATCCTGCGAAGCACGGAATACCAACTAGCCCAATCCTATACCCTTCTGACTGACAACGCCTTCTGTTTGCCTTCCTAGACGAATGAACTGGTGCCTACCGTAAGCTGCTCGAGGCGTCCCTGGATAGCCTTCTTTTCTCCCGTGGTGTCCTTATGCTCCTGCAGCTGATCCTGGAAGCTCTGGATCCAGTCCTGGAAGGCCACCACCTTGTCCACTAGCTTCTGGTGATCTTCCACAGCGGAGGTCAGCTGGCCAGTCAAACCCTGCATGCCAGATCGACGCTCTTCAACAACAGCATCCCAAAAACAGTCCCGTAAAAGCCTTCTCATCCAACTTCGTCTTCTGAATGTTAGCCTGTCATCACAGATTTCAGTATTTTTATCGTATCTTGACTCGGTGGCTTAATAAACTTTTAGAAACTTAAGCCCACGAGGCTCACGGAGAAGACAATTTAATCCATTTTTACCAGTAAAGAATAATGTAGGCCCTAAAGGACATCGTCAAAATACTTATTGTTAAGGAACTTCGAAACACTGCTACTACCTGTTTTATTCATTTTCATACTTATTTATTTTCATATGCTATCTAGCTGTTTGAGCACTTTCTCGTGGCAAGAGTGGTGATTTTCTGTATTGTAGAATGTTAATTTATCAATACGAGAGAAATATCTTTCCTCTTTCACCTAATTCACTGTTGATTATTAATTTATCTGCTCTAAAGCAGAAATAACACGATAGAAAGGAGGCAACTAACCTGTGACCTTGTACAGAGCTCCTGGAAAGCAGCCTTGGTGCTCTGAACGTGGTCTCCGAGTGTGTCCTTGCCAGCCGCAGTGGCCGAGAGATTCTGAGCTCGCTCGCACATGCTGTCTATGGCTGGCTGGTGAGACAAGATGTCCTGGTGAACCACCTGCATGAGGCGCATGAAACATCAGGATTTCACACTAAGAAGGCAGGGTTCTACAAGAAACTTCTGGCACGTACAGTATAGCATGATTTAAAGGGAACACTCACAGTATATGGCTACCAAATAAATCTGGATTACAGTGGGAAGGCATGATGACTGGTTTACAAGGCACAAATTGTCAGTTTCACTCAATAAAGAAGAAATGGCTTCAGTCACGTAGAGTACGAGAAGACCAGAAACAAAAAGGATAGGAACACAAAATGCATTAGCGCACAGCACATCTTATGTCAATAGTCAGCCCTCCCTTCCACCATTTTTTTCCCATGCATTACATACTTGAATCGAAATGCATCAACTGATTTAAACTGTTGCATTCACGAAAGCAGATGTGTTCGAATTAGGATGGCTTTATGATAAGCTAGGCCCTCCCTTTAAGAGTCAGCCATACTGTATGCCTCCTTATGCACTGAAAAACCAAACAAAAATGCCTGGGCTCTTCAAGAACCGCACATAAAAAAAATAAAACGCCAGGCCTGCACGGAACGTGCAGCCCAGTCACAGCAAAAGCTGGAAGCGGGATTCGAAAGCTGGATTTGCGAAAAGCCTGTGCCACATGTGTTTTTAAAGCAATGACACCGTTCAAGTGGTACCACTACAGCATCGTTTCGCACGCGGAGAAAACTTCAAACCTGCAAGTGCAGCACAAGTTCGGCGTGCACAAAAAGAATGTACGCTACGGAGTGTGAGCTTATGTAGTAAAATTGCTGGGGCATTCGCAAAAATGGTGTTTCTTTCATCGCGAATTTCAGGCGTCGGCCTGCAATCGAGGGCAGCCTAGATTTGAGTAAATACAGACATAGCGACGAAAAGTTCAGCTAGTTGGTGTGGATTTACAATAAAAGAAAGTAGATGTGCAGACACAGGCACAAGAGATCAGTACAACACAAACGCCTCTGTCCACAGTAACTTCAAGCACAAGAAAACGAAAGAAGAAAGACAGCAGGATACTACACTGTGTTGTTTTCTTGTGCTAAAAGCTACAGTGAACAAGAACCAATTAGTCTGTCAATGTACCATGTTTAACACGTCTATGCTGCCTTCATCTCTTGTCTTGTGTCCCAATCTGCATGACTATCATCATTATGTATACAAAAAACAGGTAGGTTTCTCAAAGGTTGCCACACATGCACCATGTACAAAAGTCAACAGACGACAGGACAGCCATGTGGAGAAATAGAAGCATCAGGGAACGCCAGAGAGCATAGCTTCAAGACATTCTGTTACCGCAATGCTAGTTCAACAGGGCATCTATGCTGTTCTTCCTGAAACAAACAAACAAACGAATGCCGGCTCCGCACCTTGTGGGTCTGCAGCTGAGCCTTCTTCTCCTGGAGCGTGGCCCGGGGCTGGCTGCAGCTGTCCAGGGCTGTCTTGACGTCCTCAATCCACTGGCGCAGCTGGTCCTGACTTTGGGACAGGCCCGACAACTGCTGAAGCCGCTGGTCCAGCTCGGCCAAGGCTTCGCTCGAACGCTCCACCAGGGTCTGCCAGCGACCTTTGACGTGTCTGCAACCGGCCGCACCACTCGTCAGGTGTCACAGACACACACACAAAAAAATCTACGCCTACTTTGTCCAACAGAGAAACGAGCCCCTCAACAAAATCCCTCTTCTTTCATTCATTTAAAGTAAAAAACTCATCATGGAAGATTTGATGCGAGGGTTTATTGGTGAGCTCCCTTATTGTGCAAAGGTCACATGCTATGGATGACCTTTGTCAGAAAGAGTGTTCAACACTCGCTGTCCTGGCTATAAGTGGCACTGGCTAATGCTCCCAGGAATTACCTTTACAGAAATACCCAACGTAGTGGATGGGTTGTGGGGTTGGATCCCACTGACAAAAGGGGTGCTTTTTCATCCACTTCACTTCAATTTACGTCGTTATGACTACATGACAGATAAAACTGGCAGTCAATATCCCCAATGCATTTCAAGGCCTAATTGCCTGCTGGATCTATTTGGTTCTGTTTATAAAGAAACGAGCCCCTCGAAGCAAATTCCCCTTCCTTCATTCATGCACATTTACGGAAGCACGAAAAGTAGCTCAGGAATCAAAACGATCCCTTATCCTACAATTCCTAGTGATCCCTCCACCGACACATGGCCAGAGGGTGTTAATGTGAGCAGCACGCATAACTTGCATCTAATCCCCCTTGATAAGCTTTTGTACAGTAACGTAACTTTAACAGCTTTACCGAAAGCTCATTCACAAACCAGTCATGCCAAAGCAGGGGACAGTGCCCACCTCGGTTGAAATAACATACACAGGTTAAACTAAAATTCAATGTAACATAAAGCACCAATTTTAATACGCCTGGGCTCCATCATAAGAAAGCTGAGCCCCGTTATAATGAAGTCATGTCTCACGTAAAAATAGTTTTGCGATATCTCATATTCATCACATCCTATATTCATATTTGCTAGGCTGTAATAAGGGTGAGACAGCTTTTATTTATTTCGTATATGATGATCCATTATAGCACTACCTGTTAGATGTTCAACTGTATGCATAATAAGCACCTAATGAAAGAATAAAAGGCTTGGTAAAAACAAGAAAGTGATAATGTAATTACTTGGCCACACCGTGCACTTGCACGATGGCTACAATATGTTCAGTGCTGCGTGGTACTGAAGTTATCACAACTGAAGCGATTTCGAAGGACTTCCAACAAAAAATGACATTGCAGCATGCATTGCAGGTGTAAAAATGCCTAGCTATAGTTGGTGCAGCATGGTACTATAGACTTGCGATGATTCAAACTCTGATAATTCATACTTTTGTTCAATTCTAACAAAATTCAATTTCTCGGTTGACCCTCTATTCTTTCAATGCATTTAAAAACCTCTTAATTCAAACTCCAATATTCATTTCATTCATATTTTTTTGCGGTTTTATACCGAAAAATATCTGCTGCTTTCCTACTGCTATTTAAAAATTTGTCTGCTTATATAATCCTAACAGTCTAAAATGAAAAATAAGCACCTCAGGCTTTCAAGGAAACAGGCTTTGCTAGTACACTAAAACCTTGATATAAAAACTTTGGATATAACGAATTATCGGTTATAACAAAGTAAGTGACCAATAGCTTTGCCGCTGATACAGTGTAACAAATAATCATCTATAAGAAATTTTCAGATATAAGGAAGCACTTTTGTGGCAATGTGAGTTTTTTATAATGAGGCATGAGTGTAAACAAATGTTATAAATGAAGCACACACATGGTAAACCGTGATGCTTCTCAACTGGTATAGAGAGCTTTGTGCTGAAGGCACACATAGCAAAGAAGCAGTTGGTAATTCACAAATTTTTTAAAAGGTCTAATCAGTAATGAATAAACTCGTGAGCCTTACACCACTGCTTTCTGTTCATTGGGTGCAATTAGGGGTTTAAAAACAATTAAAAAATTTTAATGTGATAAAATCAATGTGTCACCATTCCCAGAGTCATCTATCTGAGAACTTCTGATAATTCAAACTTCTTGATAATTCAAAACAAAATTCAGAGGTCCCTTCGAGTTTGAATCAACGGGAGATGACCATTAATATCGTCGAAAAGCATCCACGCAAAGTAAGACGACACGCAGACTTTTTTACCTGAGCTGCTGCCGGATGGTCTCCCTGCCGTCTGGTGCAGTGTGAGAGTACAGGCGTTCACCGGACTCCACGAGCTCGTCCATGCTGCTGCTCCGCTGAGCCAGGCGATCGCTCAAGTTCTGTTGCAAGAAACGTTTACATGGAATCAGCAACTAGGATGTTCGTACAGGACGTCCTCTCACTTTAGAAGCAATGGGACATAAAAGTGATGCTGCAGTGAACACGTTGAAAAACAGGTTGTTACAAAGCCCGCATACTCCCATTTTGCTGTATGCAACAGTATCTTCAAGAAGTTAATTTACTTAATTCAATTTTTGATTAGTGAGTGAGAGACAAGTAAAAGAATTTATTAACTAATTCACTGAATGAAGGATCGATAGATCAAGCTTAATGTCTCACGGCAACACTCTGGCAACAAGATGAAATGCAGTGATGAGTGACTAATCGATAGACTGACTGATTGATTCTTTCACCAATGAAGTGATTGATTGGTTTTACTGTTTTCCGACAATGTCCGGAAAATTAGCTCTTCCGTAGTAAAAAAAAAAGAGCCATTGTAAGCCATTGAGAAGCTATGGTGAGCAGTGATTGGTTAATTGTGAGTCACTGAGCAGCCTTGGTGAGTAGGTAAGAGTCAATAGTTGAGACGAGAAATGCGCCAATCCTTAGGATTGGATTGGGCACCCACCTCAAGCTTGTTCTTCTGATCTTGCGTTGAGGCCAAGTCAGCCTTGGCATCAACGATCTCGTCGAGCTCTTTCTCGGGTTGCTTGAGCCACTCCTCGAGCTCGGCCAGAAGTTTGTCAAAGGCCTCGTGTTGCTTGGCCAATTTCTCCCACTTGGCCACGGCCTCCTGAAGATGCGTCCGAACACAGAAATGTCTCATTTGGGCGAATGACGCAAAATCAAAGACTAACGTCATAGAAATTATAACACATAAACAAGTGAATCAAAAGTTGGAGTTATGATGTTGTCGAGCAGTTTCAATATAGAAGCATGTCACGAGGGAAATTTCTTTGAAATGGGTAGCACAAACACCTGAAGAAGTACACTGCACCACACACAGCCTAAGTGTTGTGCTTTGCTTATTGTGTCCTTGTTTTTTGTGCTGCCCATTTGAAAGATGCATAATTAATTTCGACTTGCCCAAACGTCAGTTCTTCTGCAGCGAAATTCCTACACAGAGCAAAAGTAAGCCACTTACCACTCTATTTTCTCAACATCAGCCATCAATACTGATTTGTAATTCAATATCAGCTTCTGCCATAAGCTGGAAAGGCTGTTGGAAACGCCTTCTCTCAGGCTGGTGGTGAAAGAAGCCAACTTAGAATGAGTTCATATACTTGCAAAGAGCTTCAAAGTGTTCAAAAACATTAAACGCCTTCTCTCAGGCTGGTGGTGAAAGAAGCCAACTTAGAATGATGGTTCATAATACATTTGCAAAGAGCTCAAAGTGTTCAAAAACATTTAAAATATAGAAATTGCTCCAGCCAATTAAATGCAACATGAAAGGCATTCTCAATGCTACGGAGCTAACTGAAGCAAAGTGGCATATGAGTATGTTGACTGACATATACAAGAAAAAAAAATTTCTATAACGTCAAAGGTGAAACCCGAGGATGTGTCAAGTTCAAACTAATGGAGAGGGGGTACAGAGAGAAGTGCTCGACACGCCAGATATTACGAACAATGCAAAAACACTAAGTAATGCCATAACAGCAACAATCTGAAACGAACCTTGATGGTGTTTCTGAGCAGATGGTATTTGCTGCGCAGCTTGTCCAGCTGAGGTGTCAGCATGGTGTCCGTTGGTGCAGCTTGGGCATTCTTGGACAACACGGAGAAGTCGCCTTCCTTGGCAACAACATCCTGTTCCACTTTCTGCACAGTGCAGAAAAAAATTCGTTTTAGTCCCTTGAAGTGCAGCAGAACATCATGATCATACACTTTGAGTGTATCTAGACATGCCAGGAACAAAAACCAATCTAGAATGCAAAAGAGATATGAATTGATCAAAGTGTAATCTGGCAATATCTATCGTCCTCTCAGTACAATAACATGTCTTGTTCGTTTATCACACTTCTCAATGCAACCAGACATATTGCGGCTTTTCCATCAGCATTACCTTCTTTCCATCGACTTTTGCATTTGTACCCTTATAAATTCCTATCATAATCTACATTAGCTTACACATCAAATGCTTTCCCAATGGCTCTTACATCTGCATTTCCACCAGCTTTCATGCTGGCTTGCATCTTTCATCTGTGTTAACTTGTATGTTAACTTCATGTTTCGTGTTAATTCACACAATCTTTCATGCCAAGTTGCCTGACAGCCTCTCGTTTTGCCTTTCTCTCTCTATTTGTCTCAAGTCAGAGGAGATGCACAGCTCACCTTTAACGTCTCCAGCTGCTGCCGCTTGGCCTCCGCGGTGGCCTGCAGCGGAATGTCCTGGCAGCGGGCCCGCTGTGACGCCAGCCACTGCTCCAGCTCGTCCAGCGTCTTGGTGGCCTCGTCCCAGCGGTCCAGCGTCTCCTTGGCGTGCGAGTGGCCCTCCTCGCAGGCGTCCAGCAGGGCCTCCCACTGGGCTCGCGCAGCTGCGTACTGCTCCTGCAGCGCCTCGTGTCCTGACGGGCAGGTGCCCGGAAGCACGCGCGACTCCAGGGCGTCCCGTAGGTGCTCCAGCTTGGCGCAGGCCTCTGGCTCGCTCTCCAACACCAGCTGCGAGCAGGTGCGTCAACGGGCAAGCCACGCCATTAACATTACACTAATGAAATAATTATAAAGTACACTAGACCCTCAGCAAACCAAATTTCCTTAAAACAGAATCGCATCGTAAATTGAATAACAGTCTCTAGCATGGTTGGCTTTATACCTGAATTCTGCATCCCAATTCATCTCTAAGTAAATGGAACTCCTGTCAAATCGAACACATCTTTCTAGTTCGTACATATTTTGTTAACCAGAGCCTACAGTATACATGTAAAAGTGATCACATGCAATGAAACACAGTTCTGTGTCCTGTTGTCTGCTTATTTCACTATTTGTGAGGTTCTTTACGCTACTGTGTGAATTGCGTCATGCCAACTAGTCTTGCCACCAGTCTCTTTTTCAACAATTTCTGCACCTTTGCATGCCAGAACAGCAATATGATTATGAGACGTGCTGTAGTGGGGGACTCGGAATTAATCTTGACGATCTTTGTTTATTAAAGTGGCTTCTAAATCTAAGCACAGATATGTTCTCGCATTTCACCGAAATAGAAATGAGCCCTGCATAGCTAGAAATTAAACACCTGTCCTTGTGCTTTGCAGCGCAACATTAAAGTTAATCCTACAACTCCGGTTCAGCTGAAGCCTGATTCAAAAATATAGGCAGCATTACTTTAACGGTAAGTGGCATAATGAAAATAGGTTAGTGGCCACGAAAACTGCGATGCATAACTCATGGATTTGATCCACGATGTGGTATAGAGACAAATATTTATTGTTGTTTGAAAACCACCACATACGAATTGACTGCCAATTTAGTAGACCATTCAACAGAACTAATGCATGACTTTTACTGCCCTGAAATACTCCAATCACTACAGCCACATCTCAAGTAACTATGATGGCCTACAAATACATTTATTATAAATTTCAGTGCTTCTATTGTGACAGTAAGCAGTGTGTACAACTTCACATAATCAAGAAACAAATGCTAGGTCTCTTGACTGGGCTTGTGAGAATATGTACGTGTATGTGTGTAAATGTGTGTGAATATGTATGTGTGTAAATTTTAGGTTCGAAGCTAATTTCATGTGAATATTGATATGGTCCGAATAATTTAGAATCAAATTTGAATAGTATATATCACATATTATAATGAAAAAATGAGCATACCTGTCATGACCCAAATATCCTGCACAATATTTTTTTTAATTGAAGTAAGGCATGTGCAAATGTCATGCTTTTTGGTTCAAAAGAAGTGGAAGCAACTTTGAATAGTAGCAGGATTTGACTCTCAGTACGGTGCAAGTGATCACCCATGAATTATGCTACATTTTAAAATTTGCTATATTTAGAGCCCATAAGCCAGCATACCAAGCCTTTAAACTTAAAAATTGAAGAATCATTGTAAGGGCATTATATGGGGCTTTGCAGAAGTGCGGGTTTTCCATAGAAAGATGTACTTGCAGTATAACACCCCTCCAGTCAGTGCAGTGAAGCCACCTTTGCAAAAAAAGGTCACATGCGGATTTATGTACACCTATCAGCCCATTTCGAATATTTCAAAATTTCCAAAAATTTAAACTTGAATCGAAGAGAATTCGAATACATTAATATTTGTTCGGAAGTGTTCGAATATTCGAACAAGCCTATTCATCACAGTGGCTCCTTTTCATTTTTAGTATGGTTCACTGCAATACGTCAGGTATACGTGGTCGTCTATCATCCAACACATTTGAAATGCAGCAAAGCCGACTTTTAAAACCGCTATGGCTGCATGCAGGTAGGCACTCTGGAGTGCCGGTTTCAGGCCTCCCGACAATCAACATGGTGACAGAAGTGACTTAGATAACTGATATTTCAAACGAGAAATCTTAGAAGGAAGCACAAAAATTCAAACAACCATGGGTCTATGCATTCTAAATTTGAGTTGTCTTTTTGCACAGACTCTACAGGGTTGTCCATCTGGAAAAGTGGTCATTCACTGTAATTCTATTAAAGCTTGAACCGTGACCTATCTCAGCAACACAGAGATTTGGAAGTTGTTTTGGACGTGTTAAGCTTGAACCGTGAGTTGTTTTGGACATATTGCCTTCTTGCTCAACTCAAAGTATGCTGAGATTTAGTGCAATCATGACTTACCGCATATGCAGCCATCTTGGCCTTGACAGCTTCCATGTCGCCCTGTTCTTCGGGGCCATCAACAGTGGCCTTAAGCGTGCTGACCCAGTCTAGGAAACGTTCCAGGCTGTGTTGGTAGGCTTCGTGTTCACTCACGCGTTTTTCGCATTGAACGATGTTTGCCTACAAATAAAACAAAAAATAAGCAAGCTCGTTTTAGGCTTGTAAACTGCAGCGTTCTGGAGAACTTGTGGTGGCGTAGCTCTTCCTTCCTTTAATGACAGTTGTCCACAAGCAGCCACTTTTACGAGGTTTTCAACATCTGCACTACTACTACTTGCGATATCCGCATTTTAATACAATACAGATTGGCAGATATCATTTCTCTCATTCTCTCAAGGTAGTAATTGGGCTGGGATACGTGCCTCTCGTAATACGCAAAGTCATCCTTAGCGTTACGTACCTTTGTCCGAGTGCAGAGTGCTTCGTAGTCGGACACCAAGCCATCGACCTGTCCTGCCATCGACGTCTCTTTCAGCTCCTGGCTCTTGGTCTGCAGCTTGGAGACCACCGCTTGATGCGACATGACATCCTGAGACAGTGCCTGCAAGCAAAGTAACAAAGTAACGAAGCAGCGCCTTTGTTAGTCACTATCGACACTCAGTACCATTGTAACCATCAACCTGTTGAGTTTACACGCTGCGAAACATGGACGTCACATGGAGCCACCGTGAAGAACAGAAAAGAAGGATAGAAGCACATGAACATGTGGTATCTTTAGTGTCAGCATGTTACTGCATCTCAGTTGAGTCAATCATGTCCTCACATGTAATCTAAGCGTTACGTACTATAATTATATAGGTACATAATCATATGAAATCATATGAATACACTGAAACCTCGATGTTACGAACCCGGATATAATGAAATATCGGTTATAATGAAGTACATTAGACTTCTTTTAAATGAAACCTAAAGGAGGGACCAGGAAAATGTGTTTCCTTCAAGGGATGTTTCGTTTATTGAGAGATAAACAGGGGTATAATATTCAAGTACGAAACCAAACATATTATGGGCAGCTGTTCCATTTAAGCAGCAATTTCATTTAAGAAAGTTTCGTTTAATAGGAGTCTACTGTAAATTAAAAATAGTCTTGCGATAGATATAGCATTAGAAATATACCTTTATAATGAATTTCCAGATATAACAAACTTATTTTTGTGTAAGATGCAATTTTGTTATATTGAGGTTAGAGTGTACATATGATGCTGTGACTATGTATAAGCACATGACAGGTTTGACAGAGTTGTGGTCATATGATTGTCAGCACGTGACTGCATCTCTGTCAAATCCATCATACACCCATATGTAATCAAAACATCATATATGTAATAATATGAGTACATGAAGTCACATGAAATAACATGAGCATGATGGATTACATATTATAAATACATAAGACCTAATACTCATGTGTTCAGATATCACGAACAAACTGAATCACAAGCATGCTCACCCTGATGTTCTGGAGTTGCAACTGTTTCTCAGACAAGTTTGGCTTGAGTTCCACGTCACTTCCAATCAGAGTGTTCATGTCCGCGAGCCACGAAGCAACTCGGCCACAGCTGTATTAAATGAAGCAAGAAACAACAAGCATGAACCACTCTGGGGGAATGAACCTCACGCATTTTTCCTGTGCCCCTGGTATAAACGCGATGCAACATCGTGTAATGTGAAACCTGCATTCAAGACAGTATTATCTCAAGGTAGGACGAACTCTGCCTTTTACTAAATGGCCTAAAGCTGAACATGAATATCCTTTGTATATTGAACGTGCATTTGTAACATCTCTTTTGATGTCTCATGCAGGAATGTGGCACAGTATTTTACATTGAACTTCCATCCACCATCACGTCTGACGTACCAAACGCTGCACCCCTGTGCATTTCTTCTAACTGGCTCGTGATCTTTTCAGCCATTAGGGTGTCAAATTTGAAGGGTAATGCTGGATACGAAGGAAGAAAGTATGCAGGTTGCATGTCTCAACATATGGACAGCTCGCAGGGAAACGATTTTCTTTGCAGTCTACAATAATGAATTAGCTTCAATAAGCTTCACCACAAACAACAACATAATGTAGCAAAGCATAATAATAGTAGAGCAATTTAGTTGCAAAGCTGTACACATTCCATTCATTATTCTTTAAAAGGACCATCACGTGGCTATGAGAACATGAAAGACCTCCCGGTTCGACATGGGCGTATTAGCGAATTCTCACTTTTCACAATCCCAAGTGACTATAGGAGACCCAAAAAAGCACTTACAAAATTTTCATATAAGCACATTTGAAATATAAAATTACTGATGTATCAAGACACTTCACTATTCCTTTTGAGCTTTCGTATGTGCAAATTCAAGTGCATTAATTTGCAGACAGAAGAAATATGAGAGTATTATCGTACCTGTCCTGGAAGCCGCTCCAAGCCATGAGAGAGGACTCCAGTCCCTTCACCAGGGCGGTGTGCATGTCCCAGGCCGAGTCCCAGGCGTCTCGCAAACCTCGGGTCTCCTTGCGCACCTGGTCTCTGCTCTCCACGCTCAGTGAGAGGTACATGGACTCGCCATTGTCCACCACCGCATTGAGCAGTGCCTGTCCAGCTCCCTTCTGCTTCTGCAATTGCTGTAGAGAGATCACAAACCATTCATGACTAGTTGACGGTTTTTCGTCAAGATGCTTCATCACGGTGACGTACAAACTGGCAGGTAAAGGCGAAAGGTTGCCACTCGGGGCACTACAGCTACTGTCTACTGTAAGCCAGCAAATGTAATCAGCACTAACCAGATGCAAGCAATTCAATAATTGCTTAGCCTACGCCCAGCTTGTACTTTTCTTCCAGTCAAAATGTTTGCATCGCTTCAATCTACATCATTTACCCTCACTTACGCCTTTACATCTATCTATACCCCTATATCGGGTCAGCGTCACAGCAATCACACACATGCAGCTTTTCACACTCGGATGCTCCTAGTATCGATGCATTAATAGAGTGCAGACCTGGAGTCTCTTCAGGTGGGCCTCCAGTGCCTTTTGGTCGCCGGGTACGTTCTTGCAGCCATCCAGGCTGGCTTCCATTTGAGACAGCCAATCACGTAGGTCTTGCTTGGCCTGCTCAAAGGCCTTTTGCGTCTGCTCCAACTGCTCGAGCTGAGCAAGTGCCCCCTGCATCAAACAAACGCCATGAAACCAAAGATCAGCAAACATTGTGTGCAAGCCTTGTGGGATCGAAAGAGCTGCTCTCGGAACACACAGACACAGTTACGTCAAGCAAACGAACACATTGAGATTTATTAAGAGCTCTTACAAAAACGGCGAGCCTACTAGTCCAATCTGACACATAACCGGTAACACGACATGTACTCTAATATAATGCCGATAAGAACACACAGAGAGCGTAACAAACATAATGCTCCACGAATGCAGCGTCACCGGCCCGCAACTCACGCAGGAGCTCGTGGGAACAAGTTGCAGTATCCCTGCGGAGTTTCCACGAAAACGTCTCTTCACAGTCACACAACGCCCCCCCCCCCCCCCCCCCCCCAAAAAAAATAAAGTGCTCTTCCCAATGCGCCCCGTAACCGTGCTCCCACCAGGCGGCACTGCCGGTGCCACAACGTCAACACAGTGCCACCTCTTGTGGTGGCATTCAAGCTAATTTCGGCTAAGCAGTCGGACACTTGGGAGTCATTGTGCGGAAACAATGTTACAGGGTGTGATAGCAACTCCCACACAGCCTTGCTAATTGACAATATCATCACAGAGACAGTTTTTTTTTTGCACAGGAACTCTCCTGCAATATCTGAGACATCCACGCAGGTTACCATATATTCATGCCTCATTAATTACCATATTACTAAACTATAATGCCACTGACAGCAAAATAAGAAAAAAAGGAGGGCACAATGGCTAATGTCAAATTCGGAAACAACTCGTTTTTCCCTAAAGTTGACACTGCAACCAGCTGCACTACTGAGAAAAAAACGAAGAACAATTGCCATGAAGCAGGACTTGCTAATAAGGTGGTGGGTAAAGATGTTGCATCCCTTAGTTGAATGAAAAATTCGTTAACAGGGAATTGATAAGCAAACTTTCTTACGGCAGTAATACGCTGCTGTAACGAGGACGAAATTCAAGTAGTACCAGAAATAACATACAAGAAGTGGGACACAAAACAGGAGAAACAAAAGGCACGAGTGCCCATCCGTGCATCACTTTGGATGATTTCACATACTGATACACACAAAACAGGGAGACCATACTACGCATGGAAATCACTGTCACAGTGTCACTGAATTGCATGTTCGATAAGATACCAGCTTCTTTTTAATAACGTCCGGAGTCATAACAAGGTGATATATCCCACTTGTAGGACGTCATCATGATGTCACCAGCATCCCACCCATCTGCAGCCTTCAAGTCCCCCCTCTGGTCATACAGTACGTGGTATGAAATCGCTGAATAATTCGGGATTCATAGTGACCATTCTGCTCACCTGCAGGGTGGCTTCCAAGTGCATTAGCCGGGCAGCCAACTGAGACACCTGGTTGGGCACTTGGGTGTCTGGCACGTGGGCCGTGACGCTGGTCACGGTTGACTCCAGCTCCTGCATGCTGGGCTTCTGGCCGTGCACTTCTTCAAGCAGAGACTGCAAGTGACGTCTTGATGTCAGTATGCGCGAGTGGCTGGGCCTAGCATGCTTTCATTAGTAGTAAAGTAAAAAATTATCTTCAATTAGTTCTCAATGCCAGGAAACTTTCTGCATCGATACAAAACTCCAGAGGGCTGTCGTCTGATGAAGAGCTGACAAAAAATTTTAGTTTATGCACGCTTTCATTACCATGCGGCAGCGAAGAAGACATGTTCCACATATGGGTGCCAGAGGCCGTAATATAGAGAAAGGAGAGAGACCGAAACGGCATAAAAATGGCTGTCTATTGTCAAAAATCGAACTAGGCCCGACAAAATGAGTATAGTCGTCATCAGTTCAGTGTGAGGCTGTTTTGCCCCTGACATCATTTGTCACACATAAAGTCTCGCGATGCTGTTACTTGACAGCCAAATAGAAAGAGCTAACGTAGTCATCATCATCATCAGCTTATTTTATGTCCACTGCAAGATGACGGCCTCTCCCGCTAATCTTCAATTTACCCTATCCTGTACGAGCTGGTTCCATTTTATCCCTGCGAACTTCTCACTGCCATCCTCAGCTATGTTTTCCATCCCTTAGTATCTATTATGTTGCTCTTGTCTGTCCTAAGCGTCATGGGGCCAAACCAAGAACATTCCTTTCACTTAACGTCAACTAAAATATATGCTACCATTTCACGATGATAGTTGGTTTAGCATACTTAAGGTCTCACAGCGTGAAAAAACACTCGACGGACAGGAAAAGGACAGGACAAGATGCACGGGAAATTATTTCTAACTTGCGCTTTTCACGTCCTTTTCCTGTCCACCATGTGTTTTTTCGTGCTGTTAAACCTCAAGTTTCATAATAATATTCTCGTAACTTTTAGCAGTTCATTAATGGGCAATGCAACATGGCCGTAGCAGTCTGCTGTCGAGCATAGCACGTGTGGGGGTGCTGACACCCCCCCTGTAAAGTTGTCTGCGCCGCGTGGCGCACGTGTCTCGCCCCAGGGCGTTATTTCGGTGGTGACCACCACCGGGCGATAGATGGCGTTGTGTTCGCTTTGAGTACGACTGTTGGTAGAGTGGTAGCGCCGGTGGTGGCCCCTGGCGGAAGGCGGGCTTTGGTGGTGGGCGAGCGTTGAGCGAGCCTCTTCTGCGCGTGGCGGCTGCCGCGAACGGTTGTCTGTAGCGCGGGTCCCCGGTGCTCGGCACCGCGGGCTTCGCGCCGGGGTCCCACGTGTAAAGTCAGGTGTTGGCGACGCCGCCTTGGGTATGTGCTAGTGTGTTGGGTGTGTTAGTGTGTGTTTATCATCTTATTGTGTGTTTAGTGTGTCTTGGCATTACGTTGTTTGTATGGTTTAGTGTTAATTGAAATTGTTGTATCATTCGGCGGACGATATCGTCGTCTAAATTGGTTAATAAATGTATGTATGTGGTGTGCTTGGTACCGATCGTGTCCACTGTGTCCATGCACTCCGAGAGCGTGGCGTGGCGGTGCGCGCGTTCGCCTCGCCGAGACCCCACACACGCTGCCCTAATATAGCTGACTTTGGTGCTATATCACCTGCAAAATTACACACTGATTATGCTTTTCTTGCACAGCTGCTGTTTGTATTTCATAGTGCTAAAAACTAGTGAAATATTTCTAGACCAGAACAGCCGGAAAGCAGGCAAATGTTTTGAACCACCAAGGGTTAATGTTACACCTACCCTTTTCCATTTTACTGCCCCTGCATGGTCCTTAACTTTTTCTCTAGCTTTTTGGTTATCCTCAAAAGTTCAGCCCCATATACGAGTACCCTTAGTACACAGCAATCACCTACTTTTTTGCTTTGAGCACAGTGGCAAATTCCCTGTCATCGTTACCTTTCATCGCTAACGCAATCTCACCTTGAGGATAGAAATTTGGTCCTTGAGCAGGGGCAGGTCGACTTGACTGGCCGCCTCGCTCTTGGCTCTGGCCTCGGCGTCCCGCAGCCAGTCCGAGAGGCTCTCGAACAGCGTCTCGAAGTGCTGCCACTGGTCGAGGCTTCGCTTGAGGGCCTCCCTTGTCTGGGTCAGAGTGGACGTGAATGTGGTCCACTCGTTGCAGATGCGGCTGCACTCCTCCTGCAGCGAGGGCACGCGCTCCGGCGTGCACGCCTGGCTCAGGAGGTTGACAGAGTTGCAGTACTGCTCGCGCCGCTTCTCTCCCTGCTCCAGAGTGGACTCCAGTTCCTGCACGAGACGTGTGGCCGGTGCCATCGACCACGTGCGAGTCAGATACATTAGCGAGGAGCGGCATGCCACACCAATGGGGAGGGACATTTATGACTGCGATCAGATTTTTTGGTTCAAATCAACAATAGCCACTGCTGCACGGTTTGAACTAATTCGTACAGAGAATGGGACACACGCCATTCAAATCGTGATATGGGAGCCAGATTGCGATGCGTTGGTTACCATTGTCTTGATCTCGATCGGACCTGGTCACAGTTGGAAGTGCCTGTGTGACATGGGTATGAGATGCTGCTAGAACAAAATCATACTCAGTTCATTCATCTGGTTTAACGTCATGTAATGACCTACAGGCTATAGAAGGCATAGCGATTGGGGGCTCCAGATTAATTCTCACTATTTGATGTTCTGAACATTGCACCTAAATTGAGGCACAAGAACGACTTCATATATTGTCTAGTATTGGAACAACAAAAGCATAGAAGAACAAAAAGAAAAAAAATTCAGTGGTGGTCTAGCAATAACTGCAAGATAAAAGCACTGGAATTAATCTGATTACATCAAGATCTAGTTGCATACAGTTACCTTGATAACCAACGCTGGCCAACATTAGTCGACTATGTCGATACTATGAGAAAAAATGCTGCAGGGTTTTTATGAACTGCTACACTCATTTTTTTTTATCACTTTGACACTCCCAAGGTAAATGCAGTAAAGAACTAAAGGACATCCACATGATACATGTCGACAAGGGCACGTAAATAAGGGGTTCCATGGTTGCACTGTGCAGGGGGACACGAGGTGACAAGCATATGGACATTTCTCGAATAGAGGAAACCTTCCTACTTATTTTGAAGAGCAAGAAGATATAATCAGGAGACAAAACAGAGAACAGAGTGCTGCTAACAACTGAATTGACAATAGAGCTTTGTTCAGTGTCTTTTCCTCTTTTAATTGTATTCTCTTGCATCTCAAAAAAAAAAATTATAAGAGTACACCAACTTCTCCAAAAAAAATTTTTTTCAACGGGATACCTTACAGCTGAAGCCTCACCTGAAGTGTAACCAGCCGAGCCTCGAGCCCAAAGCGGTCGCCATGTGTGACCCCTTCGGTACCCCCGCTGCACCAGGCCAGTTTGTCATTGGCCGTGGACAGCCAGTGCTGCAGCTCAGCCAGTGTGCCCTGGTGGTGGCGGTCAAGAATGGACAGCAGCGCTGCTGAAGCCCTTGCAGCCTGGTTCTTGGCGGCTTCGAGCCTGCAGGGGGATATTTGAATGACGAACTGATTGCTTGGCAAAGTTTGCTTATCCTGTTATTTACCGGCAGCTTTGAGCCTGCAGAGAGAATACTGATTGACTAATTGATTGACTGATTCATAAGGTTTAATTTTCCAGCTCTTGGCAGTCTTGAGCCCATAAAGGACAGATTAACTAATTAATTAGTTATGGTTGGTTGATTGACTTTACTGTCACATTTCCTAACTGCTTCAAGATTACAAAGAGAATGTTGATTCATTCATTTATTCCTTGATTCATTCGTAAGGTTTGACATTCCAATGGCACAGTAGCTTCCAAGAGGAGAGAAACAACCCTTTGGGACTCTAATTTATGACACCATAAATTTTGCTGCCTTGCACACTCGATCCAAATACTATGCTTTCACACATAATTGCTCAATAACACCGACTGTTGAGCCTCAGTAGTCCAAGTAAAGCTGTAGTTTACCTCTTTCCCATCTCCACCGCTGTGATGGTTTGGTTGCTATACTAGCTGCGTGATTGAGCGTGTACACACTCTGATGCCAGGCCATGGCTGTGGCAGTAACGTTCGAATGCGTTAAAAGCGCGAAAAATGACTTTTTACCTAAATTTCAGTGCTCCTCGAAACTGCCGAACGATAAAATGAAGACTTTTATTTCAACATGGAACACCTTTTTTTCTCTTTATTTTCTGTATATTTATGTGTTGTTCTTGTGTAACGTTTTTATACTTTTCTTTGTTGCCAGCATTTAGGTGCTTAACATGACATTATACCGACACATTCCTCACAGTGATGGCTAAGTACAAGTTGCATTTGCATTAACATGATGTTTATGAATGTCAAGTGTGGTAAGTTTATCTTCTCAGCTTGTTATATGTAAATCTGCTAATGTAACAACAACAACAGTGAAAGGTCGGCGAACTGCCCGATTCATCACAGCACCGAGTGGTGATCTGCCAAACACACCTGGCCTTCAGTTTTTCCTGCTCCCTCTGAAGGTGCCGCACCTCCAGGTCTGGCTGGTTTCGCACTAGCCTTGCCATTTTCTCTTCGATTCGGGCCAGGCCGCCATTCTTGTTGAGGGCCTCTTCCAGTTTCTTCAAGAAAGAGAGAACCGGAGGGAAAGCAAGAGTGTAAACCTTGATTAGTTATAGAAACGAATGCTTACAAAAAGCCGTTTGTTTCTGAAATGCAAGCCGAAAGGCGACAAATCGGCTTGATTCGTGGAAGAAATTAATGTGGCTAAGAATACATAGAAATGGCTGCTACACAACTTCAGCTAATTATGAAATTGCACTATTAAGACTGCTGTTGATTCATGATAAGGGTACCATTTTTATCTTCAAAAACCTCTACAGCCATGCTGAGACTAGTGTAGTTAAAACCAACAGACATGGCATCACAAGAAGATTAAACCCAGAAGGCACAAGCTTGCACTTGAGCCTATGCTGCATGAAGTAACTCCACTACGTTTCGATAAGGAGGCAAGTTTATCAGACTCCGCAGTGACGTCGAGGCGTCATCAGTAAAATGCAGTCGTGTCAGACCTGTCAAACCAGGCAGCTAGATGACAAGCTTATGACATAAATTATCACAAGCTTTTCAGTTTTCTCGACACCCTGGCAAAGAAAGATCTCTGGAAGAAATTTGGCAAAGAGATGAGTTTATCAGACATCCTGGTGATGTCAGGGCGTTGCCAGGAATTGTCAGGCTTTCAAGCTTGTCGGCAGCGGCGGATCCAGGGACTCATTTTAGGAGGGGGGGGGGGGGGAGGTTCTGACTTTTTTGTACTTAGTAGCACGAAAACCCTGTCATAACATAATGTTAATGTGTGCGCACAGTAGTGCCGCTTAATTGTTCTAATTGGTGGCAGGAGGTGGATGACAAACACTGAAAAGAGGGAGGGGGTGCTGACACAGGCATTAGGGGGGGGCGATCCCCCCTACCGCCCCCCCCCCCTCTGGATCCACCGCTGCTTGTCGGTTTTCTCCACACCCTAACGAAGATATATATCCTGTCGAAATGTTAGCTCCAGCATCAGTCTTTCCTCAACAAGTCCCCATCACTTCAAGCGTCCATCTGCCACTGAACTATCTTGTTGTGGACTAGTACTACATACACCTAGTAGCTTAATGCAATCTGCATCTCGAAGTTTACACTCGAGGCACTCCTCTTACCCGACATTCTTCCAGACGCTGCAATAGCACTTCGTCAGAGCCTGTGGTGTTATCGCAACGTGACAGGGCCTCCTTCTGCTGACGCAGCCAGTCGGAGAACTTGTCCATCTCGGTCTTGACGTCAGCCTCCTGCTCCTCCACCTGGCTCAGCATGGAGCGCAGTCGGTCGGCCAGGTCCTGCGCTTCTTCGAAGCCGCACTGGATGGAGCTGCGAGCCGAGTCCAAAGCCTGCGGCATTTCTAGCGACTCCAGCTGCTCCTGAAGGTTGGTAAACAGCTGCTGCTGTGTCTCCAGCTCTGTCTGCAAATGAAAAAGCATAGGAACAATGTATTCTGATGTGATGGCGACGGTATCGAGTGAACAGAAATCCCTACCAGAGTCATGCAAGTTAAGAAACTGAGCATTTGGTAAACTTAAAAGCCAGCTTCATTGAAAATTCATTTTTGCTTACGTTCATTATAAATTAGTTCTTTACCCAGTTGAAGCCACTGTGGCTTGAACTTCACTAGTTTTCCAGGACACTTCTGCTTACACGTCATACACAAGCATTTGCAAAGATAACCCTTCATATCTATGCTGTGTGAATCTGGGCTTTTCTTGTGGTCTAAATTTTTCACTGCAGCTTGACTTAAGCCCAAAAGACAAGCAGAACTTGAAGCGGCCCTGAAACACTTTTTTGAGTAACCATAGAATTAATTCACTGGAAAAGGGTATCGTCTCACAAATTCAATGCTGCTAAAATTTTAAGAATTCGTTCAGTACGAGCGGAGTTACAAAGATTTGTCACACGCTGCAATTTGTGCGGGTGCTGACACCCCCTGTAAAGTTGTTTGCTCTGCGTAGCGCATGTGTCTCGCCCAAAAGCCGCATTTCGGGTTACAACCGCCGGGCGATAGACGGCGTTGTGTTCGCGTTGAGCACCAACCATTATCATCATCATCATAGTTGTTACAGTGGTAGCGCCAGGGGTGACCCCTGGCGGAAGCAAGCCTTGGCGGAGGGCGAGAGTTGAGCTAGTCTCTTCTGCACGTGGCGGTTGCCGCAAACGGTTGTCTGTAGCGTGGGTCTCCCGTGCTCGGCACCGCGGGCTTTGCGCCGGGGCCCCTCTTCGTAAGTCAAGCGTAGGCGACGCTGCCTTGGGTGTGTTATTGTTTTTCGTGGAGTGTATGGTCATATTGTGTACAGATGTCCTAGTGTGTTGATAATGATTGATGTAACAATTTGGCGGACGATATTGTGGTTCAAAAGGTAGGTAAATAAATGTATGTGTGTTTGTTGGTTTGAACCGGCCGTGTCTGCTGTGACCTTTCACTCCAAGAGCGTGGCGTGGCGCTCGTTCACCATATTGAGACCCCACAAATTGCATTCTCTCTTCTCTTGTCCCGACGAAAGCACTAGAAGCTAAGCAAAGAGCAATGGGAGGGGGAAAACAAAAAACGTCACATGCGCCTTTTGACCTAGAGCACTATTTCTTTTTTTTTTTTCTTCGAATACGCTGTTTTTTAGTGCGATCGCGTGCGCACGCGTGGACAGGTGACGGCCTTTTGCGGTGATCTCTGTAACAACCGAGCGCGCCATGTTCAAATCAGCCAATGCCTGATAGATAGGTAATCTACAAGTGAATTTTGAACGTTCCCGGCATTTGTCGAGGGAAGAGGAAGCAATTTTTAGCTGACTTTGATCATTTATTGTGAATTCCAGGCCGTGTGCTGCGCTACAACATTTGGCTCGCGTGTTCTCAGGGAGCCTCTACTAATGATCGGCAGCGTTTTCTGACGATGCTCAAAGAGTGTTGCAGGGCCCCTTTAAGTCACAGCAACAGTAGAAAGCATGCTTGTCAAGTCTACTGATATAAGTTGAATTCATCAACCACCTATACAAGCCTCACCATTTCGCCGACATACATTGTAACATCATTACAACGAAGTTGCATATTACATGAAGATAAGATTGTTATATCCAGAAATTCATTATAAAGGTATACTCTTAACACTATGCATATTGTAAGACTATTTTTCATTTATTTCGTTATAACCAGTATATCATGAAATTCAGCTTCGTTATAAAGAAGCTAACTATAATTAAATTCATTATAACTTAGTTTCTTTCCGATAGTGTGGGTGAGTAAGCGCTCACATAATGAAGATGTCCGAAGAAATTATTGGTAAAACGACCCTTTATTCCTAAATTATAGCTATGCCTCTTATGCGTTCTCAAGTCAGAGTATGATTCAGCAGCTTCTGTGACAATCTGCCAAGAAAGCTGTACAAGCCAGGAAGTCCACAGCGATGTTACCTCGTAGCGGTCCAGCACGGCCCGCCCCTGCTCTCCCTGAGCGAGGTGATCCAGAGCCCCGCGCATGCACTCGCAGATGTCCTCGAGCCAGGCAAGGATCTCCTCGCGGGTCATCTCGGCCTGCTTCCAGACGTTGTAGCGGCCCTCGAGGTCCCGCAGCATGGACTGCAGCATCTGGGCCCCTTTGCGCCAGCGGTCTTCCCGGTTCTTGAGAGACTCCTTGAGCTCCTCGCCGGCCGGGGCGAGGCTCTCAATGGCCTCGGTCTTTTCGATGAGCTCCTGCGTCTTCTGCTGATACGAGTCGAAGGTCGGCTGCTGCCTGCGAACTTCTTCCTGCTGAGCCTGTAGGCAAATGCCACGCAAAGAAACATTGTATTAATATTTGTGACACAGTGAAGCCTCGTTATAACAAAGCCATACTTGACACAAAGATACTGCCATTCTACTCTGCATTCTTATTAACTAATATCAGCAAGCATTCTTTGTTTATTCATTACATTTAGCAACCTGTAATATTCAGAAATGCCTTATATTGATCTTCAACGGCAAACAATCATTACAGCAAAGCAAGAGGGAAAAGGTACCTCACAGCACACAAGGCTGTGGACCAAGACATGCAGTGAGACCATTGAAATGGTGAACAACAGTGGAAGGTTTCTTGGCTCGGACTTGATAGTTGTTAGACTAAGCCAGAGACTATATTACCCATGAATCACTTCCGTGAATACTTTATGTAGACTTTCGGATCTCGAACAGGGCCGCAGCCAGAGGGTGGTACTCCAAGCCCGTGCCCCCCCCCCCTCCAACAAGAAATTTTTCTCGCCATGGCACAGAGACCAAAAATGACAATTTCAAGGAGGTGCACACCCCGAAATAAAAAGATGCCCTCCCCCCCCACCCTTGAAAAAAAATTTTGGGTAGGTGCCTGACCCCGGACCTTCATATTTGAAAGATAATGCTTCTGTTACAAGCTGTGACCTCTGAGCAGCTGAGATTAAATGGTGATAACAGGCTCAAGTTTGCCTGTTTATACTATTACGATGAGAAGGCACTGAAAATTTTGCATAGGAGGTGGGAACACTGCACAACAACTGAGCATTATTAGGTGAAAATACAAAGACTGGCTGCATTTGACAATCACACTGTGAGATCTCAAGCAAAGAATCAGTTATAAGGGTTAAAGTAAAGAGCGTGTTCTTTTGTGAGACAGCCTGTCATGTGTGGCTAAAGAAGAGCAGGTGAATAAATGTTTAAAATCTACATTAAACAGGCAATGAATATAGTAAAATAACTTGCAATAAAGTTCAACGAAACTCATCTCTAAACAAAGGAAATATCTTTAGGAGAGAACCATACAGATTTACAGGCACGAAAGATGTTCCACCTATTCATTGTTTTTGTATGCGTGTTTGAGCGCAGCCACCTTGAAGCTACACAAAAATGTCCCTGAATTTGCAATTGATATATGTTTTACTTTAGACTCAGCTTTGTAAGCAAAGGTTATTCAGCAATGCTATCTTGAAAAGCTACAGTTACTTTTATATTGATAACCCTCGCAAAAATACCGACAAGTAAGGCCGGTGTAAGTAACATAAGCCAGTACGAATTCGGTGAGAGCAAAGAAGTTTTCCCAAACTCTGGTAACCAACACATAACCTTAGATTGCCTTCAACCAGACAAGACCCGTCACCAGAGTCATAAAAAGAGCGACACCTTCTCGGAAGCAGTGAACTCACCCCAACTTTCTCTGCGTTCTCGGTGAGAGATTTCCCGTCTTCAGCCGGAGTGGCCTCAACCTCCTCCAACGTTTTCTCCACTTTGTCCATCGTGTCATCAAGCTTGTTCTGCAAGTACAACCAAACGAATGTCGATGATGTGGTACACAGAAAATCACTGAACATTCCCATATGACACGAGCGAACTGTCTGCGTCTTCAGTTTGTGTCGTTTCAGCATAATTTACAAGCGAACACTTACATCAGAGTTAGCCTCACTGCAAATCTGGCCCTTAGTGGCCAAATCCGTGGTGACATGATGCAGTAAAGTAAGCAATTGTGCATCCCAATTGTTACACTAAAGAAATTATTTAGCATTTCAAAAAATCCAAGAGTACGGTACTTGCTTTGTTTTAAAATTAAACTGATTCCTTGTTATTTAGACATGGTATAACCAGGTGCCAAACAACATACTCTGCTTGAAGCTTATGACAATACATTCGCTATAGCCTTAGAAGAATAAGGTACAAATAAAAATTCCCACCTCCAACTGTCGGCATTCCTTCCAGAGAGACTGTGTGGATCCTAAGAGCTTCAACGTCCTGGTCACTTCAGAAGACAGGTTCTCCCAGTCGGAAGCCAGGGAGCCCAGTGGTTCCTGGACCTTAGGGAAGCAGGACGCATCTGCTTCGATTAGCGATCGACCCAGCTGTTGGGTGGCGTCCTGGACATCCTGTTGTTCCTTCAGCTTTTTCTGCAATTGCTGTTGAGAGGTGTTCAAAGAAAATTTCCCTCAAATCGGCTCACCACTGCTCTAACGCCAGCCTTATATGTTCTGCATCTACATGTATTTCGTATGCATTTTATATGTTAGTGAAAGTGGAAGTGACACCAGGCTAAAGTTTTCGCTCGATCCTTTCAGATCTAGTCTGCCCTTAATCAACAACTTTTATCGTTATAGAGCTTTAGTTTGTCTGCAGTGTGCTAGTGTTTTGCTGAATATTGTAGCCATAAAAGTGAGAGGCCAGACAAGTGGCGCCATCTGGCAAGGTTGAGATGAACCAAACAAGCGCAGTATTTTTATTACAGAAACCTTGTGCCTTTTAGTTCTCTTTTAGTGTAAACTCTCAGTAGTAGCCTAATGCCTAACAATTTACCCTTTCAAGTTTTTTCCCTCAGGAACACTAGGAAGACACAAACAAAGGTGTTTATAATGTGGTGACACAAAGCATCCAAAGGTGTCAATACAATTGTCTGTTAGCCATATGTTCCATGAATCTCTTTTTGTACACTGGAATGCTGGAGAAGCTAAAAACCTCTCTTTACTGTATTTAAACGAGGAGTGATAACATCAGTTGGGCTAGTTTAATATGAAGCTACAAGCATGCAGTGCCCTTTTTTGAGCGGGTCAATGTCATTGCTACCAGTCTGCTCAAGCAGATCAGTACCTTGAGTCAGATGTTCTGCTATGTTGTCACTGATACAGAAAAGCCACCAGTTTACACGGCAATCAAGGATGAAAAGTGAAAGGAAGGAACTGCGATGTGATGTTAATAAACATTCAGTGAAGTTTAGGTATTTAGGAAAACAAGATATGCCTTTTTTATCTGAACAAACTGGAAAAATAGACTCCGTTGACATATATAATAGGGATGTTGTTGTGAGGACATCCGCATGCAGTCTGATCCAATATGTACTTTTTTAGAATCGTAGCAGAGTGGTTGACAGTAAGAACCAGTTTAAAGGCTTTTGTCACCAGACTTTTGTTGCCTAAGCAGATACTAAACATGACACTGACACTATAGCTACACAAGGTACGTTTTCAATGGTGAACCCTTAACTCAGTATGGGTTCAGAATCAAAAAATGGAATTACTCACTTCAACTTCATCGACCATCACAGCGAGAGCTTCGGGCGTGGCTGACTTAGGCTGTAGGCTGTGCAGAGTCTCGGTTGTAACAGTCACAAACTGCTTGGTGCCCTCCAACTTCTTGTTGAAGTTGTCCCACTTGTTTTCCAGCTGGGTGACCTCTTCCTGCTTCTTCTGCAGCACTTTGCCCACCTAAGTGACGATGAAATTGGAATATCAGTGAGCACTAATGGACGATGACGCCAAGAGAAGTATAAGGGATGTTAAAGTAACTGTAATGTAAATGTGAAGGAAGAAAAGTAGATGAAAAGAAAACTAGCCTCCGGCAGGATTCAGGCCTGCAACCTTCGAGTAATGCATTCAATGCTCCACCACTGAGTGACGGTGGCAATCATCACCCCATCCACTTTATAAGGTATATGCGTGCATTTACACGTGGCAGCATCAGCCAGCAGCGCCTACAGCCATTGCGGCGAGTGTGGAACACTTATCTTCGCTAGTTGGCGTCACGTAACCAGTTAATATTTGCCGGCTTGTGTTTCATTTGTCCCCAATGACAGCATCCCTGCTCACAAAGCATGTGCACAGTCAAGAAGTCACATTAAAATAGATCTCACCTTGTCCAGGTGGCCCTGCAACTTGTCGGTCTGTTGGCGCAGGCTTGTCACGTTGTTGGTGCTGCTGTCCCTGAATGTCACCTGCACCTCCGTGGCCAACTTGTCGGTGCTGGTGGCCTCGGGAACTTTCTTCTTCAGTTGCTCGTTAAGGTTGCGCAACTCCTTGGTCGTCTCCTCGAGGTTGTCCACCTTGGCGCGCTGGGACTCCACGTTCTGCTGCACCAGCCGCACCTGCAGGCACACCACAGCGAAAGTACACGTGAGTGCGCTCAGATCTCGTTATAGCAAAGTTGTATTTTACAGAAAATTAAGCTCATTATATCCAGAAATTGATTATAAAGGTTTATTGCTATATACATTACAAGACTATTTTTCATTTACTTTGTTATAACCGATAATTCGCTATATACATGTTTGTTATATTGAGGTTTCAGTGTGCATGTGCGGTTACCCACAATAGCAACAAGTGTCGTAAAAGGAGAATTCTTACATACTGAATTGAAGCGTAAAGGCGATTACTCTGTAAGTGAAATGTTCCTGAATAAGTGACAAATGTGTACTATTAGGAGACTATGTGCTCATGCTATTCCCATTTCTTTTTTTTTTTAAGACGATAGTCCTTCTTGGGGACCTTCGACGCAAAAATTTTGGTCTGTCTGTCTGTCTGTCCATTTGTCTGTTTGTCCACTCTTGACGACATCGTGTCCTTGAAACGGCCGACCCCATATGCAGCGCCCACCATTGTTTCGCAAGGTTTAGCATTCGTGTGCAATTGTCAATTAAAAAGCAATTATTACGCATGTCTGGGGCACCATAACTACACCTATATATTCTGCATGTGCGTCTTTTACTAGAAAAGGCATACATAAGTAATTTTAAAAACTGCAGCGCTTATCACGCTGCGCTGACCATGCAACACTTGCACGAAACGACAAGTGTTTCCAACGTTTTCCTAAGACAAGACGGTGGTGGCACCTACCCGTCGCCTTGCGTTCTAAACTAATAACCTCTGAGATGAGCGCGCACACCCGCCTCAGAGCCACGCGCTTTGTTTTCTAAAGAAACTGCCAGATGGCGCTCATGTCTCACGTGTGACATGACTTGATGCACTCATCCGCTTCCACTGCACGCTTGAGGCACTCTAACCCAGCGGCTCCAGAATACCATTCACCGATTTTCTTGCGTAGAACATCAAATAAATGTTTTGTTTACTCTCTCCACATGCAAGACTATCGTCTTTCGACGAAATTTGCAGATTAACATGCAGATACGGGGCCAATTTTTCGCAGTCAAACTTCACTGTAGCTTATCAGAAAGTCGTAGGTTGATATGCACATGCTTCATAGTGAAAGACTAAACACAGGTATTCCTCTGTCCTAATAATTAATGCTGTACTGCGAATACACAGAATTCAGTAGCTCTTAACTGCTGAATTATGGAACATCCCAGCATGAAGAAGCCACATTCCTTACAGTGTCACTTCTGGCCCAGTTGACACCTTACCAACTAAAAGGGAAAGCAAACGTCTTAAACATTCCTGTCCAACAAAGGGGCGGAACTTTCCGTAATAACTGAGTGATTTTTACAAGCTTTGTATATAATTAAGAATGGTCGGAGTCACATTTCCAAACAACATAATTTTCTTACCTATAAACCGCAGAAAAAAACACAGACGATTCGTCACTTAAGTTGGAATGCGAGTTATTTGTGAATTTATGAGGAGCCAGCCCCACAGCAATGAAAGGAAGGTGGCCTCATGACAATGTGCAGGGCACTTTTCACTTTTCTGAGCGTTACTGTTGGGGGTATAGGTCACACAAAGGTGATCGTCATATGTGACAGTGTAGAGCCCAGCAAGTGTCCAACGAATGTTCAGCGCATGGAAGCCTATGTTTTGAAGACTAGCTAATGTGAATACTACCACTTTTACTAACATCTAATACTTTCGCTAACATCTTATGAACTAAATTTGGCTAATTTACTAATCATAGGCTTGCACGTGGAACGACAACTAAAACTGACTGACAGCACAGTAGCACACCTGCTCGATGAAATCTTTCTGCCAGGACTGGAACTTGATGACGTCCTGCAGGAGTTCCTCTCGCTTCTCCAGAAGCTTGCACAGTTCCTCGAGCGTTGCCTTGAGGCTCTCCAGGCTCTTGAGGAGTTGTTCGGAAGGCTCCGGGGCGAGGGTCTCGGAGAGCTCGGACAGAGTCTTGCCGAGCGTCTCGATCTCGGCCCTCTTGCTCGTTAGCTCCTCTTTCATGGTCTGAAAAGATACATATGTGTATAGCGATCATCTACGCAACAGGAAAGAAAAATAATCAACATTAAGTCACGAATACAAGGGGAAGTCAAGGGAATTGGCATTTGTGTTCGTGTCTCTTGTGTTCGTGTTTGCATGCCTACGGTACATTATTATGAGTCTCTTTCATTCTGAACGATCAGTTAAATTCAGTTCAAGGCAGTTTCACTTTAAAAACACCATTACTACAGAATTTCCCGTTAATTTTTCATTTAAAATTGAACTTTACAACTGAAGCCCTGGTAGCAGCTGCTCTTACCTGCACTTTACGTAGCTGCCCTTCCAGCTGACCCATGTTGACGTCGCTGGCCTCCTCGGCCTCCTGCCTCAGCTGGTTGAGCACAGCATGGCACAGTTCGACGCGCCGCAGCAGCTCCTCCCGCTCGGACAGCTGGGAGGTCAGCTGACTGACCAGCTGGCGCACCGTGGTCGCCAGCTCGTTGGCGCGCTTGCGCAGCTCGGACACCTGCATGCGCGGTTCAACAGGAGACGCTTTTGTGACAGGTCTGTTTCTGGTACATCAGGGGAATGAGAGCTAGCAATTTTTGTTCCAATATTCATGTCCCACACATGTGCATGTGTGCATGCAATTTATGCACATGCATGCATGGGGTGCATGCTGAACTGAAAAATTTTTAGCGCACTTAACTGTCCATTCATTTAGTGTCTGGCTGAGCTAGTTGAACTTGAATTTACTAGTAATATACTAACAGTATATAGTACATACTAAAATGCTAATGTAACCTATCTACTATTACGCTAATATAATATCAACATGAATGTAATAAAACATAGTCTGAATACACTCATAATCATAATCAGCAACTGATGAAGTGCTCCCCTTGAGATGTCCAGTTAGTTTTATGTTGTACTAGCCAATCAGAGAATATATACAGATCCAAGTTTTTAAGTTTCAATGAACTAACAAATTATTCGCCATCATTGATTGCTCTTTCTATTGCTATCTATTCCATAGCTCTAACAGACATTATTACAGAAGTACAGTACGAAGAAGAAAGGACAAAAGAGTCCCGTCTTTCACGTACTGTGCTTTTATTTTTGGATAATGAACCTACTCACCCAGCAAACATTCGGACAGGCCACTGGTCATCTGTTCTGCCCCCTTCGTGATTAGCCCAGTTTAGCTTTCCTCTCTTGTTAGCTACTAAAACATCAGTTATCCCCCTTATGCTCCTTAGCTCACATTACCGCTTCCCTGCATCTCATTGTTATGCCTAAGATGTTTTGTACCATTGCTAGCTCCCTCACTTTCATTGCCGAGCAAACTAACAAAACACAAGTCTCCCGCCACAGAGGAAAATGCTTGCTGCAGGTTGATCGGTGTAATTTAGTTTGGGTCAACATGGACATGAATGTGTTTGTTCTAGAAGAAAAAGAAAAATGACAAATGTTTTTGCTCACCTGAGCATGCAGGGCCGTCAGTGCTGTGTGAGACAGACCAGGACCAAGCTGTTCAATGTTGCTCTGCAACTCACTCAGAGTTTGCTGTTTGCGAGTAACTTCATTGGCCAAGTTCTGTGCAAAAAAAAACAGACAGATTAAACGGAAACATGCGTAAGGTCTCTGCTATGTTGAAGCATTACTCAGCAAAAAGGCATGGGGTATGTTTAGCTACACTAGAAAACTACTAGCACATCAGTTCATGTAACCGTCATATCCATCACATGCATAGCTGAAGTTTTGAATGAAAAATATCTCAAGCTGTTATCCACATGAGAGCTACACCTCTTCCGTCAAAAGCTGAAGGGGTCATTTTTCTGCAAATGTTAACCTATCAAGCAGCAGTCACTATGTTGCATCTTCATGTTACACATCGTTGTCAGTGTTTATCATGTCAACCTACTAATGTGCACACAGTCTAGCAGTGTTAAAAATAAACAAGTTTTTGTGAAGAAAGGCACTGTCTAAAAAATATATATATTCTTTCACTTAAGCAATGACTGCACCCTAAGGAGCCAAACACTATGTTGAAGACGACGTAGAAGCTGTTATGTGAGTCTACAAAGTATTGTACAGTAATGGTGAAAGCAATATCAAAGCGATGAAGCCAAACTAGGTTCGGTGAATATTATCATGATATAACTTGCTTGATGCATACAGTATAATAATATAAAGCTGAACATCACATTTCTCTTTTAAAGTAGGATAGCTCCCTTGTTTCTGCATTTAAGGAAAAAAAATTTATCCTTCAAGTCTTCATCATATAAGCTGCACAGTAAATAAGAATCCAAGAAAGCTAGAAATACTAGTTATTCTTGAAATAAATTTTACATCATCCCTTTCATATTGGCATGGCATGTACTACCTCTTACGACGTCGTCGCTACATCTGTTACTGCCGTAAGCAAAATGCATAGCCAGTGACACTAGGAACAGAGAATCAAAATCAGAAAAAAAAATATTAGAGCAACTGACTTCGTAACAACTCACCCTGAGTGACTCTTTTTGCTTCTCCATTTCAGGGGGCGTGGTTCCCTTCAGCGGTTCCTCCATCTGCCGCTCCTTCTCGGTGACCCACGTAACGACCTCTTCAACTCTCGTCACGATCACCTTCCACTTCTCGCCCGTGTTTTCGAGCGACTCCAGCCAAGACTACAGTGAAGAATAGGCAAAGTAGGAAGGCTTTAGCAATCCTTTCATCCCTAGGCCAATATTTTTTGCTGATACAATTTGTTTTGTTTTATGAATGACAAACAACGGTGGTATGTCAGCTTGAAAATTTCGTAAACCTCATCTCCAATGTTAGTCATGCAACAGAATGTGTGCACCAAATTTCATCGGAACAACAGCAAAGAAAAATGCAATGAACCGAACAGAGAAAGGACATATTTGAACGATCACACCTGAAGTGCCTGAAAGCACTTCAGGTGTCGACACTGTCGACATAACAGAAAGGAGTTTTTGCGTTACTAATTTTCATGCACTTAACATTCTGATTCAATACTACCAATGCGACAGCATATGTGTGCACCAAAGTATATCAAAACTACTGCATAATAAATCATAAACAGAAAAAAACACAGCCTATCCGAATACTGTCGACTTTCGATAATTCAAGCTCGAAAGGACCTCTCAATTTTGTTTGAATTATCAAGAAGTTAGAATTTTCAGAAGTTTTCAGATAGATGACTCTGGGTGAGTTGACACCATACATTATGATTAGACATTCATTTTATCACATATAAAGAATTTTTAAATGTTTTTAAGTCCTAACTGCACGCAGTGAACAGAAAGCAGAGGTGTAAAATCCACAAGTTTATTGGCCATTTACTGCTGATCAGACCTTTTAAAGAAATCGTGAATTGCCAACTGCTTCATTGCAATATGTGCCTTCAGCACAAAGCTCCCTCTACCAGTTGAAAAGCATCACGGTTTACCATGAGTGTACTTTGTTTTGAACATTTGTTTACTTGTAAAGCCTTTTTTTCTTGAAGGCCTCAGGTGCTGCTTTTTCATTTTTATACAGTTGGTATTATATAAGCACACAAATTTTTAAATAGTAGTGGGAAAGCAGCAGATACTTTCTGGTATGGACCTGCAAAAAGTATGAATTAACCGAATGATTGAGTTTGAATTAAGAGGCTTTCAGTTACATCGAAAGATTAGAGGGCCAACCGAAAAATTGAATTTTGTTTCAATTAACCAAAAGTATGAGTTATCAGAGTTTGAATTATCGCGAGTCTACTGTACTTGCAAACACAGTGCTTTTTAAAACAATAAAGTAGTTTTGGTCCTCTGGTACTGCTTTCTCCAGAGACAGTCAATTTCGCCTAACAAAACATCGCACATCTCACCTCCAAGAGATTCTTGATTTGCTTCCAGCGCTCCATGATTTCGGCCAGGGTGCGCTGCAAGTCCGGCTCGTCCGATCCCGCCTCGGCGGCCAAGTCGTAGAGGGCGTCAATCTTCTTCTTAGTGACCTCGTAAAGTTTCTGGAGGAACACAAACAATGCACAATGCTCTTGTAAAATTGATGCAGGCTCCATCGTGGTTGAACATGTGTGACGGGCCAACAGCTGCTCGATGAATTATGGCTCCTCAAAAAGCACAGCTAGAGCAGATCACAAGATTTGCTTTTCTGTTGTTAATATGACCAGCAAGCGGCTACCACCACTCGTGAGAATTCATGGCTGCACAAAAATGGAGCAAGAGAAGCCGGCTGCATAAATCAGCGTTTCCATGTCGAATGCAACAATTCTTGGCATGATTGTCTGCTAGATCTTATTATCTTGTGTACTTCTTTCCTTCAGGCTTATGTACATGTTTGATAGAACCAAACAGCACCTATGAATGAATCAAGCTTTTATATTAACGACACCAAATCAACAACCTTTTACTGTATTGCATTTGATACATTTTGTACTATTGATATAATGTATTAGTCCATGTGTGATATGTACATAGTGAATGCTACATTTCCGCAAGAAATTTTCAAGAGTATACTACAACTGTTTGATGTTGTCACACGCGCTTATTTTGCTATCTCCATGTAAAAAGCCTGTTACACATGTGACAACCCCCCATCGCAAGATGCAACACTTAGAAACTCTATGATTGTTTCCAGCTGTTCAGATAAGAATACACAGGGCACAGTGTACACGAGTGACCAAGTTTATCGTAGAGCTAACACGAGTACCAGTGATAACACAGGAAGGTTTGTTGAGGCATCGATAAAAGCCGACGCATTTCATAGATGAACAGATTATCGACAGCCAACTTTAACTTCTCATTTCCTGGGCACAACTTCGCCCAATGAATAGCTTGTCTTTAACAGCCCGACTGCAGCCTTCGTCAATGCCAGAACCATGTGAAAATAAAGCGAGTAATTCGATACATCAAGCTTCGACTGTAACTGCCTTGTTACCGGGACGTACGCATAGAGCGGGTATAAAGTGAAAAATAGGGGCGCGCTCCTCACCTGGAGCTGTTCCTGCTTGGTGGCCAGCTGTTCGAGCGAGTCGGGCGTGGGCAAGCCCTGGTCCAGATTGGCCTCCGTGTCCTCGAGCTCCTTGCGCTCGTGCACGGTACGCTCGCGGAGCACCTCGATGCGGATCTGCCTGTCGCTCAGCTCCTGCTTCATCTCCTTACCCTCTTGGTCGAGCTCCTTGAGCTGTGACTGCAGTGACGTGGCCATCTGCGCCAGCTCTGGCCGCTGACCCTGAAGCTCTTGCGTCTCTTTCTCTATCTGCTCCAGGACCCCGCGCTTGGCCTCGATCTCCTTGCTCAGGTCCTGGGAGAGAATGCCCATTCATGAAGACATCACGTCTTGGATAATAGTTCACAATTATGCCTCCCACTCAACCTCATGATGTTACTCTAACTTTAACAGATAGCTGTGTTGGGCTGGCCGGTGCATCTTTTATGAAGGACATTTTGGCACGATTTTAAATTCAGAAGAAAGAAATAACAAGGACTGAAAAAAGCACCAAAGACTTGAAAGAACCTATTAAAAAATAAGCGAAGCTCAATGAAGTACACTCAAACCTCGTTTTAACAAAGTTACATATTACACGAAAATATGTTGGTTATATCCAAAAATTCTTATAAGGTATATTCCAACACTATATCTATTGCAAGACTATTCTTCATTTGCCTTCTTTTAATCAATATTTCATTATATCTGGGTATGTTATATCGAAGTTCGATACTGAGTTTATCTAGTTGGAGCATAGCTTATGTTAGGTACATTGTTGGGCACTCCTTTGGCCCGTTCTCATTTCTTTTTTTTTTTTTAAGTTAACTATTGCAGCACCATACAAGCTTCATAGACTCTAGCATTCTTGTCCATACTACCATTCCTAGAGCGGCATCCTACCATTCTCCGTCATTCTTGGTGTGGTATTCTTGACCGCTTATTCTCTTGTTACTGGACGAAGCATTTATGACTGGAACAAGTCAGATGCTCTGTTACGTCAATGACATGGTATTGGCGTCAGTCACACAAAATTTTCTGCTTGCAGCAACAAAATGCATAGCTACGTGCCACTTGTGTCAGCCAATGAAAGCTGTGATGAAATGTTGTATCATAATGTAAAGTTGTGCCGTAACCGTGACGGAGAATTTGACGGCTGTGTGCTGCAGCAAAAATCTCAGGGATCCTGTACTAATGTTACAATGAGTTGTGAAAGCTTAAGGCACCTTTATCCATCTAATCCACACCTTAATCTACCTACTCCACATGCTAATTCCCATCTTAATGAAACTTAAACAACTGCTATTCACTTCAATTTGCTTTGGTGTACATTGTGACCTGCTCCATACTACTTCACACCTCAATCCACTTTCCAACCTTAATCGCCTGTAATTTACTTCAATAAACTAGGCTATAATACCTTAATAAACTCTAACTGAATTCACTTTACTTTACTATCAGACGCTGTAATTAGTAACTTCATTCATTCGCTTGAGTACCACATGACTCTTTGTACCGTTTGTGCTCATGCCGACAATGTCAGATTCCTCAACTCATGAGACATATAAGGCTTTTGCCTTGGTTTTAGGACAATTAACATAGACAACTATTATTTGTTATTATAACACTGTTGCATTAATAAACCAACTGACCTGGACTTCTTCTAGCTGTTCGGGTACTGGTACTGGGCCCTCGGTGGCTGCCGTCAGCTTGTCCTGAGCAGTGTCGAGCCATTGGCTGAGGCGGGACAGGCGGTCGGACAGGTCGGTGCCCTTGCTGGCTGCTGTCTCCAGCCGATGCACCGTCTCGTGCACAGTGGTCAGGATGGTGGTCGTCTTGCGCTCCGTCTTGTCCAGCTCGGCACGCAACAGGGTCTCTCTCTGGGGTCCCAGTTGTGCAGACAGTTCGTCGGCCAAAGATCGCAGCCGGGAAAGCATGCTGTCCATCGACTCCTGCAGTTTCTTGGCAGCTTCCTGCACACGTGTGCCCAGAGCCCCATCAAAAAACGGCAAGGAATGGCAACAACGAGCTAGGATAATACAGTCAAACGTCATAAGAAAGTTGCATCTTACATGAAAATAAGTTTGTTACATCCAAAAATTCGTTATAAAGATTCATTTCTAACACTATATCTATTGCAAGACTAGTTTTCATTTGTTTCGTTATAACCAATATTTTGTTATATCCGGGTTCGTTATATTAAAGTTCGAGTGCTGCGAAACATACATAAGGGCACATGTTAGGCTTTCGTGACGTCGTGCGTGACGCTTTTGTGGTGATTTATGAAACAAGCTAAGATAATACTGCGAAACATTCTATATGACTTATAGTATTGTGCTTTCATGATGTCGTGGGTGACGCTTGTGTAGAGATGCTCATGGCATCACATGCACATGTGATGACACGCATGACACCTTCAGGATCACACTTGATGATATTATCGGGCTTTTGTGATGATGTGGTGGCTTTGTGATTATGTACGTGACACTCTTCACGCAATGTTTTAGTAATGACATGCACAAAGAATATCGACACTCTCAAGAATTCCTGATTATAGGAATCAAAGAATTATGTATCAAGAGTTTCTAAGGCAACTATTCATAGAATATAGCTCTTAAAGCTTCACCAGGACACTAACTTCCCAGTGCGATCATCAGATGTGACACACACCTGACATGTTCACGCTTCTTGCCGACATTCTCCTGACTGACCTGCTTCTCCTTGATGCACTGTTCCAGCTTCTTCTGTTCCATGTCGGCCAGGAGTCCGATGTTAACCAGCTCCTGCTCAGCCTGAGCAAGAAGCCGCAGGATCTCCTGGCGAAGCTTCTCAAACTCCTGCCAGCGCTGGCTGTCCTTCTGCATGCCATAAAAAGAATTTTCAAATGTTACTTATCGGAACACATGCAAAGCGCAAGGACTGTACAAGGGGTTGAGAGTAATACAAGCATATAAAATAAAAAGTTTATGTGTCTCTTAAGAGTACGAATAATCCTTAACAGCAGCGTTGAGTGCGAATACGTTGGTCGATTCGGCGACACAGACCAGCCAGAGCTTCCATTCGTTAGATTACATGCATGTAGTGTTTGTGAATCCTTCTGTTTATAACGCAGGATGATGGAATACCTTGACCAGGGCTTATAAATGATAGTAAACACTGAGCTTTCTACCATTCTACAAAAATCAAAACATGACATGACTGCCAATTTGTGACGCATTGTGGATAAGAATAAGATATTGTACGCTTGGCACTTCTTAAATTTTCTGTGGCCTGAAACAGTTTTCATGGGTACGCAGATAATCTAAATCCAGACTATAGCAACTCTCGATTTTCCTGCCAGGCACCTTGCGTTTACTAATGCTCGCTTATAATTATTCAACTAAATATAGAGGAACAGTTGTTCAAGTTAAACAACCAAATAGTGAACACACGCATTCTCACACTTTCTCAAAACATGGTTGTTGGACTATAACTTTTTACAGGCCGTTTTTAAAACTTTTGCACATCACTTCATATTGAGTGCAAGAAACTATGCCACCTAAATATATTAACTGATAGCAGCTTGTCATGATCAGTTGATCAAACGTGATTCATCAAGTGATTGTACGTTGAGGTCAATCAGTTGGTGATTTAGTGATCGATATGTAGGGTTTAACTTCCCAAAACCATCATATGGTTATGAGAGACCCTGTAGTGGGAGGCTCCGGGAAGTTCGACCACCTGGGGTTCTTTAACGTGCACCCATATCTGAGCACACGGGTCTACAGCATTTACGCCTTCATCGAAAATGCAGCCACTGCAGCCGCGACCTGCGAGTCAGCAGCCGAGTATCTTAGCCGCTAGACCACCGCGGCGGGGCTCAACCAGCGGTAGCTCGCATAGACTAGCATGACAAAATTATTCATGATACCTTTAGGGCCCCAACACTGGACATTAGGTGAGGAGTCTTATGAAAAACGCAAGTGCTCACGATATGCTCATAAATATACTCATGAGAAACTCAGGTACAACAAGCAATAAAATTTGAAGCCATCATCCCCCGCCAGGAACTGTTAACAGATAATATGGAACTAGCATATAAGTACAGGTTTTTAATAGTAATTTCCCAGTTATTAGTACATAAGCAATCATCGTTTTACCTGAATTATAATAGAGACAAAACTACAGAGTGACACTGCTAGACAAAGTTTCAAAATATCATAGTTCTTAGTGGCAAACACTTCACTTTCAGAAGTGCACTACGAGCCACTCCGGCATCAGTTATCTGTCCAGCAAGGTCGCAAGAACCTTTACACAGACGCAAGCGTGTGCGCTTCAAGTAGATTTCCAAGGCAGGACTCACCGTCATGCGGTCAAGTTTCTCAACCGCTTCGTGGTACACCTGGGACCACTCTTCCTCCAGCTTCTTCACGTCGCTAGACACAAACTCTGGGGCACCCTTGACGGTTTGCAGGTCTTTTCCCGACTTGATGCTTTCCAGGACACTTCCCTGACGCTTTTCCAGCTCCTCCACCACTTCCTACAATTTGGAAATTGAAAAATTCTTGTTAGCCCTAGAGTAAGTCGTAAATAACCTGACTCTGTGAGGGCACTTGACTATCCATGCCTCCCAATGTCTTTCCCCATAACTTGCATCTCCCGGCACCAAAAAGAAAATCAGAATTTTAATGGCATATAGTGGTTTTGGGACGTTAAACCCCACATATCAATCAATCAGAATTTTAATGGCCCCGCAAATTATGACGTAGCGTGAATGTTGCATGAATATGCTCAAACCTCGATATAATGAACACGGATAAAATGAATCATCGGTTACAACGAAGAAAATAAAGAAAAGTCTTGTCGTAAATGCAGTGGTTCGAATATTGCTTATAACAAATTTTTGTATATAACGAAGTTAATTTCATGCCAGATGTGACTGTGCTATAACCATTTTTAAGTGCACTCGAGTCCAAGGAGGACTTCTTTTCTGCTTTTGAGTATTGAGTCCACACTGATGTTGACCACTAGTAAGAAAAAGCAAATGAACTCACCTTCTGTTTCTGCACCATCTGCTCCAGTTTCTCTGGACTGTCGAGAGGAATTTCTTCGGGGACCACCTTGGACTCCCTGACTTCCCTGAGCCAGCGCGTGACCTGCGATGTGCCGCCATTGCGGACAAAATGGTACGGCATTACAGTTACGCCTCAATAACACCAATGTGTCATATAACAAACTAACGGTTATAACAACCTAAATTAAGAATAGATGTGGCAAGTTCTAGTGTCAAGAATGTAAGTTCATAACAAATCTTCCAATGTAACAAATCTGTTTCTGTTTCAAATATGAGCTACTTAAAACTATATTTGAGTGTACATCTTTGGTCTAGAGACCAGACCAACATTTTCCACGATGACATGTGTCACGCGCTAACCCTAACTCGCACACCACACACTACGTCTTGCCACTCCTTCCCACCAGCCCGAACTCTCCCTTCCCCACACACGCAACCCCCACCACTCCAGTCCCAATGACGATGATGACGCCGTCACGTAGTGCCCTCTCTCGGCCAAGTCCCGATGATGATGACGCCGTCACGTAACGCCCTCTCTCGGCCACCCTCACAGGTCTCCCCCCCCTCAAAATGTGAAGCCACCACTACACATCGCCTGCAGCGTCATGGTACAGTGTCAGCTGATCTGCGTGTCTCACACCGTGGCGACGACCCGTTTTGGGGTCCACTAGAACAAAGTCATTCTGTCCTACACGTCTCACTGCCCGAAAGGGACCGGAACGCCGGGGTGCAAGCTTCGAGGAGAAGCCCTTGGTGGCATCGCTGAGGGAGTGGCTTTCGAGCAGAACAAGATCACCCTCCCGTATTGTCAGTGGCCGCCTGTGCTGGTCGTAGCGAGTATTCTGGGCGCGCCACATGTGGTTTTGGTGTGTCCTGGAGAAGTCAAGCACCTCCTGCAGACACTTGGAGACCTCAGTAGCAAATGCACGGTATGCTGTTGCAGGAGGCTCCGCGTCATCTTTGGCCACAGCCTGTGTCCATGGAGTTCTCAGCTCCCGGCCATAACAGAGGAAGGCAGGCGTGTAGCCCGTGACAACGCTTTCAGCCGTGCGCATGGCCAGGGCTATTTCAGGGATGTGCTGGTCCCAGTCTTTGTGGTTGGAACAATAAGCCCTAAGGCACTGCTTGATAATGCCATTGTGGCGCTCCACCATTTGCCCGGCAGGGCGGTACGGAACAGTGTGTCGGTCTTGTATGCCCCAATGCTCAAGGAGGCCCTTCCACAACCTGCTTACAAACGGCTTTCCATTATCACTTGAAATGGAGACAGGTGTGCCATGTCTGCAAAAAACCTGGATCATGCAGGCCACCACACTCTTGCGGTTTGCTGCCCGCAATGGAAAAAGTTCAATGAACTTGGTAAACTTGTCAATCACCACGAGAAGGTACTTGTGGCGTCGAGGCGTCATAGGCAAGGGCCCAATTATGTCCACGCTGAGCTGTTCCATAGGGGCAGTGGCCCATTGACTGCTCATCAGCCCTTCTGGCTTCTGCCGGTGGGCTTTGGTGCGCTGACAAACCTGGCAGCATCGCACATACTTGGATATGTCCGAGCGCATACCCAGCCACACGAAATTCTGAGAAACGCGTTTGAGGGTCTTAAAAAAGCCGGAGTGGCCGCTAATCGGGTGGTCATGGCACAGTCGCAGGACCAAGTTGCAGAGATGGTTTGGTAGCCAAGGTACTTTCCTGTTCCCTCGGTGCTGTACAAGCAATCCACTCTCTTCCATCTCGGTCGTCTCCGCCAGGTCTTTTATCAAAGGTTGATCACTGTCAGTGGGCGGAAGCTTCCCTCCCTTCATCACAGTTCGTAGTTTTGACAGTATGGGGTCCTGCTCTTGTTCCTGGGCGAGGAGCCCTGCATCATTCAAGACAGTAGTGTCGTCCACTTCAGATGCTACAGCAGCTGCCTCAAAGCTGATTTGTGGGCTGGGCTCTGGAACAGCCATAGGGAACAGCGTCTCGTGTAGACTCGGGCTTGGAACTTCCTGGTGCTGAAGGGGAGCTCTGCTCAAGGCGTCGGCTGGCACATTTGCAAGACCCCGCCTGTGCTTGATTCTGCAGTTGAAACCTTGCAGCCGCAAAACCCAACGCTTTACACGTGGTGAGGCCTGGTCTGTGGTGAACATCCAGGATAGTGAGGAGTGATCACAGTGTACCTCAAACTCGGTGAACTCAAGGTATGGTCGGAACTTGTCCACTGCCCACACCACAGCCAGACACTCCCATTCTTGCACTGTATAGCGCTGCTCTGCCTCAGTGAGGACCCTGCTAATGAAGCTTATTGGACGCAGTTGAGCATCACTCTCGGCTGCCTGCAGAAGCAACGCTGCAATGCCGACTCCACTGGCGTCTGTTTCCACCACGAATGGTCTGTTGAGGTCCGGCAAGTTTACAACAACATCGTCGGCCAGGGACTGCTTAAGTGCTCTAAAGGCTTCCTCTTGCTGCAGCTCCCACCGCCAACGTTGCTTTTTCTTAAGGAGTTCTGTGAGTGGACGTGCAGTGATAGAAAACTGAGGTATGAACCCTCTGTAATAGCCTGCTAGTCCCAGGAAGGCCTGCAGCTGTTTGAGTGTTGTTGGTTGAGGATAGTCCAGCACCGCTCGCACTTTTTCCTTGTCCGGCCTACACTGCCCGGGCGATATTTCATGGCCAAGGAACTTAAGGTATTGACAGCACATGTGCACCTTCTCTGGGTTAATGGTCAGCTGTGCCGAACTTATCCGCTTCAACACCTCCCGAACATGCTCAAGATGATCCTCTAGGGTCTCCGAATACACCAGGACATCATCGAGAAACGCCATGGCAAACTGGTGATTAATTCCCTCCAGTAGTCGGTCCATCAGGGTCTGAAACGTGGCAGGACCTCCGGCAACTCCAAAGGGCATTCTCATAAACTCGAAGGTTCCCCGATGGCAAATGAACGCTGTCTTTGGAATATCTTGCTCTTGAACAGGGATTTGAAAAAAACCCTGTGAAAGATCAAAACTTGAGAACCACCTGGCTCGTCCCAGCTGTGCCAGCAACCAATCAGTCCTCGGCATGGGGTAGACTGGCACCTTAGTGCGTGCATTTAGCTGGCGGTAATCCACAGCCATGCGGTAGCCACCAGACTTCTTCTCAACCAGGACTGGAGCACTGGCATGCTGACTTTGGCTAGGGCGGATGAGGTTCTGTGCCAGCAGGTCTTGAATGCAGTTGTCCATGATGGCCTGCTTCTTGGAATTCACTGGTCGCAGTTTGCATCGAACAGGTGGGTTGTCTCCCGTGTCTATGCGATGCTCTGCCAGGGTTGTGCAGCCCGGAGTTGTGGTGAAGATTTCGCTGAACTCTTCTAAAATGTGTTTCATGCGTGGGTCTAGGTCCGACGAGTGGCCGGAAATGATCACATTGCAGGCTGCAGTCGCCTCCGGCACACTGGCACACACAGTGGCATCGCTCTCAGCAAAAATGCAGCGCAGATTGTCTCCAAAATCATCCACTGCCTCTGGCTGTTCCTTAACGGCCTTGACAAACGGCACAATTCTTTGTGGTTCTGTGCCGACAGTCCACCCACCAAGTGACACGTGCAGAGAGATGCCACTCACCGTCAGGAAATCCCTACCAAGGACAACGTCACGGCACAGGTCAGGAACGCACAAAAACTGCTGTCTGCGGCAACCGGCAGCCCACTCGATCTGGCACTTCAGAGACATGGTTGACTGCGACCAGCCTGATGCCAAACGCAGCACGCGTACGTCTGCCTTGGGTTTGGCTCCAGAAGCTTGGGCCGCCGCCGCGGCGTGCGGTCCGAAGAAGCTTACACTTGAGCCTGTATCTAGCAGGGCCTTGAACGTCGACGACCCGATACGGACGTCCATAAGGGGCTCTTTGCCACCGGCTGTGGTCGCTACTTGGTGCGCACTGCCGTAGGTGCCCGCCGGAGCAGCACCTACCGCCACTGGTTTCCCGGGCACTGTGCTTGCAGGTGACCCGATCGCTGGCACCGGAAGCAAACGGGTGGCCCCATTCGTCGACCCGTGGCACAGTTACGAGATATGTGGCTGAATCCACCACAGCGATGGCACTGCACACGCATTGCTCCACTCGCGGGCTCCTGCCGCGGCATCGGTCCTGGCCCGTAGGGTGAGAACGGAGGCGCTGTGTCGCACGAGTACTGCCGGTCCCGGCAGTACGACTGGTCTAGTGCAGCTGGATGCAGTGGCCAGTGATAAGTCGGCGGTGCCGGTGGGGCAGCAGCAAACGAAGCGAACGACACCGTCGCCATAGTGTTCGGCTGCGGCAGTGAGCAATGGTCGGGGGCCTGGCTAGGGCGGAACGCCAGATCTCTGACTACTTGGTTGCTCGGAAGTGGCGGTGGTCTGTACTGGAGGCGACGCCAAGCCCGCTCCATTAGGCCGTCGGCTGCCTTCGCCAACTCGGCGAGGTCGTTGTAGGTATGCCCCTCCGCCAAATCTTGCAACTGAGGGTGCATCTGCCTCAGTACGCGCTGCACCTTCTCGGCTTCGGAGACCTCTTCCCCGATGGGGTCGTAAAAAGTAGCGATCGCATATATAAACTCTTTCAAATTTTCTTCCGGGTGCTGCGTGCGCTGTTCGAGCTCCGCCTTCAGGCGACGCTTCGCGTCAATCGACGAGAACTCAGAGCGGAAGGCGGCGTTTAATTGCTCCCACGAGTCGAACCCGCGCACGAACCGCCACCACAACTTCGCGCCACCCTCGAGGGCAGCCGGTACCACGTGTGTCAGTCGCTTATCGGCGGCGACTCCCGTCACGAGGCAGAAGTTTTCCAAACGTTCGAGAAACTCCTCCGGCGACAGCAAGTCTCTAGCACCGGAGTAGCGGGGGAGGTGCGCAGCGGCGAGCCGAGGCGCAGAGTCGTCGGTGGCCCGAGGGGCCGCGCCAGTGTTAGCGGCCCCAGTCCATGCTCCCACGTGCGGAGCCGTGGGCAGCGGCGTCGCCATCACTCGATCGCGCTCCATGGCGGAGCCGTCGGTGCCCAGCAACAGCTCTTCAACGAGACCTTGGAGCCTAGGCATGTCGTCCGCTGCTGTTGTCGGGCCTGAAGCGATCCCGGACGAGCCCCCACTTGTCACGCGCTAACCCTAACTCGCACACCACACACTACGTCTTGCCACTCCTTCCCACCAGCCCGAACTCTCCCTTCCCCACACACGCAACCCCCACCATTCCAGTCCCAATGATGATGATGACGCCGTCACGTAGTGCCCTCTCTCGGCCAAGTCCCGATGATGATGACGCCGTCACGTAACGCCCTCTCTCGGCCACCCTCACACATGTTCACTATGGTTTGCCTAGAAAAACATAGACAGATGGCTAGTATTAATTGCACAGGGGCACTTCATCCTACTCGCAAAAGTATTTTTCACAGGCTCACGACGGTTACAAATGAACCTGGGTGACTTCATCATAGAAGTTGCACTTCAAGGCGGTACTGCTTCTGCGGTCCGTGTAGCAGAGCAGAATGTTCTATTTTGACGTTTTTGCTGCCACTTGCCGTAAAGACAATGAATTCGACTACACATATCTTTCTGTTTACTTGTGAACGTTTCACACGAGAAGCACATAAAGACAGCACACCTGGGTGACCTCTTCTCTGTACAGGTAGCACTTGGAGACGGTCTCAGAAACGATCGTAGTGGTCTCCATGACGGGCAAGAGGGCGCCGTAGCGGGCCACCAAGCCGGCCAGTCGTTCCTTTTCTTTCTTTGCTTCCTCGGGCTCCATACCCGGCACCAGGGACTCGAGCCGCTGGTTGAGCCAGTCCAGGTCGCCTCGACGAGCGTCGACCGTCTCGCAGATGTCCTTACGTGACAAGGACAAAGAAATTGACAGTTGAGTTTTAAAGTAGAGATTGAACGCCATTAGGTGAGGGGGAATGGGGCACACGCTTCACTGGTTTCTTTAATACACTGTGTAGTTTTTGAAACATCCAACATTTCATGTGCTTTTTGGGAGCAAGACTTTTTCTAAGCTGACAGAATAATCTGGAATGGAAACTGTATTCAAGAACGAACGTTTTGAATTCGTTTGAACAACAGTTATGGCATTATGAAATCCATGATTAAAATACCAGCTTGACATCAACACACTCATTAATGTTAAAGTTCATCATAAATTTTGTTCAGATGTATTTACAATATCCATTTTTGTTATGCTGCACACAGTTCTCATTCCATATTATTTTAATATGTGCTCCTTTACTTTACTCCTTTCTTAGTTGCAGAGAAAATGTCGCTCCCGCAAGAAAAGCACATAAAATGTTTGATAGTCTAAAGCAGTGGTTCTTAAATGGGGGTCCGCGAAGCCATTTCTATAATCCGCGAAACCCTCACCCGCGTTTTTCTTTAAGCGTGACTGTGCCGTATTGATGAACTGTCTAAAATAAAGTGATGTGGCACGTTCGCTTGATGCTTTTGGTAGCAATAAGAGGCACCTGTTTCACGCTCCAGTTGTGGTAATTTACCTACGTACCCCTCCGATCCATCTACTGCAAGGGGTCCCCCATCCCCCATCACTTCCACCAGTCCACAAAGGGTCCCCGACACATCCATGCCTAAGAACCACCGGTCTAAAACTACAAAATCCATTAAAAAAATAATTGCACAATTAAAAAAAAGCCCATGAATACGGACAAATTCTGCATGTTTCATCAAAATAAAGAAAATATTTTTTATTTTTATAAAAAAAAAAACCACGTAGGCCACGCTGGCTAACATGCAGCCTCAGTGCACAAGAAACAGCAGAAAAAAACAAAATTTATCTAGAGACAATTTTTAAACTAAGGTTTATGCCTTTGTAAGTTAATAAGGTAGCGAACGAATCTCAAAACAAAGGCTAAAGACACTTGCCGGTCTTAACGTTGCCATATTAGCGCAATGGATCGTCACAATGGTGACACCCCCAATAATTGGTTCCTCGTTCGACCACTGTTACTAACTTCAAGCTCCTGTCTCACTATTTGACAAGAAAATATAAAATTATCGTGCACTTTGTTGAGCCATGTAGACACTTCGATTTTTCATAACATATGCAGTTCTGCCCTTCTGAGTAACTTCCAATTTGTAAATCGAATTCCTGGTTCTTGCAGTCTGAAGAATCCAGCTTTTTTTCTTGAACCCAAGAACATTTATTGAAGTCCGTTAAGCCATTGTCCAGTTGCAGAATGATAGCAACCAGCAAGCAAACTACATAAGTAAACAGAACTAATAAAAAAATTTCAATGCACCACTGCATCTTTGTTTTCTTGTAGCCTGTTACATCACTCGCTCATGAAGGACACCGAGTGCCATCGCAACTGACTAAATCACTACATTGTTGCAAATGAGCATAGATGTAATGAATACGCATATAATGAGTTATAGCACACGTTCAAGAACCCCCGGTGGTCGAAATTTCCGGAGCCCTCCACTACGGCGTCTCTCATAATAATTTGGTGGTTTTGGGATGTTAAACCCCACATATCAATCAATATGATGAGTTATTGTATCGCAGAGGAAACGAGAGCTTGTGCAGTTATGGCATAACAGGCATACACTTACAACATATATCAGTAATTGGTAAAGCTGCTTTCACGTCATGTATGACTTTGTGAGAACGAGGTTCAACTGTACAGCACCGCAGCACTTGAAATGCAGTCAACTAAAGAAACAGAAGTTGGTTTATAATGTAACACCTCCACCAAGGCTATTGGCCCTCACCAAGAACTCGGTGCGCTGAGTCTCATAAGCCGAGGCCGAGCCGGTGTCGCTCTGCATGAGCTGCTCAATTCGCTGGTCCACTTGGTCCATCCAGGAAAGTAGACCGTTGAACCTGCACAGTGAGTTGGCTGTAGACCGCCACATTCACTGAACGACAAGGTGGCTCTCCTGTGATGCCCCTTGCTCGAAACATGGTAGTCGAGATGTTGTCTATCTTGATGTGTATCTTTGATGCTAGTGATATTTTCTCTGCAAGCTATACGTGCGGGGTAGTGTGTCTGTAAGTGTGTGCATGTGAGATGGCTGACATGCGCTAGGATACACGCCTGAAAAACTTATTTTGATCGTCCAGCTATGCAAGGAAGACAAGATAGTGGTTATGAAAAGATTATACTAAGATTCAATGTTTTAAGACATACTGCATGACTGAAAATGTTTGACTGTGGTCGCCAACACACAGGTCATCAAAGTTGGTGATCATATTGATTACTTTTTTTTAAGCTTGTGTGAATTTTAGGTTCAAAGCGAATTCGAAGTGAATGGTAATTTTGGTCGAATAATTTCGAATTGAATTTGAATGGTATGTATGACATAAAAAGGAAATACTTATCATGACTTAAGCCTGCACAGTAGTTCTTTTGATTGAAATAGGGCCTCCATGCAAATGCCATTTTTTTTTTCATTCAAAGGAAGTCGAAACAACCTTGAGTAGTAGTTTGGGTGGGATGAGAGTGATAACCTGTAAGATACTTAACGTTTTAAAATTTATTATACATAAAGCATATAAGTCGTCATAACAAGCTTAATGAAATGAAGAATTGAGTTGAGAGTAACACGTTTCTTTAAAGGGGGCCTGCAACACTTTTTCAAGTAGCCATGGAGCCAGTAAAGATGCTTGTTGCCTCACAAATTTACTGCCGCAAAATTACTAGAATCAGCCCAGTACGAGCGGAGTTCCAAAATTTGTCGCACGCTGCAATTGCATTCTCCCTTCTCGTTCTGACGAAAGAGTTCAGAGCTCAGTAGGGAAGAATGACAGGAGAAAGAAAAAAACATCACGAGTGCCTAGTGACCTTGAGCATTTTTTCTCCCTCTTTTTTCTTCGAATATGCGGCCTTTCAGTGCGATCGCACACATACTCATGGACAAGCGGCGGCCTCCCGCGGTGGCCCCGGTAACGACAAGCACGCCATTCTCAAATCAGCCAGTGGCTGTGACCAGAGCCGTATATTCTTTCTGGGCAGTGACAAGTGATTTTTGAGCTTGTAGTGCTATTTGCCGAGGAAAGAAAGTAATTTTTAGCTTTGAAAATTTATTGTGAATTGCAGGCTGCGTGCTGCGCTCTAATATGTGCCTCGTGTGTTCTCGGATAGCTTCGACTACCGATTGGCAGCGTTTTCCGACCATGCTCAGTGAGTGTTGCAGGGCCCCTTCAAATTTGAAGAGGAGCTTTGTGGCAAAGCAAATTTTTTCTGAATAAAAACTTTCACGGCGTAGCATTGCTACATTGCAGTGAAACCACCTTTACAAGCGGTTACATGCAGATTATTACTATACACCTATTCGTTCGTTGCGAATACTTCGATAACTTAAATCGATAACTTAAATTCAAATTGAAGCGAATTCGAATACTATACTATTTGTTAAAATATTCCCACAAGCCTACTTTTTTTCCTCGGTGTTTCAATGCATTCTTCCTCACAGTTTTCTGCCCAAATAGGTAAATTTTTCTGTGTAGAACAGAACCTACATCCTCATCATCCCAGTCTTTAGTACGAAACCCAGTTTTCAGTCTTCAGAACGAAACTCCAGTCCTCAGTACGAAACCAGACAACCAGACTAGCTATCACGCTACCCCATGCTGACCCAACAATAACACATTTACTTATGTCACTGAATCGAGTGCCCATCAAGCGAGATGGTCGATGTCATATGTCATGGTCTGTTTGCCAAAAGACTACTAGCAAGGAAGAGCCACAACAAATCCGAAAATGCTTGAATAGACTCACTTCTTGGAGTACTCGAGCCACTCGTCCTTGGGCACTTGCAGGATGCGGTTGGTGGTGACGATGCGTTCGTGCAGCACCCGGAACCGGCTCTGGCAGTCGGAGAGTGGTGCCTGGTGACTGGGGCACGACTGAGCCAGCTGCTGCATCTCCTCGAGGCAGTCCTGCAGGGTGCCCATCTCACGGGACTTGTTGAAGTACCCCTGCGAGTGCACACAAGCATGTGTAAGTCACCGTACAAACTACGACCGTCGTATAAAGAACATAGAAGTAAGAAAAATCAATGAATGATTACGAAGTATATCTTTGGTACACCGAGCCTGTGCTTTACCGGTAGCACTAGATCCCTTGCTGCCTATCTACACTAATCATGCAAACCATTCTGTGCGATGCGGCTCGCGATACAAAAGGCTAGGCGTGCAGACACGGACATAACCAAACGGAAAATGGACCGCACAAACGTCACTTACCATAAAAGTTCGAGTAAGCACCCCCTCCGATTTCAGTGTGAATTTGAAACTGCCATGTCACTCTGGAAAAGCGACCCCCCCCTTCCCCCACCACCCTGTACCCCAATGCCACACTAGTTCTGTCAATGGCCTGATTGAGTCTCGTCCAATCCTACTCACCACCAAATCAGTACATATCTGTGCCTGAAATTTGCCGGCAAAATGCAGTTGTTTTTTTTTTTTCGAGGATAGATATCACACTCTGGTTGGTGTAAAGCACCGGTGACGATTTTCAGGGTCTTGTGTGCAAAAGCACTGCCTTTTATATCTGTAATCCAAAATGGTACCTGTGATCACAGAGTTAGAAAAAATACAGGCCCCTGAGATTTGTGTCTGCTGCTTAGAAGGGTCGCATTAGCTCGTCACCAGAGGTGCTTCTACGCCATGTATTCCCGCAGTCTGGTCGCAATGCCTTTATGTTTTCGTTTTTCTGAGCTGTCATAATGCACCATGCCACCACGAGCGAGACAACTTTGGTGAAAGTCCATTTCTACATTGCTTTTTCTTTGTTTATCTTTTAGTTTGGTGAGAAAACATTATTGCTGCCATCTTAAATTTCAAGGCCGTTCTGAAAAAATCAAACCCCTCCACTTTACCAGCCATTTAATGGTTCTGAAGGGGGGCTTGCTTGGAATTTTATGGTAGATTCTTCTGCCATGATTTGCTACCACCTGGCAGCTTAACTTTCCTGCTGCTCTGAGATTCCATGCAAAACCACAACTCACTTCATGACGCGTCAGAATCACACGAAGGTTTCCGCCCTTGTCAATGAGCTTCTGTTCCTCATCCAGCTCCTTGTTCAGGGTGTCCATATTACGGTCAAACGATTCCCGGAGCTCCGAGAAGATTTCATCATCATTTAGCCGAGGCAGCTTCTGTTGCACGGCCTGCGAGACGGCAAAAGAGAGGACAACCTTGAAGCAGACCATGTGCTAACAACAGCCAACTACCGATAGTGTTGCAACATGGAGGCATTGATGAAAAAGAAATATGAATTTCATTGTGTCACTTCAGCACAAAGACTGAGATTTGAGAACTGTAACTATGTTGTGACTAAAACTGAAATGTCTCGATTTTCAGTTGCACGCTCAGGCTATAAAGGAATTCTGTGTTTTTTTGTGATTTCTGCATTCGAGAAGCTTTTCGTCTTGAGCTCTCAGAACTTAGAGGAGAAAAAAGAAACTGGGCTGCTGCCTTTCAGACCTTCTGAGATATAAGAGATAATATAAAACAATGTCTGTTTAACTAAAATGAAGTGGTTTACAGTTCCCCTAATGAATCGGACTTAAAAATACATGACGAGTTTATGCTGTTGATCTCTGTTTGTCAGCAAACTAACAGCGTGTCTCTCATAATCATATGGTGGTTTTGGGACGTTAAACCCCACATATCAATCAGCAAACTATTAGCATCAACAGCTATTAGATTATGGGCTCAATGAAAAAATATCGGCCCACACCTAGAAGAAGCCAAAGCCTCAGCACATAGCAAGGCGAACCTGTAACTGAATACCTAATATGAGATGCATGTAAATTTAACTATTCACGGCTATCTGCGAGTCCTTTGCCTCATAAGCCTTTGCTGTCCTCAATATCATGTTCCTATTAAAGGCTTAATCAGTGAAAAATGTTAACAAACGGCCCAAAGTAGCAAGGGAAGTTAACATTTTTGTAATCTTGAGTACTTTTCATAGTCTATTTTCATAATTTGTGGTAAAAGAATAAGAGATATGACTTGGCAGCTACCTTCCACTTCTCCTTAATGTGCTGAACTCTGGCCTCGATAGCCGGGTGGTCTTCAGGAGGCAAAGTGGCGAGAACGTCTTTGCTTGTCTGGACCACCCGCAGCAAGATGTGTTCGTAGGGCTTGCTGAAGAAGGCCTGCATTTGGGTGAAACAAGCATTCACTGTAACCCGTAATCCAATCAAAGTAAGGCATTTGACATACTGCACACAAGAGAAGGATTGAAGCGGATGCATTCGTCGTTTGCGAGAATTTGAAACAAATGTCAGAAATACGTTAAAAAACGCACGTCGGCGTAGAGGCTCAAGTCCAGTTTTGTAGCTGACGATCCCATAAATTAATAAAATTAAGCCAAGTGATTATTTTCAAGACAGAAAAATATCCTTGTTCTGCTCTGCAAGCCTCTAAGTGCTCCTCCATTTTGTACATTATTTTCTTTCATTCAAAGTAGTACACTATACACAAATTCAAGCAGTAATAGTGACTTTTCGGATCAAAACATTCACAGCTACGGGAGGACAGCAATTCCGAGTTGAAAGAAATGTTATATGTGGTTCAGTTCAAAAAAAAAAAGCTAGAGAAAAACAGCAGGATGGTTTAATAGTGTGCAATCGTTTTGTAGTTCACGAATGGCATGCAACAATTTCCTGAATCCCGTAGTGCATTTTTGTAAAATTCACAAGGGAATCTTTTCAACCCAGTGAAGAGTAGGAGGCTTGCTGTTCTTGTTCACAGTAATTCAATCGAAAGCACCAGAAAAGCTTCCTTTGCCTGAACTTGTTCTTTCGTTATTGCTAGTTTTTCTAACATGTTCTGTTACACTCCTCACTCTACTCTTGTGATACGTGGAAGAATCAACGGACACACGGAGAAATGAACGGGGGCCTCACCCTGGCAGCCTCGGGATCCCTCCTGTCGGACACGTGCATCTCCGCTTTGCCGAGCCAGTCCAGCGCTTTCTTCTCGGCATCGTTGATGTTCTCCCACCTGTTGGCTGCCTCTTGCAGGGCACGCTCCCACTGCTCGGCCAATGAGGCACAGTTCTGCGGTAGAGTACACGAGGCGGCACGCTCGTTACTGAAGCTTTGCCCCACAGAAGACTCCAAAAATGCATTCAAGAAGTACAGATGTGTGGTTGGAGTACTAGCACATTCATCTGGGAAAACATACATTGCAGCACTACAAGGTAGGCTTACTACTAAAACTGCAAGCAAGTGCTGCGATACCGCTAAGATGTACACTACAAGACATAGTAGTACGAGAAAACTGAAACACTGGCAGGTGTTTCTGGGAGCATGGAATGTTAAAATTTATGACAAAGTAACAAAGTTGTGTTTGAGAAACACCATGCAGTCAGCACTGAAATAAACTGGGACATGTAGCTAGGAATATATGTACACCTAAATACTGGAACACTTATACAGAAATACGTACTTACTGGAATATTTAAAGATGTGCTCATAGGTGCAGAGCAAATGTTACTTAAATATCAAAACATTTGTACTTCAAAGAATTTCGTTATACCCAAATGTGCCTATCTCCTTACACAAAACAACGATTGACTCATGTCAGAATCAGTAAAACCGACCAAACAGTTCAAATCACTCAATTAAGCCCGAACTGCAGATGCATTTACTACAATGCATGTCTATTGCAACAGGCACGCAAGTAAACAGAAAGCGAACACAGTAAGCTTGCACGAATAGTAAATTTTAGGGTCAAAGCGAATTTGAAGCAATGTTATTTGGTACAAATATTTGCAAATCAATTTTGAATAAAATTTCTATCACAAAAAAAAACAAAAAAAATACTAGCCATGAGCCTAGTAACCTGTGCAATATTTTTATTTTTTTTTCAGAAAAAAGCAAGGGCAAATTGCCATTCTTTTTGGGTCAAGGGAAGCGGAAGCCCCTTCGAATAGTAGCAGGATTTGAGTTATGGTAAATGCTAGTAATAATTTATAAAAAGAAAATATGTCACGTTTAAAAGTTTACTATACTTGCAGCATATAAGCTGGCATAACAAACATAAAAGAAGGAAGAATAAGCGTAAGCATACTAATATGTTCATTTAACTTTTAAGTGAGGCTTCATGGCAGTGCAGATTTTTCTTGGAAAGGTGTACTCACGGTAAACCACCTTCACAAAAGGTTACATACGGAATAACGTACATTTATTTGTCCACGTTGAATAATTCGAAATTTTTATATTTTAAATTTGAATCGAACCGAATTGCACACGATAATATATTCATTAGAATATAGAGGCGCTAGAATATTCGCACCGGCCTACAAAACAGGAGTGCAATCCTCAACTTTTTCAGTCCTGCATTCGTTAATACACATAGCATGGCTAGCTTGCACGTACTTAATAAATCCATAATTCTAGCGAACACCCACTATAGACTAGATAGAACCCCACAAAAAGCCGCCGAGTCTCCGCAGCCCTTTTTCCGTCGTCCTCCATCCGTGAGATTGTACATTGTGAAAATAAAGGTTTGATTTGATTTCAAAAAAACAACCTAGGACATACTGGACAAGCAGTTGTCAAGTGTGGTTTTGTGTAGTCTGTAGTTTACATTTGCTATAATTACGAATTTATCAAGTTTTGATAAGGTTACGCTGTACTGCCGTGTCAACAAGTTGTGTACCACAAAGATGATGACAATGTTTGTTTGGTGCTTTGTGGCGCAAGGGCCATTTCATGGCCAAAGAGCACCAGTTCATGGTACTAGAGATGTGGACAATGATTGAGATAAGCGGCTGTATAAGGGCCTTAAAATTTCTAGCACTAAGGCGAGTAAAAACATAAAAGTAATAAAATCGTGACCATCTCATGAAATGTGTGTAGTGTCAATGGGTGATGAAAGTTTGTGATAGTAAAAACCGTGGTGGACATGTATGGCACTAGGACAAGTGCCTCGATCATTCACACCCTTGCGTCCAAGGGCCACAAGGCTGGTGCTTTGTTGAATGTAGCCACCGCAGCAGAGACCTCTCCGGAGAGATCATGCTACGAAACGCCAGGGTATACGATGTGAAAGGTATGAACGTCTCTCAAAAAAGCCAACGAAGGTTTGTGTGTGAAAAGTGGTTCCCTACCAACGAACATTGCAGGGTGAAGTGGTGTCTGTTGTCGCTGTGTGTACCACAAAAAAATCAAATCGGCACTTCAACGACATATACCTGGAAGCGATCGTTGAGCTGCGCCATCCTGGCATCCACACGGGACGTGTCCAGACCAGGGCAGGCTCCAACTTCTTCCCTTATCTCCCGGTGCGTCTTGTTCTTGGTCGTCAGAAGCGCCCTCATCGGAGTCAGTTGAGAGAAGAATGCCTGCAGACATGTGGAACGCGAGGTCGCTTGACTGGTGTCCTTCGATTGTGCGGCACTTCATTATCACAAATGTTCCGGACTGCCTATTTCGAGTTAGCCACTAGAGCTAAAGAAACCCAAAATGTCCCCGCGCTACACACGAGCGAATGTAATGCCAATGCATTACAGCATTCTATCGGCCCGTATTCGTTCATTGACATGGCTTTACCTGAACATCATTAAAACACAGTAGCGTGATGGAGAGCGTAGTACTATCAACTGCACTAAACACACGCAATGCTACTTCTATTCCTTGTGTCACGCGACGAAGTCACACAGCGCAGCAGCTCCTGCTATCCCACCCTAATACAATAGACTCCCAATAAACTAGGCTTGTGCGAATAGTGAATTTTAGGCTGAAAGTGAATTCGAAGTGACTAGCGATTTGGCCGAACAATTTCAAATCAAATTCGAATACTACATATATTGCACATTATAACCAAAAAAGGGGACATTTGTCATGATCTAACTAACCTGCACAATTTTTTTTAATTGAAACAATACCTGTGCAAATGTAATCTTTTTTTTCTTCAAATGAAGTGAAAACAACTTTGTATAGTAGCAGAACTTGACTTCCGTAGAATGCAAGTGATAACCAGTAAAGTAGGTTAAATTTTAAATTTGCTATACTTTGAGCATATAAGTTAGTACAACAAGCTTTTAAACTTAAAAAAATGAACTGATGTGAGGATAATATTTTAATTTAACCTTGAAGAGGGGCTTTGTGCCAGTGTGAATTCTCCCTGAATACATGTTTTCACGGCTTAGCACTAATGCACCGCAGTAGAACCCCTTTTACAAAAAAAATGCAAACTAACATATACCTCGCTAGATGCTTTCCTAGCTCAGTACCGGTACGCTGCAGCTAAACCATTTTTACAGGGGGTTACATGTGGAACAATGTACATTTATTCGTTCGATTTGAAAACTTCAAAATTTTCTTCAGTTTAAATTTGATTAGAAGCGAATTCGAATACTCTATTATTCATTCGAATGTTCGAAGCATACGAGTATTTGTACAAGCCTGGAATAGATGGAAATCTTCTAAATGAGACTGCTGCTTAAATGAAACAACTGTCTCTGATATGATTGGTTTCGTATTCATATTCTGCACACCCGTTCGTCGCTGTTTTTCTGTATTAACCCGCACACCTCTTTCACGCTTTCATGCATCTAGCACAGCTTTAGCAGTCTTCCATTAAGAGACCACCATTTTTTTCTTACTAGTCTAGATGGCAGACCACTCCCTACCCTGTGCTTCTCAAGCTGCTCCTGCACCAGAGTCTGCGTGTTCGGCACAGCGTAAGTAGCAATGGCATCCTCCGCCTTGTCGAGCCAGCGGTCTAGGCGATCCAGGTCGGCGTCCAGGGCACGCACCAGGGACGTCACTTGGGTCACAGTGCAAAGCCGCTGAGAGCAACGCGCTTCCACGCGAACCTGGTTTTCTTTTTCCTGCAAAAGAGCAGAAACTTGCACACATGTAGCATCTACACAACTTGAGCAACAACACTTTTAGCAAGTTGTTAAAGCCTAGAAAGAGCTTCTTGCCAGGTTAGTTGGATTACGACACTAACACTGTGGATTATGTGCCAGAAAACATAAACGACGTACGTAGAGTAGAAAAGACAGGATGTACAAAAAACGCGAGTGTGCTTCAACGTTTCGTTCTTATTCTAAGCACTCTCTATTGACCGGTCGCCAAAAAAGAATGTGAACTTCGATGGTAAATTCTTAATCAGCAACTGCACTAAAGGAAAGAAGCCCAGGAAAGAGAACAAAAGAACTGACAAAACTTCTCTCATATTGTAGGTATCCGGCAAAAAAAAAAAAATGACATTCTCCTGAAAGGGGGAAAAAAATATGCTGCAATTCTTTCATGTCCATAAGACTGAGGATTTTGTACTAAAGCATGCTCTGCATCGCGAAATCGTTCGACACTGCAGTGGCAGAGCACCCAAAAAAGAAAAAGAATTAGAAAAAAATTCAGATCAGCAAACTACGCTCAATCATTTGCAATCAGAGCAAAAACAAAGAAAAGGCGGACAGACACGCACCTTTTTCATGTCAGCCATCATCTTGTCAACTTCTGTACGGCTTAGGTCTCGAACCAAGACCTGGGCCGTCCTGGACAAGGCTTTGTACTGCGACCTCTGTTCTTCCATGGTGGCCTGGAATCTCTGTCGCGTTGGGAAAAGAGAACACATCATTAGCATTAATACCGAAGCGCTTTTGTCTAGTTACTGATAAGTCCATGAGAAACGTGACCTGCATAATCATGTTGAAACTTTGGATGAATTTCTTCGTCTCACAATTCGGCTAGCTTAAATATTTCGAGTTAATTCATCCTGGTCGCATTATGACATTACGTTTGAAAGGAAGTGAATGTCTCCAATCCCGCATGAATTTATTTCCTTGCTTCTATTCACGTGTTTATTGTAACAGTGTAAAACCAAACATCAACAAAAAACTGAGAAGCAAATCACATTTTAATAATAATATCTGGAGTTCAACATCCCAAAACCACTACATGATTGTGAAAACAAATGAAACTTCATTTGCTGTCGTCACCTCAGTGGAATTCCTCATGTCTTCTTGTTGAAAATTGACACCCATTGCTGTCAACAGGCAAGATTTAGCCTTTAGTGAAACAGCTCTAGCAGACAGGACTTGTCTCATGAAGCTGGCCCATTCAGTCGACAACTTTTCTAATCAGCTGAACGGTCAACGGGCAAGATAGTAGAAAATGTGCAGTTCTGCTGTTGAGATAACTCTTGCTGTCCAATCGGAGCAGCATTTGAATTGGATTGGGGCATCCTGCTTCTGTCTATGACCACCGCAAGTTGTCCTCTTGCACATGCACTTTTATCTACACCAGCACAACACAAAGACCACCAAGACACAGCAGCTCTACGGCAGGCTGTGACATCACTACCCTTTGTTTTCAAAGCACAGTATCGTAGGAAAAAAAAGCAAATTTTCGGTGCCTAAGCAATTACACTCAGACCTCATTATAATGAAATAACATCTTACTCGAAAATAAGTTCGTTATATCTGAAAACTTGTTGTAAAGGTATGTATATTCCCAATAAAACATCTATTGCAGGACTACTTCTCATTTACTTTGTTGTGACCGATACTTCATTATATACAAGATTGTTATATCAGGATTTCTTATTTACTTTGTTATGACCGATACTTCATTATATCCGGGATCATTAGATCAGGGTTCGAGTGTACGTACTCTCAATTATTAACATCTATTTGTTACTTCCTCGAATGGCCGCCACCGTGAGCTTCCTTCCCTGGACTGCCTGTTCCAAAAACTTGTTGGTGCAGTTGAGCGTACCTTCAGATCCTCAGCGTGTTGTTCCAGGGAAGGCACGTCACAAGGCACGTGGGCAGTGAGGAGGTGCTCGGCCTGCTGCATCCAGTGCTTGAGGTTGTCCAGGCCTGTCTGGAACTGCTGAGATGCACGCAGTGACTCGCCGCTGCTCATGAACGGATGCATCTGCATTGCAAAGATGGGCGGAAGTTACGTCAAACGTAGCGGATTTTGTGGCCATTTACAGCCGCATACCGTAGCCACCGTCACAAACCAGCACTGCAAGCTATGTATGCCCTGTTTGTATACAAATAAATTAGGTAACATTCTAATGCAAAGCTCTACTGTAGTAATGCCTCCCTCCAATGGCAAGTATTTATTCTTTCATCCACTTTATATTCTTTTATCCTACAGTTTTCGCACTTCCATTAGATATAAAAATTACTTCCTATATGTTTTCCTTAGCTTCATATCCCTCAATGGCTCCCCCTTACCATTATGTCAAGCGCATAATTCTCAATCTCCAGTGTTTAGGGAGACATTTTACAATAAGTACCTGGGGTCGTGGAATCACCCGTTGATTCTTTCTATATAACCCTGGTCACTTATAAAAGACACATGCTTTCCAGCAAGCCTTCAGTGTGTTTGACATGTCTTTTTGACAAGTTTTATGACAACCATCTAGTGTGTCTCCTAGTAGAAAATAATGCTTTTAAAATTGCCACCAATGCTTTTTTCAAGCGAGCAATGGCAAGTGACGACAAAAGAGTTAGTGCACATCACATCCATTGCATTATTATTGTCTTTAGGCACTGTAAATATGTGAAAAGCTCAGGAGTCCCAATTCACCAATGCCTGCACTTCTCACAAGTGATATCGCAGATGGCAAGTACCTGTGGATACAGTGAGTCCCACCGCTGCTTGATCGACTGGACCTGGGCTCTGATGGTCGATGCGATATCATCTCGGCAGGTTGCACTCAGGTAGTCTCCTGACTCAACGACACTCTTCTTCTTTTCGTTCCAAGCGGGCAGGTCTTGGAAGAACTCCTGTACGATAAACAGACTATTATTAAAAGACCCAGCCATTCGGCCATCATTCGATGCCTGTCAATCAAAGGCACCAAAGCTACAGTGATGCTACCATAGCAGAGGGCTTTTAATCACTATTGAATACTTCGAACTCCTTACATAATTTGCAATTGACAGGCACAAATGCACCAACACCACCCGTGGGAATCACAACCGTGACCTTATGCCTGACACCAAAATGTCATGGTTGATGAGTCACTCTGGCAAGTCCACTAAATTTAAATGTAGCCTGTTAACAGAAAGACTACCAGCTAATGACATAATACTAAAAAGAAATGAAATATGTTATCAGTGCTCAAACAGTGGGAGGATTAAAGTAGAAAAAAACACAATCTTGAATGTAGTCGATTGCATGAAGTTTATAGAACTTACATAACAAGATACCTGGTTAATGCTAGCTACTGGTTCTGTTGCCAGCAGTTGACAAGAAATGAATGTAATCGGAGGTAATTAAATGTAACCCTAATGCACCTCTCTACATTTACTACCAAAGTGACACCAAATTATTCAGTCATAGACAGACAAGATCTCGAAAATTAAGATGAATTTGTGTTTCTGAGCAATTACCTGTTTCTGAACAAGGCTGGACTGAAGCGCGATTTCGGCTTGATCCAGCCACTGGACCATGGGTCCATAGAGAGCGTCGTACTTCTGCCACTGGGCCACAACCTCGCTGAGAATGTTGCCGGAGGTGCGTAGTCGAGCCGACAGCTTGGTCCAGTGGTCATGGACGTCACCCAGGAACCTGGCCTGGTCGTCGACCTCTTGAAATCCTGAAAAAAGGGAGATTCGTGACAGCATTGGGAAATGACAGGACACTAAGGACGTTATGTCACCCTGACCTACTCAGTCCTTTGTGCTCAAAGAGTAGAAGCGACTCATAAGACGAAAGAGGAGAGGCGAAGGTGATCACAAAGGGTGCATGAACAAGTAGTAGAGTATCGGTCAAGCTTGTATGTTAAAGGGATTATAAATCACCCTTCGTGCTTGGTGAAAAACACAATATGCGAAGATCAGGCACAGCTATGAATGACCACTCAGCGAAATCTTTGTGTCATGCACGGCAACAAGAGTTTAGAAGAGGTTCGCGGAGTTGCCATTTTCTGGGGCACCATCTTTTTATACAGAGGCCTGTGTTCAGTCTCTTCATAGCTACCGAAACCTGCTGTTCGACGCTAAACAAGAAATAGTATGCTATTGGCTAACAGCCAACAAGATTCAAGAGCGGTGTTTGGATCAGACGCGCTTCTTGCCACATAGTATCATCACATACCAGCTCTGCACTCTGTAGTCTGCTCACATTACATAGTAGCCCCACTACCACACAGGGGAACCTTAGCAGTGTGAAAACATGAGCCAATACTTTGTCTTGATCCATTGAATTGAACTGAACTGAACTTCCTATTTAAATAAACTAGCTTTCTACACGGCACAAAATCAGTTGTGTAGGCTGCCGTCACGCAGCAAATCGGCGGGTACAATGCTAAAGAGAAGGAACAACTAACCGAGGGCTGATCCCCTCTGGCACATGTCCAGGGCCTCCTGGAGCTCTCTGAAGAGGCGGTCGAACTGCTGGAACACCTGGTCCCTCTCCAAGAGGTCTCTGTGCCTCCTCAGCAGCTCTTCAACCTGCACAGCAAAGTCACATGGTTGCAGCAATCTGCACAAATCAAACAGCCGGAGTGGTAGCAACATTCTCCAAGTACCTATATAGGAACACATATGCCATCTGCAGGTTTTCTCACCATACCAGATTGACCAATCTGGATATGCCACAAGGAAGCACAATGGCGGCCAGACTATTATGTAGTGTAGAAAAGAAGAAAGCAGTTATGACTACGTTATCAAGCTCAACATTGTAACCAATATTAATAGTGTTTAATTACTGCCTCACAACCCTAACTGAGCATCTCATCGTCATCATCTTCTCCCGTTTTTCCCATGTACACTGCTGGACAATGGCATCTTCCTATGTACAACACCCCTTGTCTAGTGCGAGCTGATTCCACATCATGCCTCCAAATTTCTAAATTTCATAGCTCCACCTAACCCTTTGTTGTTCTTAGCCAAGCTTCCCAAGCATTGAACACTTTAACTGACCATCAGTTATGTGTAGTGCTTATGACATAACCTGCCAAAGAACAAGTAATTAAAGGTTAATCGCTTATTTTCTGTTACTACTCTCACAAGTCTTATTTGTTATTATTGGCTGGCACAAAGGTAAGCCTTTTTAACTGCTGTGCCACAAGGGATCCATCAAACTAGCGACGCGATGCCAGCATCAACCTTCGAGTCCAAGGGCAATTAAACGCAAACGATTAACTAATAGAAGCATGACAGATGCACTGCATGAAGCTAGTTAGAAAAGTGTGTACCTATCTGTTCGATTATCATCGCAACAAACCACTTGTACACACCTGAGGGCGTGATCCGTGCTTCTGTTCCAGTTGGGCGACGTGCTGCTCGACGGACCGCACGAGCGCCATCAGTGCGAGCTTGCGCCGCTCCATCTCCAGCAGCAGCTGGCGCTTGCAGACAAGCGAGGACAAGGCTTCGAGTCGCTGCTCGATGTCGGCCAAGTGTTCCGGGGCCGCGGTGGCGACGACAGTGGGTGACGATTTCTGATCGGCCAGCCACTTCTTCACTTCGTCCAGGTCGCTCAGAATAGACTGCGATTCGGCAAAGAAAAGTACACTTACGTGAGTTGCTGGACAAATTGTAGATGCAGGGAAGATATGCAGAATAACGAGAGAGACAACTAGGCACCAGGTAATTGTGGGCAGGGTTCACCGGATAGAGTATGCTAAAGAAAGAGAATTTTTTTGAGGGACTCATTTTTTTGTTACGCCTGTGTCACACGGGTACTTTTGTTGTGATCGCACCTGATCAGGATCAAATTTCTTGACCATGATTGGCTAACTTGGGCAAGCTGCTGAAGGCAGCCAATCACTGCTGAGAAATTTGATTCCAATCGGGTATAATCATGATAAGCAGTGCACTGGTAATAAATAAACACAACCAATGAATCCAACAGAGAGTTAGGCCAAGGCAGGGACGGCATCAAAAGGGATGCCAGCGGGAGGGAGAGTTTTCTCAGAGATTTCTGCTTGCCCACCTTTGCCCCCCCCCCCCCCCCCCGAGCAAACATATTCAGAACAAAGTGCATAAGTTCCCAAAGCCCCTGCCTCCTTGTTGAACGAACTTACCTGTCATGGGTGCCCCCCCCCTAAATAACCCTGGCGACGTTCCTGAAGCAAGAAAAGCATACACGCATTAATTGCTGTCCATAACTTTATTGTAGTGATTGCGATGTAAACTTGAATGAACTAAAGTGAAAGAAAAAAATCACCTCTTCCACCAGTGAATCCGAACCCACAACCTTTTCATTACACATCCAATGCTCTGCTAGTTGAGCTATAACGGAGGGTGCTTCCCTATCCATTTTGTTCGGTATTTCCATAGTGTAATCCTTGGAAGAGTTAGCCAGCACCATTCGTAATTCAGAGGTTGTATGTTTGAATACCAGGGAAAAAAAAGGGCAATCATTCATCCACCTTAAGTCATTTAAATTTGTGCCACAATTACTACACTACAGTTATAGACAATTAATGGTTCCTATGCTTTCCTTGGCTTACATGTCTGTTGAATTCGTTTGATTGAGTCTAACAAAGATGAAGTACAGAGGGACAGAATGCTAGATAACAAAATATATGCTGAATATTCTTAAAATCATGTAGGAACATGCTACTATTTATCACATGCATGATTAAAAAGAGATGTCATTCGCAATGGTCATCATAAAACTGAATGGGATGCTAATGTAGAAAACAGTACTAAAATAAACATGGAATAAGATATAAGAAATGACAAAAAGTAAGTTTGAAAACTGTGAACCTTTTCTTTTGTAAGTATATTTGTTGACTGGCTACTCTGTAGTTATGTCAACAGCTATTGTGAGTTGCTGGTGATCAAGCATCAACCAATAAGGAAGTTCTGGTTGGTTCTGATAAAGCATCCTGCATATGTATCAAGATCAGCCATATTGTATAACAATTAAGCTACTGCAATCCTGACAGAAACAATTCTCAAAATTGGTAATCAACAGAAATGGTGAAACAATACAGATCACCTACACATGTTCTTGTGAGAATGCTACTGAGGCAAACCTAATAGCTGCAGGCAAAGTTACTGTATTGACCACATTGACTGCATTGACCCATATTTTCACCTGGTGTTCAGCCAGCTTGGCAGCTACGGTGGCAGCATCCATCTGTCCCAAAGCGAGCTTGTCATTGCGAAGCCTTTCCTCGGTCTGCGCCAGCCACTCTGCGACTTGAGCCAGCCGGCCCGGAAGGGCGGCGTCTAGCCGCTTGCGCCACTGCGCCAGTCCGGACTCGACCGCACGCCAGCGCGATTCCATGAGTGGCCACGCTTGGCTCAGCACTACAGTGCTGTCAGCCCTGGCTGCACGACGTCCCAGCCTGGCATAGAGTTCACGGTGCCCGTCCAAGTCTCGGCACAGGTTCAGATAGCTCTGAAAGGATGACACGAAGACGTTTGCTGGTTTCAGCCAAAAAACTTCGATATTCAAAACCTCTCCCTGGTGACGTGGGTCAATAAATGTGACGTGGGTCAATAAATGTGACGTGGGTCAATAAACTCAAAAGAGTACGCTGTCCAGACTTCGGTGATGATAACATATTCAAAAGGCTGCTTCATCAGGTTCCAATGTAAATTTCGGTACACAACAGTAGAAAGTGTTTCGCTGCACCAATTGTTGAAATAATTTGTTAATGAAGGTGCATGAAAAAATCGGGCTGTCCTGGTAACATGCAACCAAATAGAGGAAGCCACCGTAAAGACAAGCTTCCCCTTTGCCATGGCTAGCCTCTGCAAGCAATGTACTTTGCCTGCATTCTCCCACATGCTGGAGCCAAGAAATTATTTTGTGTTTACATGACAAGCCCTTCCTGCGTCTCAGTTTTTTCTCTTTCTGTTTACTTCAAGGTGCACTTTTAGTGATTGCATAGAGCATCCTGCCTTTGACAATCACCCGTTTTACATCCCACGGTCACACACACGTTTAGAGCAAAGCCCTGTTCCTCGCTCAAAGCATAACTTCCACTATAGAAAGAGGCATGCACTTCTCCAATCGAAATTTCGACCAGAGAGCCTATTCATGCTCGGCAGACCCGATTGCCCATTTTCTGACGAACACAACAAGCTTGTTAATTAGCAGCAGTCAAACCTGAAGGTCTCTTTACTATGGCTGTCCTTTCCTACCTGGTATTCTTCTCGGAGGTTGGTGAGTGGTTTCTGGAGGATCTGCAAGGTGGTCTCGGCCCGCTTGAGGAAGGACTCGAGCACAGAGAGGTCATCCTGTGCCGGGGCGGCCGACGTCGGCGAAGAGACGGTGGGCGAGAGGGGCTGCTCCGTGGCATATGTGCCAGGGTACTTGTGCAGGAACTGGGCCACATAAGTCATCACAGACCTCTCGTCCGGCTGGGGAACGTCCACGTCTGCAAGATGGCACAAATAGGACACAGATTGTCAATAACACAGTTCAGCCTTAACATAGCTATGGACGGGTCTCAGTAATTACAAACAGGGTTAATTACACATGACTGTGGCTCAAAATACACTTTATAAAAAAGAGGAACAGAAGAGAAGAAATCTATGTGGCTGTATATCTACTTTTTGATGTTTTTGTGCATACCTTTTCATCTGTACCTTTTCACGTCACAGTATTATGAACGTGAACATACCGAACTGTCGGACATAATGTTATAAAGCATAGAATAGTCCTCACAGATCTCATACCAACATGTTACTGAAGTATGTAGCAAGTTTCACACATACTAAAAGTCTCTTCATGTGACATGATACCCTACTTCAATACAGCAAGGCTCAACTGAATACAATGTTGCACTACTATACATACAGTTGCCCAGCCTTCATGCAAACGTCCCTTAACTAACAGGAAAGTGAACAACTGGGCAAGTTGGCTGAAATTCACATTATGAACAGTGGGAAAAAAATATGTATAATTCCAAAAGTAATCAATGTTGGAACTAATTGTGACCGATAAGGGAAGGTGGGGGGCATTTCGACTGGAAGAAAGAGCAGACACAACTAAATCTATCAAGCTGCACATAGAGACAGTCATAATATAGAAACCCTTAATTGCAAGCAATGAACAGGTTCTTACTTTGAACGTTCAAGCTAGCCATGACTAATATTGTGTCTAATTACTTCCCCAATGACACCTGAACTCTCTCTTAGACAATGAATGGTTGTCCTTTATAAACAATATTGTTATATTCTTTGAGCAAATATGCATGAGACCACCTTGGTTTACATTTCCTGCAGTGAAACACGAGCTGCACACACACTGATTGATTGATTGATTGATTGATTGATTGATTGATTGATTGATATGAGGGGTCTAACGTCCCAAAACCAGCATATGATTATGAGAGACGTCGTAGTGGAGGGCTCCGAAAATGTTGACAACTTGGGGTTCTTCAACGTGCACCCAAATATCAGCACACAGGCCTACAACATCTCCGCCTCCATCGAAAATGCAGCCGCTGCAGCCGGGATTCAATCCCGCGACCTGGGGGTGAGCAGCTGAGTACCTTAGCCACTAGACCATCGCGGCGTGGCAGGCTGTACACACAGGTTGCTCGTTTAGGTTTCGTGCATGTATTTCTTCAGCTGTGTAAAAAGTATGATTGATTGATTGATTGATTGATTGATTGATTGATTGATTGATTGATTGATTGACTGACTTACTGACTGATTGATTGATGGGTGAGCGAGTGATTGAGTAATTGAGTGAGTGAGTGTGATTGAGGAAGTGGTATGAGTAAAGAGAGAGATATGGTATAAAGAAAGGCAGGGGGTTAAACCAGAAATCAAGTGTCTGGTTCGCTACCCTGCACTGGGGAAGGGGAAATGGGAAACAGAAAAGTAACGAAAAAGAAATGAGAGGAAGAGAGCGGGACGGAAGCGAAAACACTCAAACACACTAAAACGTCACAAACGTTCGACAAGGCGGGTTGATCGCAGAAACTTCAGGAGGGCCTTCGTCGCTTTTTGCCGTGAATTTCGATCTTTCCGGTATTCCAAAATTAATTTTTCGGAAGGCGGGTGCTCGTCGAGGCGTGCAAACACTGCTCACAGGGAGTGTCTCTGACAATTGTACTGAGGGCACTGACACAAAATATGTTCCATGGTTTCGTCAGCATTGCAATGATCACTCGCAGCACTGTCTGCCCATCCAATGCATCAAGCAAAGGCGTTTGTAAAAGACACCCCAAGCCACATGCGACAGAGAATGGTTGTCTTAAGGTCTGGATAACCCAGATAGTCGTAGGTATGGGTCCAGTCGGAGAAGAAGGGTTTGTAGAAATCCGGGTGTGTTCCACAGAGACATGGTGACACTGTGCGCGAGCATATTAACCCTTGCTGCTGTGTCCCTTCTTGACAGTAGAATGGGAGCGAGTGAGTGAGAAGTGAGTGTGATTAAGTCAGTGAGTTAAAAGTGAGTTAGTATTCGTGTGAGTGAGTTTGTGAGTATGGGAGTGATTGTGAGCAAGTGATGTGAGTGAGTGAGTGAGTGAGTGAGTGAGTGAGTGAGTGAGTGAGTGAGCGAGCGAGCCTACCTTCGGGGTCGAGTAATCGCGGGATGCCCAGCTCCCGGTCGGCGAGTGAGAATGCCCTCTCCAGGCGGTTCCGAGTCTCCATCTTTTTCGCAGAGTCCAGGTCCACCAGCGATGGCTTGATGCTGTGCACGATGGCCATGAAGGCCAGGCCGTCCCGCCAGCTCGGTCCAAAGTCGTTAACTTGGACGCCAAACCGCCTGGACAGTGACAACGCAGGAAGGATCTTCAGTATAGTTCACCGGAGCAGTGACTAAGCTTAGTTTAAAAACTCTAGCAAATTCGTTTTGTATGTATGCAAAGATGACATCAAGCAAGCACTACGTTGGCGATACACATACGATAAAGTCTGTCTCAAAATGACAGGCCTGTTGCATCATCAATATTACTGTAGCATCCATAACAAAAAGCAGAGTCTGAGTTTACTGATGCCACGCTAGGCATGATCACACCGTTCATAAAAGAATAGCAATGAGAGAACCATGTGCAATTCTTCTGCCGTCACTAGTGTATGGCAACCACAGTCATTGTAAGAACAGAGAGAGAACCTGTGTTTCGTGATCCCATAATGTATGACACGTTTGCCATCTGGTTTACCAAAACTACGACAGGTTCGTTATATGTGATGCTTGGAAAATGACTTGTGCTTTTTCTATGTTGTACCACATTTACATATTAGATTACAACAAAAAAAAACGGGACAAAAATGACAATTGCTGAATGTTATGTCAGTTCTACTCCAACCGTTAGCAAGCATTCCAACAACCTGAGATTAAGTTTACCGAGAAGTTGTCTTGTAGAGCAATCAGTGTTTCGTTAGTGCACAGCTGAAAACCTAGACTCAATAACATAGCAAAAAAGAAACGGCTAGATAGGTACAACAGTAATCTACACGTAACTGCCAGCTCCTTCCAGATGTTACAGGCAGTATAATGTACGAATGCAAAAACTATTATGTATGGAAAGAAGACACATGAAGGGAAGTAAACATCACTGCGCGATTTGCGCGTGCACAATTGAAACTTACCATATGCCATTCAAGTATTTCCATATGTTAGCTTATGGCACCCATATGTTTTTCATAAGAATCTTATTGAAACATACAAAATTATGGTAATGGTATACGGAATGTTCCAATAGGACATGAGCATCTGTCGTGTCTTACTGGCTGATGCTGTTCTTGACCCAGTGTAGCAGTGCTTTGCGGGCACCGCCCTTCCATCGTTCCGCGGCGGTTGGCCTCCTTGGAGAAACGGGTTGAGCGGCATGTTGCTCCTGGATCGTGGACGACTCCAGGGAGCTGTCGTCTAGTGAGGCTTGAGAGCCAGCAAGGAGACGGGTGTGCTCCTCAATCTGCACAAGAAAGGACGAGTTAAGAGTGAACACACAACAGCTCTTTCAGTCAGTAATCAAGTAAAAAAAAATCTAATAAAACCATGAAGTTTGATCTCCCGAAATAACCCATCGAATATGAGAAACACTGACATGGAAGGAAGCCAGAGTAATTTCAGCAGGCAGGGGTTCTTTAAAGCGCACTATATAACGAATACCTACACCAGCGCTTTTCGCATTATATTCCTGCCAAAATGTACCTACCAACCGTGGAACTCGAATGCAATGCCTTCGGTTTAGTAGGAGAATTCAGTAAAACTGAGACAATGAGATGGGTGATCTGTCAATAATGTAATGCAGCAATTTTGCCAGTTATGATTTTTATGACTGCTATTTAACTTGGGTTTTCCTAATAATTTACACCACAAACAATCACAAGCTAGACCCATCAGTCTTTCATTTGCAAATAGACTTTGGGTTTTCCTAATAATTTACACCACAAACAATCACAAGCTAGACCCATCAGTCTTTCATTTGCAAATAGACTTATCTGTGGTACAGCTCTTCTTGTCCAAAACACAGAATAGTAGAACTGAACACCCTGCAACATCTAGCTGCACGTACAAAAATTTTATTGGAGTCCTAGAATAGTCTCTTTTATTTGTTTTTTGTGTGTTTATCAGCTAATTAATTATTTCCTATCACATAACTTTTTTGTCTATTTCTCTTAGTCAAAATGTAACTATAGGCACACTGTTTTCTTCCATGTTTACTTGCTCTCGCACTTTTTTCTTGTTCTATGTACTTCACTGAATAAACAAAAAAAATAAACATATATATTTGTGCTTATGTTTGGTGTATGCTAGTAAGCCTGTCAAGAACAGTCATCAGTAGTGTGATTCATTAAGATGCTAATCAATGAAAGTACAATTTACTTTGCATCATTACAGAAAGCCAACAAAGAATAAGAACTCCCACCATCCTCAGCGAAAAGCCTTACAACGCAAAGTAAGTATGCAAACCAGCCACACTCACCTGGAAATGTAAGATAATGGTCCATATGAGACCAAGAACAATGGTAGGCTTTCCATCCACCACATCTGTGGCATTTATGTTGACAAGCTTGATCTGAACCAAAAAAAAAAACAATATTTATAATGAATGTCTAATTAACACCTCTCGCACACAATGATTTAGCACATATACAACTGCAAAATGAGATCTAAGCCATCATTAAGTTTCTTCCAACCGTTAGGTGATGATACATGACCTAGTCAATAAAACTAAACCGAGGTATCAATTACAAAGGTAGGGGAAGGAGTAAGGGTGCCTCTTCCCCCCCTTCTTCTTGAACATGCCCACGAAAAAAGGGGGGCCTTATCCACTCCCATCATGTTGGAAACCTTGCATCTCCAATTACTAACAGGATTTAATATAGCCGTGAAATCTTGCGCAGATAAACATAACTTTTGATTTAACTGAGTGCAGGAACAGCGCAACCTAGAAGTAGTTGCTTTGTAACTACGGAAGCAAAAAAACAAGGACAGAAAAGAGCGCTCATTTCATACATCGTTCATCGATAAAAATCGTTCATTTTATACGCCCCCTTCTTTAAAAAGCTACTTCAACTCTCCCCTCTCCTCCCAGGAAAAACAGGAATGTATTGCCTGTCCCTAAAACAAAGCAGTCACAAATCACCACAGGTATACATGCCGACATGCCACTGTGCTCTCAAATGTTTATTCCTCAAAGCCTCATGTGTAGATGTGTAGCTTCATGTGTAGATCACCAGCACGAACTTCAAATTTTTAGGCTGTTAGCGAAGCCTTCCACCATTATTTGCAGTCCCTTTCCACTTTTCTATAGTTTGCTATGGTATCTGTGTGATTATTAGACACTTGTTTACTCATCAGCCTTTTTTTTTATGGGGAGGGGGGGGGGGAATGAATGCACGAGCATGTCTTTGTGTGTACTTTATTGCTCTGCTACTGTTCCTTTGATTTCTTGTCTGTTGTGATTGTTGTGAATTCCTTTACCCCAAATTCACTCCTATGTAGCCATCACTACTATAAGTCACACATAAAAGAATGTGTGTTTTAACATGCTCTTAGAATAGATCTAGTCCTTATCCAACGAAGCCCTAGCTTCCTAAAGTTGTTTATGATCTGTTTATTTGAAGTGCATAGAGCTAAGGCCATTCAAATGCTCACTGAACTTCATTCGAGTATTTGTTCACTGAAAAGGTTGCCTTGCAGCATGATAATGCCATCTGAGTATATAACATTTAAATATGTAGATTGTGAGGATCAATGAACTCCAGCAGTGATGTGTTACATAAACATGATGCTAAAGTGAGCTGGGCGGCCTGTGTGTAACAACATTTTCGAACGACGGCCGCAAGTGTTGATTGGGGGAGTGGAATCAGAAAACTACCCCAAAATGGGTGTGATTCAACAGCTCCTAGGATGAATGCTGCACGGATACACCCAACATTTGCACCATTCGATGGGTGTCCTTCAAGCTCATGTAGGCCTGTTTTAGTGTCCCCTCCGCTTCCCACAAGCCTAGTGCCGGGGTAGCAGGCCATAAGCTCGCGTAACCTAGTTCACCACACTTTATTTTTTTTTCCTTTTTGCTGGCTTCTTTTTTTCATTAGACATTTTATATCTGAACGAACACCCCAAATAAATAAACGTATTGTGATCGAAAGGTTGACTCAATCCTACGATCGTATAAACACCACATGGGACCTCGTTCCAAAAGCAATATTGACAGAACTGAAGGTGCAAATCTGACATCCTCTCGTTCATTTTTTTTTTTTTTTTGACATTATAAGGAGTTAGGGCGGGTGGGGCACCCAATACCGGCGCAGATTAAGAAAACCCACGCACCCGTCTGTGCTCCAAAAACCGCAGGACAGTGTTGACGTTGCTGAGGAAATGAGGCCTCCGCAGAATGCGAGCGCGTTCCCTCGGCTGAAAAGATAGAAATAATTTGGTGTAAGTAAACGACCGCTTCACACGGCCTTACGTTATAGCTCACAATCACACACGTCAGAATATGCTATCGTGACATCAAAATATCTTCGGATGAGGCGCCAAAGAGCTCAGTAGAGCGATGCGTGCAGAGCGTGTACGCCCGGTTGATCGTCAGAATACGATATCGTCCGGGGCTCGTTTCCTTTTTTTTAGGGTTACGTTGTTAAGGTCGCTCTCTTTTGATTCACCGTACCTTCAAAATCAGCGATCGCGAACAGCCGTTGCTACTGGAAGCCAACACGCTGTGCTGCAGCTAATAATCGGAGCTGGAAGTTACACGATCAATGCGATGACCCTCTCACATCTGTTCGTCGCAACGCGTTTGGCTTCTGCTTAACTGCTCCATCGGGACGTTTAGGCCTTACCTAACAGCCGTAACGTGTGAAGAAAGGCGCCATTTCGCGTTTAAACAACTATAAATGTCTCCCTTCTTCGCAAGTGATCATCGCGCCTCGGTTTGTTTACAAATAAACGTCATGCGTTGAGACACCGCCAATTGGTGGTTACACATCACGCGAGTGATCCCGGCAATCTCCGCGTATGGGCGCCACGTTCGAATGCACGGTCAACCGACATGAAGAAACGAAATTACAGCGCTTAATTTCCGAGCTCATTTACAGACAATGACAACGCTTCCAAACAGATATCGTTAGTTTTCTCAACGTTCCTCTTAAGTGTTCTTTTTTTTCGTGCAGAGACGGCAATTAGTGGTTCAAAATAGTACAAAGGGGTACTCACCAACACTTGTCCGGAAAGGCATTCTAGTAGGGCTAAAAGCTTCGTGCCATCTCGTAAGTCTTCGATGACGTCGTCTACTCGTAAGGGTGGCGTCCTCTGAAATAAGGCACAGTAGGTCAGTGCGCCAAATCAAGACGAACGCAAACACTGTGCAGTGTTTAATCACACACCATTCCATACACATGCCTGATCCAAGTAGAGCATGAGACTTCTCGGGGATATAAAACTGACGATGAACACAGTCGCTTTCTTACCATAATTGTAATAATAACCACCGTGTTTGTCGCTTTCAAACTGCTGTTGAAAATACAAAAATGGCGAACGAGCTTCGGCTAAGCACGATAACAAACAAACAAAAAAACTTGTAGGTTGGAGCTAGCTTCACCACTCAAAAGACGAGTTCGCGGACGCGGGTCCTCACATCAAACTAACGCAAGACCAGAAAATTGCGCAACACCGGCGTTTTCGACCATTCAGAGAGGCAGTAAGACTCCTCAGTCAATCGACAGCTGACAAGGTGACGAGCTCCACAATATGACGCAAAATCAGAAGACGTTACAAACCAGTTATCATTTTAGGATGTGCGCGATTTGCCCGATCTGCATTGCAGTGTAGATAGGTTAAAATTTGGGCTCATTTTTGTGACAGATCGTTTGGTATTCTTTTTTTCATCCATTTTCATCCGCTGTTCAAGCATGACGTCTGTGATTTTTAACTATATGCGGATTGTCTCGACTGCATCAGCATATTTCTTCTATCCGAGATTCGGCACAAATAACATTATTTGCGAGAAAGAAAAAAAAAACGCCGTTGTGCGAAGTATTTCATCCACGACAAATGGAACAACAGTTGTGGTATGTTTGTGGTGTAACCCTGTAGAAAGAACAGAACAAAGTCGTGAAAACCACCTCGAAAGACTCACCTGTGAGAGGAAATTGTTTATCCAGTTCATAAACACTTTCTTCTGCACCCGCTCTTGTTCATCTGATAAAAAAAAAAGAAACAGATTCGTGAGCATTGTAATCGGCCAATATAGTTGCGTTAACAAAGTCTATGCATATATCGCGGTGTCACACCCAACAGTGGTCCCGAAATTTTAAAGAAAGCGTCATATCCTCGCTCTGACTGGGAACACAACATCCAAATAAACGTTCCAGCCGGTATATTTGACACTGCGAGCTGTACACGCACTCAAAAGCATTACACTCAAACATGAACTCTATTTGTTGTGGAGCCAACGCCCCGTAAAGTTTTGCTGTTGCGTGGACGTTCTCCAGCTGAGAAAGATTTCGTGTATGTTTGCTCAGACAGGGGCGAGGCGATGCAGTGTAGTGAAATGAACAATCAAACACAAAGGTAAAAGATTTCGGATTTAAAACTCCATATGTTTTATAGATGCATCAAGAGAAAAAAAAGAGCTTTAGGTTTGAAAAACTGTCATGTGCACGCAAATTTTGATGGTTGTGAATGCACGTGAAAATTCAACACAAAATAAATCCTATTTAAGCGCGAAGAGGCCCTCGCATTTACACTCTGTACCTTGGCGGCTTGTCTTATCATCATGACCTTACAGGGCATTATATCCTGGGTATAAAATGTGTGCTGCGGAACCAGCCTCAAACGAAGCAGCTGTTTGGATTCTGGAAAGCTTTCAGAAATATTCACAGGTCTCTAAGAGGTTTCCCTCTCGGCTGACGCTATTTTTGTTGTCCTATAAGGATGTCCTTGTTCGCTGTAGTCATACATGTCACCACTACGAAGAGTGGAATGTAGGTGGACCGCAAACACGTGAGAAAAAGGAATAGTATTCATACAAGTTACGCGACCATCATTAGACCGTAAGTCAAACGAGTCCCTGGCAAGATTTCTGCGCATTTTTTGAACTGACTGCCATCAACAAAGGCGTAGCCGTCTGCCCTTGAGTAGCAGACGACGGTGTGCCGGCTGCTCCCGCGAATGTCGCTTCACGTGACCCCTCGCGAACGGAAATAACTTATAAAGAAGAGTCAGCACGTGACGACGGCTGACAAAGCGTGGAGGAGTCAACGCTCCCCCGGCAACTATGTGATAAGAATGCAAGCGCACAGAAATCAAACCCTTCTCCACCCCTTTTCACACCCACCCGCCCACGCAAGAAACCCGACTGTAGCAGACTATTTAGCTTGCAGACGACATGGCATGACGGGGGGAGGGGAGAAAGATGCTAGGAAGTGCGCCCTTGCGGCCATTTTTAAAACTACACAGCAGCAGATCTCCCTCCTGCCAGCGCACACATACACAAGGCATCCGAGTATAGCCGACGTACTACTTAGCTTGCAGACTACGTGGCACGACAGGAAGAGGAGTAGGGAGAGAGCGCACCCTTGCGGACATCTTTAAAACTTTATACAGAAGCGAGCAGACGGAAGAAGCGAAAGGCCAGAGGGCTAGCAAAAGCAGGTGCGCGCGACGATCCTCTCCATCAACGCAGCCCACCCTCACCTCCTCTCCGGCATGAATAGGTCGCAGGGTTTGAGCCCGGGGAGGGCAAACGCAGGGTGCGTGTCCATTGCAAAGAAAAAAATAAAGGGAGAGAGTGTGAGAGAAAGGACCACGCCCAAACTGCGGTGGCACCCCGGAAGAATGGAGTTTTTTTTTTTTTTTTCATCATTATTATTGCTTCTTCACTCCTTCCCACCCCTGGTCGGGTGCTCGATCCAATCGTGGTGTCGTGCCCCCCTTACGGACCGCTTGGGTCTTTTCCGAATTCTGCACAGCACTCGCGCAAAGAGCGATACGAATTTGTGTGCAGTATCGCCCTTAATAGGGTCATGCAGTTACTCAACAATGGGATATTTTTCTTTGAATCATTTCGCAAGGCAGACATAGTTTGTAGGTATACCAGCACAAACGTACCAAGAAACCAAGACGACACGGGACAGAGTACGACACTTTGTACTGTTCCATGGTTTCTTTTTTACGTTCGTGCCTGGTTATACATACGAATGTATAACTGGTTGTAAACATACATACGAATTAACATCACCGAGTAGCCTGCCAGCACATGTTATGAAAACAAGCACGCTTCATTAAGCGTGCGTAATACCCAAGTGAAAGGACAACACTCCACAAACGAAACTAAATACGAGAGAAAGCAGATTATGTACAATGGGAGCTTTTTTTTTCTCTCTCTTCTTTCGCGGAGTTGCCACACTCCATCGCAGGTAACTGGGAACTCTCAAAAGGGGAGTAAAATACGTGCGAAAAAAAAAAGAGTTTTCTAGGCCACCCCTGTTTTTCGATGTACGGAGCAGTACTGCTGGCATCTGTGCTTTGCTTCCGCAAATACTGCACAGAACTGTACACACGGACAGTGTCCGGGGAGCTTCATGTTTGCCCGTCGCGTTACGAGCCAGTACGAAGAGGAAACTATTTGAAATTACATGTGCGCGTGCATTGGCGTACACCAAAGGCGTAACTCCCAATAGGTTACTTTGTTCTCTTTTTTTGTTTTGTTTCTTTTGAGAACTTTCCTGTACACGAAGCCATCTCCTGCCTCCCACCCTGCTTTTTTTTTTAATCCCTTCATATTTATTCATGCACCATACAATCTAACGAGAGAAAAGTAATTGTTAATTTTTTGTGTGTGAAGCCAGACTTGCTATAGACCTCTTCTAAAATGGCTCCCTGAACGCCACCGTAGTTCTTTTCGGGCTGCGCATATTGGCACAATGCACTGTGGATGCTGTGCCTTTAGCCTTTGTACTCCCGTGTGCAGCCCATCATGGCGACGTTTCTTCCTCTCCTGCGAAAAGGTGTATATGACTATCTTTGAAGAAACCCGTTAATTCTGTTTTTGGGTCTTATGACTCCCCTTAGAGAGTATACACTCTAAAAATGGAGTATTTTGGGGAGTATTTCTGCACCACAACAATAATCGTCATCTATATACTTCCCATACTTTCCTCGCGTTATCACCACTGCAGTTCTGGCACCTCGCGGTCGCAAACGGCGCGCGCCTTATCAGTGTTACCCAGGATTCTTGATAGGGAAGCGGCGAGCGCCGAGTTTTTCAACAAAGGAAACGTGAGCAAGCCAGCTGACGATTATGCGGCTGTGTGGCAGAACTATTCCCCAAATACTCGATTTTGTCCCTATAGTACACTTTACGGAAAGATGGAGTAAAAAGGGCGTCGTTTTGTCCGATAACAATAATCGTCATCTATCTTGCGTTCCTTTTTTTTTTTGCATTATCGCCGCGCGCTCGGCACCTTTAAGTCACGAACGACACGCGCGTTATCAGCGTGGCATAAGTTTCTTGATAAGAAAGTGGCTAGCACCGAGTTTTCCAAAGAGGAAGCGCAGGCAAGCCGGATGACGATTACTGTAGTGAAAAAAAACAAAACAAACAAACACCATGTTTACCGATTTTTCAGAGTGTATATAGTGGTCTCTAAAGAGAGTTCACATGTCCCTTTAAAGAGAGCCATGCGCATAGCAAATCAATACAACCCCCCCCCCCCCAAAAAAAAAGAAAAAGAGTCTAATGACTTTTTCTTAGAGTTTAAAGGCCCGACGGCATTACAAGAAGGGGGGGGGGGGGGGTCATAGGAAGCCATACACACACGTTCCGTAAGAACAGTCAAGAACAAAAACAAGACAATAAAAGAACACGCCTACACAAAAGTACTGCAAAGGTGAATTTCGCCCACTAAAAGGAAAGCATAACAAGAAAAGCATACGCATTTGAAAGCCCGGACCCAAAGCTTGGGTGGGCCTTTCCATGTGTATTTCCGTCTGTATTCAGCCTGAACAAACGAGGCAATGACGAAACATTGTAGTAATTTCATTGTACGCACGCGATATTATAGTGCAAGGTCTCTAGAGCCCATCCTCACAGAGCACGGCCTCCGAGATCAGATGATGCACTCTGCACTCGCCGGAGGAATTCATCTCGGAAGTCACGCACAAAGACGAATGCAGAAAACACCCAGTGTTGATGTACTTGCAGTTGGGTCAGCCAGTTCATACTGTGCACTGACCCCAAAACTGTGGTCACTTTGTTCCTTTCCACTTCTTTTTTCATTGCTTTTTGCGAAGTAATACAACCACCATATAAAGTACACAGCCATCAAGCGCACACCTTCCACGTGCACTGCACGGAATTAGCAGCATAATCGAGAAAGGAAATTGCGGCCCTCCATCTTAGTTCATCGTGGCTTCGCGCGAAGCGAAGAACCTCTTCGCGCACCCATATTTCTTCATTTTTTTACCTCGAACAGACGACAGGATCTTCGAGCAGACGACAAAGGGGGCGACCGCAACTTCTGTATTGTTTTTTTACGACAGCAGAAGACGCACTCGCCCCCAACTGCGGCCCTCTTTATGTTGTACATCCATCATTTATTAGCGGACTCCATTATGCAACCGCCGCCGTTACTCTCTTTCTCGCTTCCCTTTCCCTCTCTCGATAACCTTTGCGGGAATGAATGCCATGATCTCGTGACCCACGCACATTCCCCTGTCCTCCGACTTTTTCTGAGCCGTGCTTTTTATCCCAGCATTCCTTATTTTCTTACCTATACTCTCTGTTTGAGAGTGAGCAATCGGAGAGTACTTCGCGTGTGCGAGGTTATTCACTTATGCGTCGTCCTTATCTCACTGCTGCTACAGTGTCCCAGAAAAAGAAACAAAAAGATGGAGAGAAAGGATCCGCTACGTGCTCTCTAACCCACGTGACTAATGCAAAGTAGAGCGCTGTTTAGCGCCCGGGCGCACAGCTATAGGTAACTTCTATACGTAGTTCCTGGTTCGGTGATGATTGAAAGCGCCATTTTCGTCTTTTTTCTCGGGCATCTCTTATCTCCCGTAGACGACCACTCATTGGTGAACTGGGGAGAGCGCTGGTTTTTTGTTCACGCTGCTCCACGACGGCTCAGTGATAATGCGTGGCCTCCGAGACATATATGCACCAATTAACAACCCCCGTCGAGGTGTCGGAGGCC